GGCTTAGTGGTGGTATACAATATGGTGTCTTATGCATTGTAAAGAATGACTCGAGGATTTGTATTAATATATTTAACTCTGGGCAGAATGAACAGAACGTTCAGCTCTGGAACTGCGCCAGCCGTAACAAACTTAACTTTGCCATTATAGAAAGCGATTCATTTGTTGAAAATGGCTTTAATCACATTTTTCAGGATAAGATATTGTAGGGCTCTTCACTGTTAAAGTAATCTGTTCATAGAAATGTACTGCACTTGGAATATTTTGTGCACAGTTCAATTTAAAACAACAAAGGTAGACCTATTTAAAAAAAAAGTAATGCAAGAGCCTATTCGGGTGAATAGATTTGTTTATATTTTTATAGAATTGTTTCCACAATCGATTAATATCGATTTCAAAATTCATGGACTTGATAATCAAATCCAGCACAATTTTAGTTGCCATCGAGCCGATTGGCACGCGAATACTCAAACAATGTGGAGCGTTCTGCTTAGTCATTTGACAACCGGTTACGTAAAAAATAAATGCACAACAACTTTCAGGCCTTTGCCATTCCACTGCTGGTCTTCACCCATGCTGTGTCAAGTCATGGGCTATTGTTTGTATATAATTCACCACGCTGGTCAGTGTGGATTGGTGAAGGTTGGTTAACCGATGATCTAATTTATTTGACCGCTTTTTGCACGAGATCATCGGTGACTCAATTAAAATTAACAAACCCCTGGATGCAGTATATCAAAACCTTTTGCATACGAGCGGATGAATTATAAACAAGCACCAGGATGTGACTGGGCATAGTGTACCACATTTACAAAATGTTGTCATTCCTTTTGGACGTGACTTGTCTGGCATTTGCTACTGGAACATCCAGTTTTGTTTTTCCCCTCTATGCTTTGTAATTAATTAATGACGCCATAAAAAAAAATTTGGAAGATAAGAGTGGTCATCGGCCGAGTGAGATTTGATTCACACGCTGTTTAATCCCTGTCGACTGCAATAAAGAAAAAAAAGCGAGTCCCTGCGTGAGCCAAGTAATTTTTTTCCCTTCCTGCTTAAGCTTTGAACCCCAAATTGTGCACAACAGCTTTTGGAGGCGTTCACAGCCTGAACTTCAACACCGTCAGCAATGAAACGTGGCATGTCGCGGCGTTGATGAATTTCCAAGTCACGTGCTACATCAAATCCTCGCCTCCGTTAGATGACAAACGCTTCCATGCTAATGCATTGCACTGTATGAATGTAATGTTTGTTTGGGAGAACGCTTTACACCGTGACTGGTCTAAAAGTGTGTTCTTCTGCGTCGTGTTAATATGGCAAATGGTAGCCAATTAAGTGTGTTGTGTGTGTCACTGAATATTCGGTACCTGTGTTTGTGTGTATGACAACCCAAGGGAAACGCAGTGGTTCCCGTCAGTGACGGCAAACTAGAAAGCTCCGCTACATGACATATGAAAGAAAAAATGGGTTGGAAGAGCAGTCTTACAACTTTGATCTACAGGTAGGACAGTATGGTTAACTCTTGCCTTTTGGGAGCTGTCAGATGAATTAAAATCTATTTTTATAAGTGCCAAGTGCAAAAACCCGTGGCGCGCGTGGGGTGTGATTGGCAACACTTGCATACCGATGACAGTTGTTGGATTTTCCTTCGTCAACAGAAAAACACATTTTTTTTTCCCTTCTTCTTTTAATATACGTACAGAGTCCAGAAAATTAATGATAGTTGGCATTACCCACAACGTGCGTTGTTGTCATTTAAGCAAAGGTGAAAAGAGAATTTGCATAATGACCTCAACGTTACCAAGCTGGACTTGAACGCAATTAAAAATGTGCAAGTGATGAGACGGTACCGCCACTGGAGTGTGAAAGTGGCAAAAAAAAACATTACATTTAGTGCGCACGTTCCGAATTGTTTCAGCGCTTGGGCTTATTACGGATTCAGCTCGGAGGGGGCTCGACTTGCTGATTTCAGTAATAAGCTCGCGGAGAAAAGGGATTTTTTTAAAAATGTTCTCTGCTCGTATCGCTCTCTTCCAGGAGTCGTTGCCAAGGTAACTTGTTGGTGCGGGTTGATTGGTGGATACACTTCCCCCTGCTAAGAGACAAAGTGTATGTGTAGGCGGTGGTGGTGGTGGTGGGATGGGGGAGGTTGCTGGGATTGTACAGAGTGGTGGGTGGTGCCGAAGTGGGGGGGGGGGAGTAAAGGGGTGGGTTGGTGTTGAATGAAGATTTTTTTTTATCAGCTCTCAGCAAAAGTCCAGGCTGAGACGAAGCTGCTTTGATGTGTACATGAAACCTTTAGACCGCACGTTTTATACTTAATCAAATAGTGATTTTTTTTTCATTCTCGTCTTTTGTTTGATTATCAGAACAAAGCAATAAAAGGGGAATGTTCTGTTTAACATTGAAATGCAAATAATTAAATGTATTAAAGACTTACAAGGTAAAGTAAATTACATTTTTTTTTCTAAAAACGCTGTGCGTAACAAAATATAAATGGGTTCTCATAGTATCTCTAAGTGCTTAAAATGTACGATTTTGCTGTTGCCGTCAGTAGTGTGTACGTACTAAAATTATATTGAAATGAAAATTGTTAATACGTTTAAAAGTTTAAAGGTGCGGGTGAAAAATATGATTTGACAATGTCTTGCATATATTTATATAGGAAGCAGAGGATGGGATTTTGCTGCGGGCTCCGTTTTATTTTAAAATGGTCTCGTCTCATACCCAGAATTCCTTGCATTCCTCGATTGTGTTGTTCTGGCAAGCTCTGAAAATATTAAAGGTTTCGATGGAGCTTTTGCCAAACAAATTGGAAATAACAATTACTTAATTGGAAATTTGTTTAGGCGTACACTTCTCCAATTTCCTATAAGGCTTGCATCTTTTCTTCATTTAATTTTGTAACCATTGTACTGTTGACTCGTGGCAAAAAGGGGGTGGTAGGGAAGAAGAGAAAGGCTGGTGGGTGGGTGGGGATCGAGTTTGCATAATGGTTCAGTCCATGTTTTCGGGCTGAGTCACCATTCTCGCATTCAAATGAATGGACTAGCCCAGGCAGCTGGGAGCCAGCTCACGTGACCCCATGCCCGCCCAGCAGCATCCTGCTCATTGATCTGATCTCTGACTGATGACCTTTCCTTATAAATAACAAATGGAGGGAACCTTTAAATATAACAAAGATCGAATCATTAAACTCCAATATACTAAGAAATTTGCATAAAAATAAATCCCACACGTAGAAAGTCCTTCCGTGGTTAATTATGTATTTTATTGATTCCATTGATTTATCTGGCGCAGTAGCTCGTAACCAAGAGCATGCTATTTAAAAAAAGAAAACGTTGCGTTATTGGATGGTGCAGTGTGTTCTCGAAAAAAGTGCACCGCGTTCTTAGCCTTCCAAAAGGAAACTTTTGCAATCGCGTAGTTTCCGCAGAAACTAACACGGCTGAAAAGTGAGCAAATGATACTTTGTGTTTTGCGCAAGTTTGTCCGATTATTTTTTAGCTCCAATTTAAAAAAAACGGCTGTGTAAGTGAAAAAAATATAGTTGGCCATATTTTGAAAATGACATGTGCATGTATTTTTTTTTTTGAGGACCAAAAAGGAACATGATGACATAGAAATTGTGATATGGAAGAATGGGGGCAGGGGAGGAGGGCCTGTCCTTACAAATTAGGAAACTAATCACGTCTAAATCCCCTGCAACAATCGACCATCTGCCGGGGCCTTGTAACGTTCGCAAACGGCGTTTCTCAGTGTGCTCACTACAAAAAAAACTTCTCCTCTGTGTCTTCCCTTCCCTCTGTCGGTTATAGCCTGGAGCAGGAATCTCTCTAGTCGTGAGTAGGAGATTGGTAATTTCCAGCAGAAACACGGTGATGCTCTGCCATCCCGCTGATAAATGTAGGATTCGTAAGCATGCCAGTGTCAGGTTTTATGCCAGTTTCTACACTGCAGGACTTTGAGCCATTCTTAAGTTGTCATGGCAACTGTACATCTCATCCCGATGCCTTCCAAATCAATTTTGTGTTTACTCTATTTTTACTTTTAAACTCTGGCAATATATTGTGCACTGCAAATGGTACGAAAGATGTGCTTTTAATAATAACCTCCCTCCTTCGCTTTAAATTGTAAACTCCGAAAATTATGTTGCTGCTGTGATGTGATTGCGACAGTTTATTGAAGCCTGAAGCTGCTCGACTGTCGGTTGTTTTTTTTTCTCGTTCCTTCTCTAAATGTCAGGGCGGCTTATAACGTCTTTGGGTTAATGGTGGCCGCTCAATACATTTAAAGAACCATCGCGAGTTTAGTTAGTTTCGAATGCAGATAACGAAGCAATCGGTTAATGTTTTTGGTCACTTCAAAAGCTTTTAACAGTAAGGGGGTTAGTTCTCACTAATGTCGCATTGCATCATTGTCCACTTCAACCTACATCATGAGAAACCGTTATCATTTAATTAAAAAAAACCCACCCAAAATATTTCCTCGTGGGGCGTAAAGTGCTTAATTAGCCCAAAGGTCATGCGTTCTGAACTCCAATCAAGTCCCATAAGTTCTTCTTGCTGTGAAGACCATATGCTTTGAGAATACATGGGAGTTTTGCGTCACGTTTAACATGGGGGAGGGTCTTTTTTTTTAATCAGTCGTGCATTGTCGTGTCGCTCTCCCAGCCATCGCCTTGATGCCTCGTCTTGATTTGTATTATCCCGGACTGGCCCCCTTTTATCTCGCGTGCACTTCGTTTACGCCTCTCTTTATGAAGTTGCACTTAGTAGCAGCCTGCTGAGCCGAGTTCGTTATCGACAAATTGGATTTCGGGCTGCCAATCCACTCCTCAGCAGCAGGTGCAGACTGGCAATATGTGTCCTCTGTTACTCAATTATTTGTACATTTACTGCTGAAATATTACACTGACTTATAGGTGTGTGTGACATTAACCCTTGCCTTCACTGTTTTTTTCATTCCCCTTTTTGTGTGTGTTTTTTTTTGTATTTGAGCAGAAAAAGGTTGTGGAGCAGCTGAGAAAAGACTTGCTTATCAAGCAGCAGTCTGCAAGTACCCAGGTGAGCTTCACAGTCTATGCTTCATATCCATTTGCAGCATTACACATTTAAAGGCTTAAAACGAATCATTGCATTTTAACTTATGTGAAGTGTGTTTTTGTGCGCGGTTTTTTTCTTCACATTTGCCTGCTTCATCTTTCCAATTTGCAAACAAAGCATGAAATGTTTTGTTGGCATTAACATCGATAGCTGCGTGCGGAACGTTGGTGTGAGCTTGTGATCGTGATGAGCAGTGGTGCTGTGGAGATTTTTTTTTAAAAACATGTTCCCGTTCTTCAGGCAAGCTGTTGCTCTCTCAAATTGGCTGTGAGAATAAAACTTAGAAATAAAAAAAAATATTATACCGGACTTGCGTTTGTTGATGTAGCCAGCGCTTCATTAGTATGTACACTGCAGTCCGCGAGATACATTTTGGTTTTGCTGGAAGTCCTTGAAAATCCTGCGTCCTATATATTTTACTTTTGTAATTTTCACATGAAAGGCTATTTCGGTGGAACAATGTCGGTGGTTGCTATGCGCAGGTATGGTGCTTAATTCAGGGCACATATTGAACCGTGCCTAAAGTGGAGAGCCAAGTCGAGAAGGCTTAAATAAGAAACCAATTATAAATGTTATACCATATGGCTATTGACACGATTTTGAAAATTATAAAATAAAATAAAAATTCTGAAGCCAAGGACATTTGAGTTAACTCGGTATGCAGTAAAATTAGCAACAGATATAAACAGTGCACGCCTTGTGAATGGCAATGTCAGCACATTCATCTGAAATGCTGCTGCACACGCCTTGTTTACACGGAGCCCAATGTCAAGCAGAAGGAAATTGTTGCGTTTCACGGTTCCGCTGAATGATGCGCCATCATGGGCGGTGCTCGAACCAACCTTGATCTTGGGACATGTGCACACTGCTTCAGAGCAACCCCCGACGCTCCTCAACAGAGCCCAATATTTGTATGTTTTGCTGAATCGTGCCAGTGTGTTTTTTTGGTAGACGAGAAAAGCTGTGAAGTTACATAGGATAAGATGTGTGACAAAGGCCGGTTTGAATAGCCTAGAGAGGGGGGGGGGGGTAGCAATGGTTATTTGCATGCAGAGTGAATGTCATTAAAAGAACGTAGCAAAAAAACGCGAGGCTTTATTTTAAGTCTTTGTGTACCCGTGGCGGATCCATAAGCTAGTGTACGTACAAATGTATCAGGCACACTTTTAATTCTCTGAATGGCATTGCAGTACTGTAATCATTTAATTATAACGCACTCTAGAGATATTTGATATTTACGGCTTATGCGTTTCTTTTGGAAGCTCGGTTCTTTTCATGCCAAGCTGGCAGTTAAACATCCTGAAAGAAGTTTCATTTGCGTTGTTCCTGAGGGAAAGAATAACGGAAAGGAGTGCAAGCATTCAGAAGGATGCTCTCTGGTGGCCGTAAACGTCTATGCAGAACCCTTTTGATAATTATTTTTTCCTCGCCTCATGCGAAACGGCCATTGCTGCCTTTTACTGATTGGCAGCAGGTCTTGCTGACATTTAGCTCTGCAGCACATTGTGCCTTTGTGCACGCATCCTTAATCGAGGGCTCTGCCGAGAGACGCACTGTTCCTGCTGCTCAAGACACTGCATTCAGGGCGTAGCGGGGTCCGGTTGGCTGTCCTCTCGCTCACTTGTACGTCGGTGTGCCGGACTGCAGAGTGCACAGCCGAGCACTCTGCTGCTTCTGGTGGGGGCGCTGCAACGGTGTTGGAGGGGGGTGATACTAGGCAGGCGAGGGTGTTCCTATGTAGCCGCTCAAAGCCAAGTGCTAAACCCTGGCCGTGTGTGCATATAGAGGAAATAGTAACTTGTCAGCTTCGTTGATCTTATCATAGTTCCAGTCACACACACGTAGACGCACACAATTTACTGGAGAGGACTGTTGGGCAATAAGTAATTCTCTGAGTAAATAATAAATGTATTGAAGCTTATTGGGGCGGACTAGCATTTAATTTTGCACGACACTTTTTAATCTAAATTATGTTTCTCATACAAATGTTGCTTCTTATCATGCGCCACGGTAGGTTGTACGGTTAATTCTCGACTCTGTGTGGATTAACTGTTCTTGAAAGATAAGTCTTTCAGCAAGCTCATTTAATTACAAGCTGCTCCTCACTTGCCGAGGGTCAGTGACTCGGTTTTCACGTGACCGCAAACGCCTCTACATTGCCACCTCTGTTCCATATAGGTAAAAATATGGTTTTTCCACTCTAATACGTTTTGTTTTTCATTTGTTTCTGTTTTTACGTGGACCGCGTCTTTACCCCAAGAAATGAAGAGTTGGTACTAAGCATGATTACGGATTTGAAATTATTTTCGAGTGATCTTCTTTCAGCTAAAACACCGCACTACCTGTCCTTGCAGAAAAGTGCTTCGACGCCGCCCGTGCTTGCCGCCAAACCGATATCGCTGGTCAAGTCGACCATTCAGGCCGCGCCGCTCGCCGTGGTGACGCAAAAAGCCGCCGTCGCCATGGTGACGTCGTTGAGTAACGGGCAGAAGCTGGCGCTGACGTCCTCCGACCTGCCGACGGCCAACCCCATCAACCTGCAGACGACGGCGAGCAAACTGCTGCAGGAGAATGTGGCGAGGATCCCTCCCAAGGCCTCGCAACCGCAGGCGAGTGACACCGACTTGGGAATCGGCATGTTTATTCGTACTGGAGGAATTCCGATGAGCTTGTGAAGCTCTTTTTCTCAGATGTCCAGTCGTGCCTGGGCCGGAGATGGACGTGGCTATGTAAACGAAAAAGGAAGAGAAAAATCCTACAAATCCGTGGATCTTGTAACATTTTCCAAACTGAAACATTAATTGGTGATGGTGATATTGGTAATAGTAAAAGGGGGGCTACCCTTTGAGAGCAGCACGGGATGATGATTTCACACCGACACGTGACGTCGCGCATTGTGACGTCATCGGGAGCGGTGGCGAGCACATGCTCTGTGACATCTTTGCCTTGGTCGGCAACGTTTGTTTTGTAAGCGCTGGATTTGATCGTCAAGTTATGGGCTTATAGGGCAAGTGCCAAATAGAAACATAACTTTATGCTCAGGTTTTGTGTATATTGGATCATCTTAAGAGCTATTTTGACCTCCGCCTAAATACAGTCGAACAAATCTTTAAAACCTGAGTTGGAAAGTGTGAAAAATACACGGCATGGTATTTAGTTTCAACCATACGGGTTTCCCAGATTACACATTCACTGCACGTTATAATGCCCGCTCTGCCTCTTTATTCGAGTACAGAGAGAGAGTTGGCAAGGTGGCTCTAACGTTACCGCACCAAGCTGGCACTGCCGTGATCCTGGATTACAATCATGTGATTAATCCAAGTTCTCAATTTGTAGTGAGTTTTTATGGTCTCAACCCAGCCACGAATGACCGAACACACACAAAAAACTACATTACATTTATATTCATATTTTTTGGGTCTTTTGGTAAAGCCACATAGATAGAAAAAATATATATATATATCACGACGTTTCGATCGCAACGCAAGCAATCGTCATCGGGTGAAAGAATAGCGAGAGAGCTGCTGAGGCAGGATGTTATAAAGGTTTGAGATGGGTGTAGCCCAAGGGTCATAAGCTAAGTGGGCGGGGCTAGTGAAGAATTTGCATGTGAATGTAAGATCGTAGAGCTACCGCCACATCAAGGAAAACGAGCAACGGTGGCTGTGTTAGTGAGACATTTAACCTGTTAATGTAAAGGCATTTGACCTGTTAATGTAACACCAGAGAGTCGAAAATAACTACTCAACATCACAGCCAGTGATGACTTAACCTGGTTAATAACGTCCTTCCAATGATTGCTCAGTTTGTACCCATCTTCTCGGTTGAAATTGTGTCCGTGTTTATTTTTCTGGATGGCTTTAGGAACGAATCTTTGCTGATAGCCAGTGGGTTTGCAGAGTACCTTCGTCTTGGAAAAATACATTTATTGTGTGCCCACAGCGTTAAAACAATGATCAGTCACGGCTGAGGTATTGGTCCTACCGTGTTTCAGATCTGCCTTATGTTCACGAACACGGTCCGAGACATGTCGCTTAGCTTCCCCAATGTAACTTCTGCCGCAGACACAGCTTAGTTTGTAGACGCCGGGGTATTGCATACATTATATTTGTCTCCGCACTTAATTTGACTAAATCCTTTCCTCTTCTTGGTTCTTTCGGTAAAGTCACGTAGAATGAAAATAATAAAATAATAAAAATAAAACATAATAAAATAATTCTCACGACGTTTCGGCCACAACGCAAGCAGCCGTCCTCAGGTGGAGAACAGGTCTGTCGAGAAGACAGAGTCTGAATGACACACCCCAGGCTTGGAGCCATTCAGACTGTCTTCTCGACAGACCTGTTCTCCACCTGAGGACGGCTGCTTGCGTTGTGGCCGAAACGTCGTGAGCATTATTTTATAATGTTTTATTTTTATTATTTTATTATTTCCATTCTACGTGACTTTACCGAAAGAACCAAGAAGACGAATCCCTGCTGTCACGAAAGCTTTAAATCGAAATTTAAATCCTTTCCATGAAAATGTTTGACAGACAGTGATGAACTTTACACCCTGTATTCGGGTGGGTGGGAAAGTCCTCTCTCCCCTACTGTGTGGGACCAGCGGTCGCATCAAGTAATGGGCTCTTTGATATCCACTTTCGTGAGCCATTGTATAACAAGATGGGTTGCACTGCTCTGCGACAGATCTGAATGGAATCTTCGCCTCGTAACATGACACTGATCGCACAATATGCATAAAATGAGGTGAAAGATATTAAATATATATTTCAAATACATGGGGACGCACCTGGTGACACGCCGTGGAAGGGCACATCCCTGTCTTGCGGCTTCACTGTATAACAAGATGCTTGGAGTGTGTTTAAAATGTGCCTCGTGTTTTACTGCTTGGGGAATCTTTTTTTACAGTACGGGTTATTTTATTATTTATTACATAAAACTGTATTGGGATAAAATAGGCAGTGGTATTTCGGAGAACAAAACTGGCACACAAAAGGTCATACCTTACAAACAGCGGTAATGAATGTCTTAGCAAATAAAAACGAGGGTGGGTGGGAGTGGAAATGAGCATATACATTTTCTCACTATTACACATACTGGTGAGTTTATGCGTGTGTGCGTTTACCGGTATAGCGGTTAGCACTTTGGGCTACGAACCCAGCGACCTGAGTTCGATTCCCGCTAACGGCCAACACCAGTGATAATAATTAACTGAACTGGTCCTGAGCCTCCCCTAGGTTGACTCAGCCTCAACTGAGTACCTGGTGTGGTGTGTAAATATCTCCACTGGGGAGACAAAGACGGCCTGGAGTGGTGTTTGTGCTCTTGTGTGCTGTCCCGAACAGCACTTGCTCTAACAATCTGTTCAAGGCCATATGGGGGGGGGGGGGGGGGGTTGTTTACCAGTTAAACCTTCTAGCAGTCCTGGATAAATCAACTTGAAATTCTGAGGATTATGCATTTGTAAGGACACACTAAGATACGCTTAAATATTAAGGTAAGCTAAGGTTTATAGCCAATGATTATCTAGTCTCCTGCTTACCTCGTTACTAAAACAGTATTTTTGGCTACAGTGACTTTTTTTGTGGGGTGGAAGGCTAGTTTAATTTTAATGGCTTATCTTCCTGTGTAATGTACGGATTTCATGGTTGCAAACTCGCGAGTTCAAATTCCAGTCAGAGTTTACGGGCAATAATCCCTTTGGGAGTCAGTAAAAAATGAGTGCCACCTGGTTAGCTCTGCTTACTCTGAAGCTCAGAGTGTTTGCACTTTGGAAGGCCTGGTCATCTCTGCCACAGGAATGTGGCTTTGCCACAACTGATACAGGGCCCACCAATGGTGGTGTACACCACTCAAAGCTCGAGGGAGCATGGGTTCCCACTTTGACTCGTTACTCTGGACGTGTGTAAGAATGGAGTGAGCACATTTCAAATCATCATCGTAACTCTAGGCAGTATAAACCAGTGGGCAATCGGGAAATGTAGGAGGGAACGGAAAACCAAAGTTATTATTCCCTGCTAGTTTTGTGCCAATCTCACGGTTTCTGTCACAACGAGAAATAACATTTGTGTGGCACATGAATTTTAAGAGGTTCTCTGGACATAGGCTACTGCTTAGAGTGTAAGGCAGAGCTGCAAAGGCCCCAAAGCCATATCCAGAAACTCTGAAGCTGTAATTGGTTTCTCGTCGGCTAAACGCTGAATTATTTTTGGCGTAGTGCAAGCAAGAAGTATGAACTCCCACACCTTTTTTAACAGTTTTCTTTTTTCCCATTTATCGTAAAGAACTTTCAGTTACTAAAACTTCAACCTAAATAATGAAGTTTAATTTTTTTTAAATGTTTCGATGATGTACAATATTTTAATGTGATTTTCATGGTAAGACTCAACTTATTCTGTGAAAGTTGTCCCACAATTATAGAAGTTGTAAATTGATTCTGGGTAGCCTTAAACAATCTTGAGGTCTCGTTATAAAATTAGTTTGAAGCAATGGATCTTAAAGTAGACAATTAAAATTATGTTTTATGTCAGATATCTTTGAAGTAGTTAAAATGAACTGACTGATATTAATTCATGGTCTAGAATGAAATCCATATTGGCGTTGGTGGTATGCCTTGATCTTTTCACTGTTGTGTGTCTTTTACAGCAGGCTCTATCTGTGGCGTCCTCTCCTATCAAGGTGCCCCAGCTGTCCTCGGTCCACAGACTGACTGGACGTAATCCAGCCACCTTAACACAGGTAGACACCACGTGGCCACATTCTCCACTGCAGCCTAATTTAGAACACATACTAGGTTATGCAGTAATAACTGTGCAATTTATTTACGCGGAAAACTTTGCTCGTGCTCACGACTACTGCATAAGACTCGTCGCTCTGCTCACGGAGTTGGGGTTTTTTTTTCTTCCCCCCACGAATTATAAAAAACAACAACGAGAACAGCGCTCCTGAACGACTGTTCCTTCCTGCACACAGGTGCGCCCAAAGCCAAACTCGGCGGCCGTGTCGCCGGTGCAGGGCGGCGGCGGCGGCCCCCAGGCGTCGCTGGTGCCGCTGCACAAGGCGCATGCGTTGCTGGCGGTGCGGGGAGCGGGCGGGGTGCAGCACGTGCGCATCGTCAACGGGCAGCAGTACAAGCCGCGCTCGCCACCTCCCACGCAGCACGCGTCGCTCGCCGCCTCCACCGCGCTCGCCGCTGCACCCTCCGCCTCCGTCACCGCCGCCCCCCCGTCGTCGGCGGCTCTGCCCCCGTCGTCCTCTGCGGCCGTGTCCTCGGCGTCGGCCGCCGCGGCGGCGTCGGCAGCGTCGTCCTCGTCTCCCGTGGGCGGCGTCACCGTGGTGGCTTCGGGCACGCAGCCCAGCAAGGATGGCACCGCCAGACAGGTGGGCTCGGAGGAACAAATGGTGGCGAGCGTGCAAGGGTCGTACGCGGGAAGAGGAGGTGCGACGATTAACCGGACGCAAATCGATTCCTGTGTGGACACGGACACTGTTTGCACCGTGGCCCTTTTTGGTGGAATTGGCGTAGAATTAGGCCATTGGGAGAGACGTCAGGTTGTTTTTTAGCAGGCGGGCCTTGTTAGTGCCTAGCAAATGTGCGGGGTTGTGTTTTCTGTTGTTGAATGTTGTCGTAATAAACCCTTACCTTTTTAGAGCTAAAGTTGAATGACAGCATGAATGTTACGTTTATCCACGATTCAGTTGTCATTTAGAGCTTGCAATAAGTTTTTAATTTATTTTACTGTTGTTTTGATACCGGAGATAATTTCTGCGCATCGAGAGAGAGTTTTTTTTTATTGTTTTCATTTTGTTCATGGTATAATTATTTCTCACAACTGGCATTTTAACTGTTTTTTGCACGGTCCTGTCGTGCAGACTTCACAAACTGTGTACCGAGCAAACCTGTCAACACGGATACTTTCGCCCAGGCCCCAGGTGGAGACAAACCCACAGGTGAGTGAGCTTGAGTCGTATAAAAGCACACGGGGCTCACGCATCAAAGTAGATGCGAAACAGACGCAGCGCGAGCACTGAACGTTCACTTGTGTTTGGGCTCAGAGGAATTAATGTTTGGTGAGCGTGTATGCCCCAGATTAACGGATATCATGATTAATTGGATTAAAATTAATTCTTATACTTCATGCATTGATTTCTGCATGTATTGAATCGATTATTTCCGATTTATGAAGGTTGTATGTGATTGGGCTGTGGAAGCCCCTCCCTGCAGCCAGTGTGAAGTATGATTGGCCCACAGTGCCCAAAAAATGTCATCCCAAATCATGACAATTCAGTGATCCTTAGAGAAGATTAATTGTCATGCCCCAGTTGGTTAATCATTCATAGAAATATGTAAACGTCATTTACGATTACGGAATTTTTAAAATATTAATTTGCATGTGTAAATATTTTTGTGTGCATATGAAGCCTTAACACTTATAAATAGACATCAGGATATGAGTGAGGGCTGGCATTTTATTTTTTATGTGCGTGCATGTTTAATTCAAACTGTACTTTTCATTTAAAAATAAAATATTAAAATAGCCTGAGCCAACACTGTACTTCTTTTATTATGAATTGGGAATTAATTCACCTATTATTCTGTGAAACCTTCGTTACATTGTGTTCTACAAAATGACTAACCATTGTGAGATAGGTCCAAAAGCAGCCTTCTCAGTGCCTGTTTTTTTAAATCTTATAAATAATCTACCAACCAAATGTGCATAAATGCATAATTTGTGTCGCCTTGTTATTAAAACATCACAGATCCGGTTTTAATACAAACAACTGCACAATTAACGAAAGCAGGCTTTCATACCAGCTCTACTCGCATATGCTGCTACTAGCTATAAGTGGTTATAAGTGCTCATTATTCCCGCTTGCGTGGACCCCACGCGGACGTATCCATTTGCCTTTACAGAAGGTTGCATTCCTTGGATCCTTGGGCCTTGTGACTCATGAGCACATGGAAGGTATGTAATTTCTCGCCGATAGTTCTTGCTGGTTCCCCACGTGTCTGGGGTTGTTCCTTAACCCTGTTGAAGGTCGTGAGTGGCCTATAAAAACTGGTGTGAAATTATGTTTTCCGATATTCAACAAAAAGACCCGTGGTATGCCGCCGGGAGGTTATTAGGGTCATTCTGTTGAGTGAATAGGCAATTGCCACATGTCAATAAGGTTTTAGCTATTTCCTTCAATGTTGTTAGTAATTTTCACATGGGAAAAATAGTGCTCATGTCGTCCATTTTATACGTTTAGATTTTCGACAAAGTAAATTGTAAAGGTATTTTTTAAGGAATTAAAAGCATACACGAGTACATTTCAGGAAAAGTATCCAACATCTCTCTGAACATAGAAGTTTCTTCTGCTATCTTGCTATTTATTTATTTTTTATCAAATAGCTCCATCCAGCGTTTGGAATACACACAAAATGGATCAAGCTGCGTTTTGTTGCTACCATCTAGTATTGCTCAAATTTTCAGGTGATGTTTGTTGTGTGCTTGTCGGCTGTGAGTAGATGTGTTGCCATAGTTTGCTGGCTCTGAGAATGAGCTCCTCTTCTTTTAGAGCATCAGCCTATCAGAGCTACAGAGTGAATATCGATTGAACTTCATACATCTGCCATGGCATTTACTACCGAGCTCCCAACTGTGGCCCTCATGGGGGCGGTCTGCCTGAGACTCGAGTCAGCCTGATGATGACCGCTTGTGTTGCGATCGAAACGTCGTGGGTTTTTCTTTTATTATTTTCAAAATTTTATTATTTTATTTTACTATGTTAATTGTGGGTTTTTAGCTTTTATTATTTTCAATTGATTATTTTTATTATAAAAAAAATTATTTTATTTTTTTAAAATTCTGATTTTTTGTTTTCTAATTACTTAACTTTACCGAAAGAACCAAGAATATAAATTCATGCAGTCACGAAAGTTTTAAGTCAAAATTCAGCGAAGGGGTTGTTGGATGGCCTCGTGATCAGTGCTATCACCACTGAGCCAGTCTGCTTTGGGACAATCGTTTGATTCCTACCACAGACATGACATGATATTGCCAAAATACACTGTCTGCTGTAGAGTGGTTTTTAAAGACCTCATATCTTTCAGACCTTTGTGTGATCATTATAGCTAACTAGCCTTTTACCCGTGCAAGGACGGGTGTATTTCAGTAAATCTGAAACTAGTAAGCGAAAAGCAGACCGCTACGTGATATTCATTGCATCAATTTGTGTGCAATTTGTAAGGCCGCGGTGACACAGACATTTCATTTAAAGGTTATAATCCCTTGTTCATCACGACGTCCTTTTTACTTCTATGTCTCAATAGCGTTACGGAGATCGCATGATGTGAGGGTTCTGCCTTTGTAGTGAGGGTTGTAAGTTGACGCTAAGGAGGGGGGAGGAGGTGCCTCGCCCCCCCCATGTGGAGTGACGTCACCCGCTAATTAATATTAATGGTGGGGGGGGGGTGTCCATTTGGAAAACGTCACCTCTTGATGGTTATTATTAATTTGTGGGGCTGTTCTATGTGGAGTGACGTCACATTCTGATGAGCCCCCCCTCTCCTCCCCCCTTCAACTTGCTTATAAGGGATTACATCTTGAATCATTGCCTCACTTGATGCAGCTAATACGGCTGTGACGGTCCCACCTGATGACGGAGACTTGAGTTGCCTCCGAAACGTCGTGATTTTTGTTTTATTTTATTTTCATTAATTTGGATGTTTTACCTACGTGACCTTACCGAAAAAACCTAAGAATATGAATCCTTGCAGTCACGAAAGCTTCAAATCTAGAATTAAGGCGCAGCTTTTATGTACCAAAAAAATAAGCTACGTCTTAACCTGTAGGAGCAATAAGTCTGACGCGTTTTTGAAGTGTCTTAAATCAAAACTGTTTCTTTATTTTTTAGTTGCACAAAAACGAGCGATTTCAAAAGTTATTTATTCGCCTGTCCACGTCCTGTATCACGTCCTGTATCACGTTGTCACATGGTCGGAGACTGTCCACTCTCTCCCGCCTGACTCTTCTTCTGCCTTCCCGTTTATACTGTTGGAATATTCCAAGTCGAATATGCCCAGTCTGTCAACAAATGCATGACAGATGTACATCAAATGTATACACAAAAATAATACATTAACTTTCTGTCTTATGGCTGTTACAACCTGCTCATGATTATTAATGGAGGGGGGGGGGGGAGTGCTACATGTGGAGGACGTAACCTGTTCATGAGTATTAATGAGGGGGGCTGGCCGACGTGAAGAGACATACTTGGCTCATTATAGTAGTAAATGTTCAACATAAATAATTTAATTATAGGTGTGTAATAAAGTGCAGGAAAATCCATGATGATACTATACTTACTTGCTTCCACATCTCTCATTCCTTCACCAACCCGCATTGACCAGTGTGGTGAAGTATGACCTGCTCAATATGCGGGGGGGGGGGGGGGGGGGGCTTCATCTAGCAATGGATTGAGAAGCATTTTATAAAACATGTGTAATATAGCGTCTTTGGACAGTTGCACATATTTATATATTTGTGTATATCTCGCCTCAGTAATATATGACTCTTGGCTTCAAATTGAATTCAAAAGGAAATGGAAAGAAAATATATTTTGGCAATGCAGTGTAGGGAGAATATTGTGCTGGTGCTGGTAGTTGGAAGGCATGTGAATCGGACCATGCATTAATTCCTGTACAGTATGTGTGTGTGTTGTATCGTGCGCACTTGTGGAGTGGAGGAATTGATGGACACCAGCGCAAAAGCGGGCTTCTCTGTAATGCCGTGCAATAATAAAATGGGGATAAACCTCGGGTCTTTAAAAACGGAGAGCGGGGTGTCGCGGACTGCGTGTCGTTGGCAAATTATTTGTCTGCGAAACACGGGAACAGATGTAATTAAAACTCGCACCAGAAGGGAGCAGCCAATGTAAATAGGTCCCAGCCCCCTTCACTCCAAAGCCACATCTCACCTCCACGACATTACATTTGTGTAAACATGGAGCAACTGTCACGGGTATGGATGGAGAAAAAAAAAAGAATTTTCTGTCATGTTATTCACTGCACATGTAGCAGGTAACGATAAAAGCCTGGTTATGGATTTTTTTTTTCCACTCACAGTTTAAATTAGGTGCTTATACGAGACACCAGGGAACGGCGAGTTGCAGGAATTAATTTGAATTTACACTTTAGCCATCGGCGCGTTTTTTTTTACAGCGGCAATTTTTTTCTTTCCGGTTTTTATGTTTTTTTTTGGTTTTTCCTCCCATAAGTGGTAAAAATGTAACGCGCGGTATGTGTTTTGTGCAGAGATCCAGAGCAGACGCCAGGAGAGGAAACGGCGCACGACGGCGAACCCCGTTTACAGCGGGGCGATGTACGAGCCAGAGGTACGACGGCCGCTTTCACGGGGGGAGAAACAGCTCCCGAGAGGGGTGGGAGGAGGGGGGTGGAATTGTCTAGTTCCCTTTTTATTTTCCTTTTGTTATTTGTGTGTGTGCGTGCACGAGTTTGCGAGCGAGCATCGTAGTATGCGGTGCTGGTTAGCGGTGCTGAATTATGATCCCATATACCTCCCGTGGTTTTAAGTCCTCGCTGTGCAGAGATCGGTGTCACTTGTTACCTGAAAGTCACCTGTCCCCCCCCTCCCTTCAGCAAAACTGCACAACTCTGGATGTTGCCGTTGCCCCACCACTCACATCATGTGCTGTGCTGGCTCACATCATGTGCTGTGCTGGCTTGTGATATGTGATTGCTAACAACACTCACCGCAGTCCTGTTTTGTTTGTCTTGTCTGTAAAAATAATGTTGTGAACCATGGAACCTTTCAGCTTATTATGTTCCTATCTCATGAGCACGTGTATATGCAAGAAGCAAGATGTTTTACTGTGCGGTACAGTGCCGTCGGTATACACAGTTTGAAGAGTGCACAAATTATGTGCATCCTTTTAGAGTTGCATGTTTGAATATTTAGTGCGCGATTGAGCGTGCATATGTATTTATGTCACATTGATTTTATTAATAAATTAAGATGTATACATACTGTTACTTAAATGTTTAATGATGTGCATCGATGTATATTAAATTAATGAAAATGTTCACATGCTATTTTGATAGCATTAAAGCGGTATTAATTTTGAGAGGTGGTTCATGTCTGCGCCTTTTGCATTTGGTCCTAATTACAGAGAAAACGCAGTGCGGTGACCTACCTGAATAATCCTGTGCAAACCGGCACGAGAAAAAGAGGTATTCCTTGGTCACATTTGTATAAATGTCATACATTCCAACCTACATTACTTAATTAACATTATTAAAACTGTGATTAAAAAGTGTTGTTGTTATTACCAAGCTTCTTTCACTTTGACACAGCCTTTAATATGTGCGTTTTAGTTTTCAAATGTTTACTGTAATCAGAGAATGTAAATATGACAAATGTTAAGATGTAAATGTATACTTTTATACATGTATATTTTTGCTTAAACACGTCATTTATGTTATTCACTTGTTTTTGCTTCTGTAAATGCGGCTGGTTAATTCGTTTGGAAGGCCAGTAGACAGATAACAACCCATTTTATATTGATGTGTAGAGTTACGCAAGTTAAGTTATTTCATTACCCAGAATGCTACACTGCAGCACTTGGCGACTTCTACACTAAGTGGTATCGCTGCTCGTGTTGTGTTTAACACTCTTCTTCCACTTTTTTGTAATTCCTCTTTTTGTATTTTAGTCATTTCAAGTCCTGTGACAGTTGCATTCTAGATTTTATATTGCGTCCAATATTATCAAGGATTGCGATGTGCAGCCAAAACCTTAGATTCGTTATGCATTAAAAAAGTGAGGATTTAGTAACATTTTAAAAGAAGAGCCACAAAGTGGATGTTGCATTCATGGTAATAAGTGGCTTTCATATATATTCATTTATATTTGATTACATGCGTACAAAAGGAGATTTAAAAATGTTAACATTAAATTGAGTTCCAAAGGCGATGTTAATACATTGTCATAAGTGTTGTGCGATCTTTGGCATTTGTTCAAAATCTTGAAGTGTTGACTGATTCTGTTCTAGTTTTCTCACAAATCTATTGCATTTTGAATAATTAGATTTAACTATATTATCTTTTCTCTGCAGTATCTTTTCTTTAAACTTCAAAGAAATGCTTTAATTAGATTACCCAAGAAAGGCTATTTAAAATTATATTCACTCTTATTCAAACCCAAGTGCCTCTTACATTTAGAGGAATTTGTCTTAATAACCTTAACAGCAATGTTGGAAATCCATTGCAAATTCTGAGCAAGCATTCTGATATCTAAACCCTCTGCGGAGAGTATTTAGCAGCATCGCGCTGAGAGGTAGCACTCACATTAACAGCCTTTCTTGACGTGAATCTGACTAATGCACTAACATTTGTTCCTGCTAACTGCCTTTTTCCTGCTTCATCTACTCAAGCACATTCTAACCTCAAGCTTTTCTCGCTCTCATTTACACGCTTGTCCAGATGAGGAATTCTTGTGGAAGGTATGTTTGTTGGTGTGTTCAAAATGCAAGCAAACAAACCCCCCCACAAATATTATGCTGTTGCCCCCCCATCCCCGCCCCGCCCGCCCTGCCTCCCCCACCAACCCTGGTCAACCACCCCTGCCACGTGGAAAGGTCGGCCTCCAAAGTACGCTAGCGTATTGGCCGGGTTGGTGGGGCCACCCGTGCAGGCCCTGCCGTCGCTGAGTCAACCGGCCGCGCCGTTGGAGCAGGACAAGGCGGCGGGGGGTGGTGCCCCCCCTCCGTGCAGCCCGTCAGACGGGCCGGCCGCTAGCCCAGCCACGGTCTCCGACGTGAGTTTCGCTCGTTGGTTGCACGGCGCCGCAGGGAAACGAGACAAGAGGGGGGGGTTGGCCTGGCCGAGGGAAGGCACCGCCGCTTTTTCCTTTTTCTCTGGCCTCTAGATCGTGACGTTCCCCGCTGCGCTGCACCGCCCCCCCCCCCCACCCCCCCTCGGATGTGTTTTAATGGAGGGCCCGGAGTCCCTGGGGTCACCATGCGAATGTGTTTCTCCCTGTCTTTCGTTTCACGAGTACAGTTTGTAAGCGTGGCTGCCGTTGTGAATGTATGGTTAATTTTGCTGGGTTAAGACTCGTAAATTATGAATAATATCTGCAGGCATGTCTTCATAACACGAAACATCTTCGCCTTTAATACTTGTTATTATCCATCCTTTTATTACCTTTGTGTAAAATTTTGAATTTGAATAAGGTGAAAAAGTGGCCTAATTTTAATTCAAGTTCTCATGTAGGTCATGATAAAAAAACAGATTTTTACTTGAATTTGTCCACAAAATGTGCAGATGAATTATTGCTCTTGGAATCATTTGTTTTTCTCATTCTGTTTCGATTCTACAGTTCTGTTTGCTCCATTATTAGCCGTAAATGTTACAAAAGCATTCCATATGCGTAATTCACGTAAATTATAATAAAGTAATTCTCAAGCACATCGTTTTATCCACGCTGTATTGTGAACGTTATCATAATCCGGTGTTAATTTTCACCGGCACATTGGTGCATGCCTACACCTCGCTCTCCGGAATACCCACAGAAGGAAGGGCCACAGTTGAGTACTCATTTCTTTAGAACTGCTTTTTGTGTTTAGTTTGTTGTCCCACCCCTGCACCTCCGATTAACACTGTTGGCCACGTACGATGCCAGAGAAGTTCAACATATACAAACTACTTAACTTTCAACTGTTTTTATTGAACCAGGTAAGGCCCACTGAGCTATGAAGCTCAAATGAAAGCTCACCAAAGTGGCTTATCAGTGTGGAAATTTATAGTTGCAAAACACTCTAAATGCATGGAAACCCGGAGGACCCAGAGAAAAATCCACGTGACCACGGGGAGAAGCATGCACACTCCAACTATACAGGCGTCAGGGTCAGGATGGAACCCACGACCTCCTGTATACCGGGCGAGGCAGTTAACATCTCGCCACCGCGGCACCCGTACGTACTTGCACACTTTGGCACATGGTACAATGCCCGATTCACCCCGTCGCTGAAAAGCCCCCCCCCCCTCTCCACCCCACCCCATCTGTGCCGCCATAGGGGGACATCCACGAGGACTTCTGCTCCGTGTGCAAGCGGAGCGGTCAGCTGCTCATGTGCGACACGTGCTCGCGCGTCTACCACCTCGAGTGCCTGGAGCCACCACTCAAGGCCATCCCCAAGGGCATGTGGATCTGCCCCAAGTGTCAGGAGCAGGTGCTGAGGAAGGAGGACGCGCTGCCCTGGCCGGGAACCCTGGCCATTGTCCACTCGTACATTGCGCACAAAGCAGGTGATATGCCGCTATCGCTGTCGAGATTCGATACGCCGTGCTGTTTCGTTAGTCACGGTGTTGTTGTTGTTTGGACTGCATTTCATTTCCCTGTGTTTTTTTTGCAAAATATATATTTTTTTACTGTCCGGCTTGCCCATCCACCTGCAGCCGTCATTTAGTGGAACCGAAAGGTCCGTTTGTTGTAGATTCACAAACTCCATAATTAGCAGTGTTGACTTTTGTTTTGCAACACCACTTGCACACTATTTTATTACCGCAGGTGTGTCTGCCTTATTTGTACAAATGTCTTTGGTGCCTCTTTGTAAAATACACGGCTGGAAGAATTACCTCCGTCACGCCGTGTCGGTCATGGAGGTCGCTTGACTGTCCTTCGGTTAAGCCGAGTTGAAAACTTGTGTCGTTTGCAACTTTTGTTTTGCAAACAGCTAAGGAAGAAGAGAAGAGGAAGCTTCAGAAAAGGAGCAATGAGCTGCGTCAGGAAAGAGACCAGCTGGAGCAGAAAGCGAAGATGCTAAGCACTGCCATTCTGGTAACGTCTCTGTCTGCTGATAGACCATACGCAGTCTCATAGTGTCACGGTGTGTGCTTTTATCGCGCGTAAGTTGCCTTTCTCCTGAAAAGCGCATTCATAACTACTACATTTGTTCGCACAAGTAGACATGAACCGATCCCGCACCTGAAATAATTTAACATTCTGAGCACAGCACAACATGCTCCGCTGTTGTACCAAGCGATCTCCATTTAAGGCACGATGATTGCCAGCAATTTGTGGGGGAAAACGGCGCGGTGCTTATTTTTCCCCACATTTTGGGTTTTTATTCTTGCAGAAGTGCATGGAGGTACGCAATAGCCTGCTGTCCAAGCAAAAGGAAGTGCAGGTGGGAATGGAGAGATATCGGAAGCTGGTGCAGCTGATTAACGGCGTGCCAGCCAAGCCGTCCAAGCCACCCGCTGCTGCCGCCCAAGCCTTGCAGGTCGTGGCATCGACATCATCTCCCGTCGTCGCAACCGCTGCCACCCCTCTTCTCATCATCACCACGCTGACCCCTGACCTTACGGCCATGGGAGTTCCCGTCGCTCGAGCCACTTCCGTTGCCGTTTCGACCTCCACCGGGATCCTGACGCAGATCCACCCGCCGATGGCGCCTGCGGGCCAGTTGCCCCACCAGCCGCATGCCAAGCACTGAACGCTGGGCTCCTCTCTCTCTCTCTCTCGCTGCCCACCGCTTTGAGACGATGTTGCTGGAAATGCGACGACGAGAGAAGCAATGATCAAGGAACAAAATGGGAGACCGTGTGCACAATGTACGTAAAAGCGCACACGGTCTCGCATGCTGCGTGCATCGACTCGTGAGGAATTAACATAATCTCCCTCCGTTAAGTCTCAAAGGAAGCTACGTTGAGAGCTAAGTATGTAAAGGTCGGCGTCTCCTCGAGTATCAAGAGCGCAACGTTCACTTAAAATGTTGTGCAAGGAACGCCTTTGAGCTTTAGTATGGAAAAGGGTATTTTGCATCACAAACTGAACTTTTTTGCAAATGATACAAAAACAATGCAGGCATTTGCTGGTTTTTCTCCTTTTCTGACTAAAACCTTTTAAGTTGCCAAGTATGATTTTTTTTATATACAGTAGTATGCAGTTATGCTCTATATTGGTATATTAAGGTATACATGAATAGATTATAAAGTAAATGATTAGGAACATTGTATGCATATTAAACAGTATCATTTGAGTGTGAATCCTTTTTTCTAACTGTTAGATTTTTCATACACATCTGTATTCTTTGTGGCAAATAAGGTTAACTGTTGTTGGTGAATGCTTCTAGGTCTGTATTTAACAGTTTAGACATAAGAACTATCAGCGGCAACTGTCTTGTTGACAATGTAAATTAAACCAGAGTGGATCGTAAATATTTTCTATCCTCCGTTTTCACTGCTGCAGATATCACAATGTAGGATCAAACCCTTTCTCAATGGGTCCTGCAACTGCGTTAGGCCAAGGGCAGACGAACATGCTACCTTCGTCTTCCTGCTTCTCTTGTGCAGCCTCAAGGCTTTAAAGGAACCACGTTTAACCTTCTGTCGCAGAAGAACAAGAGCATTTATGCTCACCTTTTTTAATACATGGTACCAAAAAATACAAACAAACAAAAAACCTAGCAGTTGCCAAACTAAACAAGTATAGAGTAATTTTTTAATAGCAAATGCATAAAGTAGGAAAATGTATTACTAGTTAATCAAAGTAAAGGGCAAACAGTGAAATGACTTTTGTGTTGTATTTGGAGTAAGTGGAGTGGAGAGAATGCCATAAGTTAAACGTTTAAGTAACTTGTTGGAGGGTATTACCTGCATCTCTGTCCGGTTTTATTTTTTCGCGACTCGTTTCTCAGATAATGCTGGTAACAAAAACAACAAAAAAAATGAATGTACATTTTTTATGTTTATAATGTCTTTTTATTTTCAGTTTTTTTGATATACACATTTTGTGTCAGGCAGTGCTGGAACTAAATAATGCAGCTGTGTCAGTCTCTTTTGCGTGAAAACTTGGACAACTTCTGCCAGACAATGTTGCGAGAGTGATCTATGAATTGGTCGGATAAGCGAGGTCCTCGCAAAATATATTTTACAACGGAATGCGTCGGGGGTTTAAGATTCCGGGGTGCTCTTAGTTTAAAGAAGCAGTCGCCACTGGAAGGGTCACTACACATTATGCCAGGGCCGTTTGAGCATCACAAAACTAGAATGTGGATTCTCGGGACCACCCGTGCTATCATATGGTCTTGATTGTGTGTTTGTTGCTTATGTCAACGCGAGTTAGTGCTCCCATTGATAGGCTGTTACCCTCCTGAAAATGAGTCGTGAGACTCATTTGGTCAGGCTTTCCTGGATAAACGAGCGTAATAAAAATGAGCGTGCTTATTTGTCACCAAGCAAATGGTTATTCCAAGTAAATATTGTATGTCGCAATACGTACTGCATTGTAGGCTCCAGGATCGGAGGCAATTGTTACTTGGAGTAAAATTGCTTCCTCACGCACTCTTGCAACAGTGGAAGACTGTGGTTACGCTTCTTTCGGACTAAATTAAATCTTGGAAATGAAAAATATAAAATCACACGCTAAAGAATGCAAGCATATCGTTTACATTTTTTAGTAATTTATTTTGTGTGACATATTTATTTAGTTTTAAATAAATGCGACCATCTAAAGTCGAGTAAATTTGCCTGTTTTCACTTTTGTTTTTCTACTTGCCCCGTGTGTGTCCTGAGAATCCCATGGCTTAAAATGTTGTGCCCTTGGCCAGGGGGATGGCTGGCTTAGGCTTGTGAAAATCAACACTGTGGTCTTGTGCTCGTGCCCAATACAACCCTATGCAAGTTGATTTGAACTCTCAAAAGGCAGTTCCAAACTGGTCCGGGGTCCTGTTCCCCTAATGAAGTGCTTGACGCGAACTGTATATAGCCTTACCGTTAGTCTCTTCATAGCCGTTTTGTAAAGTAGTTTTAGTAAAATATTAAAAAATATTTTAAAAAACCAGCAAAAAAAGACAAGCTTTTTTGTATATAATTATATACGAAGCATGCAGGTACAAGTACATATTGTGTTTATTGCATATCTGATCTTTTAGCATGGCACTGGAGATTTTTGTTGTTAGAAAGATTGGTAAAGTTTTATATTGGTGGACTTGGGAGAGGTTAAATGAATTAAAGGGGAGGCAGTTATCATTTTCAGGCTTTTAACGATATTTTCCTATTGCTTTACTAGTTGGTTACTCATGACATTATAACAATAGTAATATCTTGCTAGCTTAAATTGTATTTATTTCTAAAATTGGTGGGTGGTGGGTGGGAAACAATCGTTACACATCTCTTTAAACTATACTTGAACGTGGAATATTTGTCCATTATTGCAGGTTGCTACTTTCCTTTTAAAGAACATTTCGGTGGCCTGAAGTTTGGCGAGGCCAAATTATGGCCTTGTGATTTAGAGTATCTGCCTTGGTTTGAAAGGTCATGTTATAATTTCTGTGGCATTTGACCCAAAATCGTTTGGGGGGATCCTTTGTGCCCTTCTGTCTGGAACCGTTGTATGCGGGGGTGTGTGTGTGTGTGATAGAGCGAGAGTGAGCGATTGTAGGATGGACACATGGGGATATATGGGCTTGGATAATATGGCCCAACATTGGACAGCCCAACTGCTTGGTTGTTCTTCACCAGATTGTGTGTCGGCTGAAATTATACATATAATATATTGTCTCGCTTATTAACTAGCTTAAAAGAGGAATGACATAGTAACAAAAATATTTGGTACTTTGGTAGATACTCGGCATTTTTTTTTCATTTTGGGAAAGCGGTATTTATAAAATGTGACCAGTACCGACCACAAGCGAAGAAACCAATTGGACAACATGCCCCCATCATCGGATGAGCGCTGCTCACAAAGACGGCTTCTTGATTTGGCGATCAGCAGAACAGTTTTTTTGAAGAGACGGTGGCAAGTGTGCGGGCTCAAGACTTGTATGCATGCAGGAATACACTACGTTAACAAAACCAATTGGTTAAATAGACTTTCCGGTACAGTAATGGGTTGTTACTGTGTTTGGGTACCAGTACACAGTGAGGGTAATGTAAGCAGGCGAGTGCCTTTCCGACTGAAAGCTAAGCTTCTCTACCTCACACAAAAAAACACGAGCAACAAGAAACAGTACAGTTACCCATATTTGCTGGGGTGTTGTCTTTATGAGCGAAACTAAATATTGACAAGGGATGATGTACATTTTGAAATAGTGATTTTTATCTTTAACAAGAAACCAACATCTTTTTTGCATGTCATTTGTTTTTTTGGAGTTAAATTACGAATGAAACAACGAAAATAAACCCCACATCTTTGTAAACAAAACCAAGGAAGTTTTAACCCTACGTGAGGAAAGGTAGTTTGGTATGTTGGTCAGTAGAAAGTACAATAATAATCCTTTGTACATGATGCTCTCCTCGAACAAGACGAGTCTCTTAATAATCCGTGCGGTGGTGACGTCCCCTGTTTAATGTTCACTTGAAATTGCCGATGTACCCAACGGAACGTTTTGTGTATTTTGAGAATCTTTGCCATTTATAAAATGTAATAATAACAACAATGATGATGAACCATGTGACAAATGAACGAATTGTTTTGAAAATTTTAAAAAGTTTTGCTTCTTTGCTTGGCAGAAGGAATGGTGCCACGGTTTGGATGTAGTGAATACGCAGACTTGTCTATGTTGGATCGTATGATGTTATTTTAGTGTTGTGTTTCTTAGATTGAGATAATGCTTAGAGCCTCAACGTTTTTTTCTCTACCATTTTTTCAATAAAATCTGCCACATTTTTTTCATGCACAAGACATATCAGTGGATTAGCTGGCTTCCGACAATGGAATTTATCTTATAATTAAAAATATATATTGGTTTTTCTTTTGTTAATAAGGAAGAAAATACTGCGTCGCAGTCTTTAAATGTAATTAAATTTGTACTCATTCCAACCAAGTTCCAATGAGATGTATTTATATTATAAAACAAAAACAAGCCTTTTATCTCGTGAAAGTAGCGTTAGGTTTGAAAAGCTGTTTGGTGAAATACTGTTGGAGAATCCTTTTTTGTCTTTATTTGTATATTTGTAATTGCTTGCCTTGAGTCACTTTGTTTACTATTAATTTGCTACGTTTTTTGGGGGGGGTGGGGTTTCTTTAAAGAATGCTTTGTTACCAGTTGCGGTGCTGACCCAGTGCTGGAGCCATCATGCGGGCCTTGTTTAGTTTAGTGTGAGTAGTGCTGGCCAAAATGTGTTTGTTTTGCTGCGTTTTAGCCATGATGTTTTTGTGAATGTGCAGCTGTAGTTGGAAGGCTTGGTGTTGATTAGCTTCGCATCCCTAGAGCCTTTTGATCAAATTGCATTCAGAATGTTATTTATTCAGATCACTGTTCTTTAATAAATTTGATCACAAAATAATAACATTTGCGGTCCTTTTACGCAGAGTTCCTGAGTTTGCCTTGTGTCATTATTTTTACAATGTCGGTGTTACGGCCTCTAAACCGGAGACTCATTCGGAATGTAAAGGACAACAGAAAATTGTTTAGTGGATACAAGCAAAACTAATTTATTTCCCATTTTATCGTCGTACATATTTTTTCTTCCAAAAATCTGTTTCAGTATTTTCAGAGCTCCAGACTTACAGTACCGTTTGTAGTTTTTCAGAACCGGGTAATGTAATGGATATTTCTTGCGCAGAAGTGGCTACAAGCAGGAGAAGGCTCTGTGCTCTTGAGAAGCCATGAACAGGATGCCATGGAGGAGACTACAACTGTGCACAAGCCAACACGTGACCTGCTCTGAACATTCGTCGTCTTGAGTGCCGTAATATCTTGCACGACAAATGAGCCTTTCATTTTTTTACGCGTGTCGCCTTTTGGTACCAACACAGACCCATAAGTGTCAACGTGGATAACATTTACACGTACGAATGTACCATGTAAGGAAGTCTACTCGTATTTAGTGGAGCAATGGCGCTGTGGGTAGCATACTGCACGACAAACCTGGCAACCCGAGTTCAATTCCCAGTCACGGCGAACATCTGCGGCAAGTGATATGTCTCAAACCCACACTAACAAGTGTGAAGTATGGTCAAACAACACCCTCAACTGACTGCGGGGAGGCCTGAAGTAGAAATTACGTCTGTAATTTAAATGGCATTTCATTAACAAAAACCGTTTGGTGTTGTACAATTGAATAGTGAGTCCACTAATGGCAACAGAAAAATCGGTAAACTACTACAAAATATTGTTCAAACTGGAGAAAAAAATCACTTCACATGAAAGAGCCCTGGGGTTCGCATGCTGTGATATCATGGTATCAATGGAAGGTGAACCATGCAGACTTTGGTGATGCTGCATTGACAGGTGATGAGAACGCCCAGGTACTTAACTCGACACAATAACATTTCCTTAAATGTAAAAAATACATAAAAGGTGATGTTTCAGGCAATTGCTCTTAAGATGAATGCGAGGTGTTCATTTGCCTATCTATAGACACGCTGGTTCTGCTGTGACACCAATGCTTCGCAGTACGCGTTTGACCCAATCGCCTTGCCACGACAGCATTCGATTGATCATTTGCATCCCCGTTAAAGTAATGACATTTTTTTTACAACACACCAGCAGTCTTATCATCGGACGCATCCATTGCGAGCGCAACGGTTGACTTCAAGCAAAGTGACGACACAAAAACATCCATGAATGTCCACGAAGTATTTTTTTCTGTGTGCGTTGGGTTAGATCAAGTAAATGCCCGTTTTACACGTGGACTTTCGCGACCAATATCCATAATACAGGTTTTTTTGGGGGGTTAGATCGCATAAATATAAATGTGTCAAAGCCCCCATTACCCAAAACAGCAAATTAGTCAGAATTGTCTTGTAAACAAAACATGCCAATTAGTTACTAGTTCGGTACACACTGGTTGTGTTAGAGTAAACCCACATTTACAATTCGAGTCCTGTGACTTTTTTTCTCGTAACTACAACATGCATCAGGCAACAACCATAATTGTGGATAAATCATCCTGTTTCGGTCTTAGAGGGGGTACATCTGATGTCGTTATGTGAGGCAATCAGGGGCGAACACCAGAGAGAGTGAGTGAGGGGGGGGGTTAATGTCATATAAATAACAATAAATAAAAATACCTTTTTTTAGGACACAGACCACTTGAATTGCATTACCCACGGTACTGGATTCGAGGAAGTCACAAGCGGCGTTGACGCGTATTGACGTTTGCAGGAGCTCGCCGTTGAGGGGGGCACACAGCGGTCAAGCGGAGCAGCCAAATGCAGCCAGCCACCTGCGCTTGGCATCTCATTGTGCTTGGGTTTGGTGCCAAAATGTTTTACTTGCAGCGGTGGGCTCCCTCCCTCCCTTCCTGAAGTTCACTGCGACAAAAGACTGCAGAGAGAAAGAGAGAGAGCCCTGGCAGGAGATTTACGACTGGCAGGGCTTGTCTGCGAGGCGCTTGCCAAGCCCCGAAATCTGCAAGCAGCAACTACTGCCTTGTGTTGTGAACTGGTCGTTGGGAAGGTGTTTTAAAAGCGTGGTAAAAAATATGTATCTTCTTGGTTCTTTTGGTAAAGTCACGTAGAATGGAAATAATAAAAGAATAAAAATAAACCAATAAAATATTTCTCACGACGTTTCGGCTCCAACGCAAGCAGCCGTCCTCAAGCAGCCGTCCTCAGCTGAGGACGGCTGCTTGCGTTGTAGCCGAAACGTCGTGAGAATTATTTTATTATATTTTATTTTTATTATTTTATTATGTTTGATTTTTATTATTTTATTATTTCCCTTCTACGTGACTTTACCGAAAGAACCAAGAAGATTAATCCTTGCAGTCACGAAAGCTTTAAATCGAAAAATAAAAAAATATATATTTACTCTCGTGATGCCCTCTAAGTCTGTGTCAATATTATCCATAAGGGGTTTCTTCTTGGGTTAGATCGCATCGATATAAATGTGTTGTGAAACCCACCACCACCCAACACCCTAATTCTTAAGGCTTGTCACGTAAACTAAACATTGCGACGTAACGAATTGGCATGCTTTGTTTACTTGACAAACCCTACTAATTTGCTGTCAGGTGGTGGTGGGTTTGACGACCTATTTACGTGATCTAACCTCCCCAAAAACATGCCTCTTGTGGATCGTCAGGAAGGTCTTTTAAGCATGGTAAAATATTGACTCTAATGATGCACTCATAACCATTACGTTTGTCGTATGCACAATGCCTGGTATACAGGAGGTCGTGGGTTCGATCCTGACCCTGAGGCATGGATATTTGGAGTTCGCATGTCTCTCTCTCCGTGGTCGCGGAGATTTTTCTCCGGGTCCTCCAGTTTTTCCCTCGTTTACAATCAACGTCAGGCGTTAGTATTTCGGCTGCTATAAATGTCCACGTGATAAGCCACTTCGTTGAGCTATCATTTGTGGCCAGTCGTTTACGAAAGAGCTATAACAGCTCAGTGGGCCTTACCTGGTAAAAAATAAAGTTGTTTTGCTTTAAAGCGTGGTAAAGTAGTTATTCTCTTGATGCCCTCACAACCGTTAAGTCTGTGTAATATGATGCATGCTCATTGTGAGTGTGATTATTGTATTTATGCAATGATGCATTGCTTCTAAGGTAAATTTAATCGATAACTTATTATATCAAAGCAATAATTGATTTCACGTAGAATTTGCAGTGTATGTACGTAGCGGGAAATACAGGCAGAGTACAATGTACACTGACCAGTGTGGTAAAATAAATGGCCAACCCCCCCCCCCACCCCCTGACCAACACGATGTGCAAGATGTCGTTCATCCAGCAGTGGATCGAGAATGGATGGAATTCAACGCTCCAATTATTATTTCATGGTCGGAAACTTTTGGGGGGAGCGGTGGCACAATTGTTCACGAACCTGTACGGAAGTGTACTGACAAAGTGCCCATAAATTATTGTTATTTTAAAGCCGTATGCCGAATGATATCTGGCGGTTACCGTATTCGTGGCATGACATTTTAAATTGCAAAAGCAAGGCCTCCTTGAAAGGAAAGGAATTGTTGACGTTCACGTGTATGCATTTATTTTTTATTGAACGCGTGCATGTTTACACGAACTCAGAGCAGCAGCAGCAGAGGCGATCACTAAATTAAAGTGGCTCTTCCAATCCCTCTCAACAAAAACAGTCCCTGGCATGTTTGCAAATGCAGTGGTGGAAGAGGGGGGGGGGGGCAGCTATTTAATTTCAATCTTCTATGTATTTCCTTGCACCCTGTTACCTTGTCACGTTTCACAAAACATTCACTAAACATACCCGAATATGAATTGAGAAAATTATTGGGTGTGTTTCTATCACCGACCCCCCTCCCCCCTTCAGTAATTGCACGTTTATTGATGGTTGCCGTGTATCCACACGGCACCCACGGCACCCACGGCTCGGGCAAAGCAAAGCGCAATCGGTCTCTGGCAGGAGGTGACGGCGGCAATACTCGACCGCGCATGCCGAACGGCGGCAGAGCCACTGCCACTCCACTATTCAGTGATTTTTACAATCGCGATGCCAATCGCAAGCGGCCCCGGGGGCAGGAGGGCCTGAATTTGTTTTCGTAAATTGGAAGCAACCCAAAAAAAAACCCCACTGTCCATCACCGCGCACGGAACAAAAGTGAAACCAATCATGTTGTTGTGGCAAGCGTAGTGATGTCCCAGTCTGCTTCTTGGCGTGCAGTGAATTTGCCCCACCACCACCACCACTCTGCAGCGGATGACGCCGCTCGACCATCTGATGGCGTGTCACGTCTGCAGAGAACGGCCTTAAACGTCGCGGCGTGCACAAATTGTACAACGTGTCAAACAACAAATGTTCGGCCCTTTGTGAAAGTTAAATATTTTAAAAATTCAGCGTGTAAAAAAAAAAAATCACTCAAGTGTGCATTCTCACATCATTGTCATCAGCATGGCCAGCACTAAAACTATGCAATAATACGAGCAATACAAAACGGAAAAAGGAAGAAAATAAGGTTTTGTACTTTGGTTAAAAACTCGTTTTTCTAGTCCACGCCGTCAATAGCTTAGTGACCAGTGGACGCCGGCATGGACGAAGAAAAAATGTCGACTTCGCAGTAACGCAAGTTCACGCGTTTAAAATTGCCACTGCGCTTAACAAAAAAGTCTCTGCAGTGCAGAACTGTCGTGTTTTCGGGTTGCACCATGCAATTCTCCGTTCCTGAAGCTGGCAGTACGCGGCGCGAAACGTCGGACACACCGTGCAGAACAACACGCGGCGCATCCCGTGAACCCATCGCGAGCGTCGCACGGCCAAAGCATCACCGCTGAGAAATAAAAAACCTCACGCGGTGGTAATGCATTGGCTTCTTTATCAACGCGTGTTCCGCCCTTGTGTGTACAAGGGCATTTTAAGATGCCGCATTTTCCCACAGCGCGACCATGCCAGCACTCCACACTGGGTTAAGTCCATCCCGTGCTCGGCCTAGCGAGCCTCAAGCCGGGAGGGCATCATCGGTCGTGTGAGCTGGTAACATGGTTGAGGTCAAAGGTCGAATAGTAGGAAGGCGGGGAGGGGACTTACCTGGAGCTGGAGGGAGTAGCAAACAATTTACGCAGCGGTATTTCTTCAACTGTGGGTTGCGACCCCCACCACCACCACCGCCGCATCACCCCAGGGCAGTCCCCTCCCGTTGCCATGTCGAGGGAGGTTGCCACTCAAAACAGCAAGGCACGTGTTTTTTTAAATAATGAAATAAATCTGCCGATATCATTATTGCGATGGATTGCTTGACCATGGCGAGTGAACACTATGATAATACTGCCCGTGACCGCCTCCCTCCCCCCATGCCTCCCATCGCCCCCAGCAATTTGTGGTCAAACTAAAAAAAAGGGGATGATCTCAAGTCGAAAAGGTTTGTGGACCCCACTGTTCTAGAGGAAACAAGGTATACGTGCGCGAGTTTGGGGAAAAAAAAATGTACGATATTTTTTGACCCTTGTACGCGGTACGTATTGTAACAGGGATCACGTGGCCACTGCCGCCACAATGAGGCACGTCCGCTCCCCGAAATAAAATAAAATGAACAATAAAAATCGTGACCCCGAGTTACGACAACTCGTAGAATTGTGACGAATGTTGAAAACAGTTCCAGCCACGCTGCCTGGTGTGCGTCCACGATAAACGAGCGCTCCGTTTCTGTGCAGCGTCGACGGTGGGCTTGGGCATCGCATGAGGATAGGCAAGTGGATGACAATAGCTACGGAGTGGCGGCCAAAGGAGGGGAAAGCACCCAAGAGGACATCCACCATGGAGATGTCGGTGTTGGGGCGGATTGATGCATCGTGGATTGATGCTTGACAGGACCGTGATGGACGGTGGCGACTTGGGGAGGACTTCATGCCGCAGTGGGTCTCGCGTGGCCGACGGTGATGGCGACGACAACGACGATGACGATGACGCCGATCTCGCACCCCAATATTGTGTTGTAACTATGCCCCCCCCGTAAGTGCATGCGTTTTAAATGTCACAGTTTGGTTCAGGGCCTGCACGCAGCCGCCCTCAACGCCGCGTCAGGAATTGCCGAGGCTGCCCGAAGGCAGCTCTCCCTCCTCCTGCTTCTTCTCTGCCGCCGGCGGCGGCGGCGGCGAGAAGATGCACCCGTGGAACTCGAACAGGAGCTCGGCGAAGGCGATGATCGGCAGCGCTCGGTCCAGCGAGTGGCCCCCGTCGCGCGGCCACACGAGGTTGGGGCCGAACACGAAGCCCAGGTTCCGCGCGCTCGTCTTGTTGTGGATGCTCTCGTCCAGTACCTGCCGTAGAGACGTAGGCTTCTTACCCTTCGGCCGGAAACGCAGCGAACCGACTCAGGCCATTCGTCTCGCCACAGGTGGACCAAATGAGTACCGCATTGTGGAAAGTTAATGATGGTGTGAATGTGGATGAATTTGCTCCCAGTCATTTCTTTCTTTCTTTAGAACTGCTTTTTAGTGTTTTAGTTTGTCGTCCTTCCCCCGCACCTCTGATTAGCACGGTTGGCCACGTACGGTGGCGGCGGAGGAAGTTCAACGTACATGTATACCTTCATAATCAACGTTTTTGGGTTAGATCGCGTTATATATAAATGTGTCGTAACCCTCCACCACCCGACACGGCCAATCTGCAAAAAAGTGTCACGTTGACAAAAGACAAATAGTTCACTACTTTATCCCACCGGTGTGTTGAAGCGTGAAACCACAACATTTACAATAAGCTCAGCCTACGTGTTAAACTGTACATGTATACCGCCGTAGAAATGTGGGAATTTCTACCAACGGGATTGGGGATGTAAGAATGTTTTGAGCACTGGGCCTAACACAGCGGCGTAGCGCGGTTGTCCTGGGTCCCAGTGTCAAGAATGAAATCCCCCCCCCCCTTTCCCTCCGAGTAGCCCGGTGCCTGGGGCCCTCTGGTCCATGGGCATCCGTACGGCAGTTGCACCGCCCGCACACTCGACAGCTGCCTTGGAAACAAACTCTGACTTTTTCCCCGTAAACTTCACTTTGGTACGCAAATAAACGGTGCACTTCCTCAATGCGCGATCAAAGCAAGAGAGAGACATTGGCAGGATTTCTTGAGATTCTTAAGAGCAAACAATAAATATTATTTTAAATTATAATGCGGGCACCGTTAACGACGACGGTGGCGGTTGCTATTTTGAGCCCTGCGTTTTGTAATGCAGACTGGCTCGGAGAGGCGGTGAGGGGGCCCCTTTGTTGTGTTTATTCCTGGTGGTGTTGATCACGCAATCAAACCGTGTGAAGAGCCTTGGCGTGTACGGTACGAAGACTCGCCTCAGAGACCAGGCCTGCCAAGCGATGCAACAGAAGACCCCAAAAAACCGAGCCAGGTTTCGTCGGCGCCAGATTTGCCGCTGGGTCGGTGGCACGCTGCTTCGCACACTGCACCGTGAATTCGGTGACACTAGTTAAGATTCCCGGTCACGGCGAAAGTAAGGAGATGACCGACGGCCGGTGAGCGGGCGAGAGGCCGGAGTGAATCGGTGAGTGCTAGATAATTAACCCTTTCCCATTCCGATGACGTATGTGTACGTCATTAGTTTTTCTTCAGATTCTGTTTAGACGTACGTCATGGGAATGGAATCGAAGAAAATTTTTTATATCCTTATCGGGACGTCTTCAGGTCGGAAGACGGACCGAAGCTTCCACACGGCCATGCCGGAGGGCGTGTTGGACAGTTTGGCGCCAGCTATCGTAGAGTGTGGTCGTGTCGCTACGGTTCTCTGCGGTGAGTACAATGTCTTTAAAAACAACGGTCCTACGCCTCTCGAAAAAAAATTCACGCTATGCGCTTGCGTGTTCCGAGGTTCAGCGGTGAACGGGATACCCACCCTGCAACTTGCAGACGTCTCGGAACGAGAAAGGGTTAATAAACCCCGACTGCTTCACGTTGACTGAGATAAGGTAGATCGAGGTAGGTGCTGGGTGCTCCACCCCAGATATGACAGCAGAAAGATTTCCAGCTTTGGCCGAATTTGTGCATTGCATTATTACCAATACATGTTCAGAGTTCAAGAAGGCTTTGGCGCAGGAGAGGCCTCGAAGCTGTGGTGGAAGGAGGGTCACTTACCGTGTTGAGGAAGCACATGAGGAATTTCAGGACGTTGTAGTTCAGCGCAGGGATCGTCTGCAGCATCTCCTTTATCCTGGTGATGCGCAGACTCGTCTCCACCCCTGGCAATGAGAAACAATTATTGTTAACGCCCGTGAATGTGTACAGCCCCCTCTCTGTCAATCTACGACTGGATGACGGCTGCCCCATGCTGTACGGGTTTTCTGAGACCAGAAATTTGGTATGGATGCAGAGGTATACATTTCACTAGATGGAGACGAGAGGAGGAACGACACAGAGTAACTCGGATACGAGAGGACTCGGAGTAGCGTCATCGTGGGGAGCCCTTTGTCCGGGCGTACGTCTCTACAGGCTCATGATGCTGATGATGATTAAAACTACAAGGCCCACTGAGCTACATAGCTCTTCTTCAGAAGCCACCTGGCAACACTTGATAGCTCAACGAAGTGGCTTACTATCATGTGGACATTTGCAGCAGCCAAATACTCATGAACGCACGTTTCTATTTGTAGAGGAGAAAAACCGGAGGACCCGGAGACAAATCCACGCGACCACAGGGAGAACATACGGACTCTAAATTTACAGCAGGTGTTAAGGATCGGGATCGAACCCACAACCTCCTGTATACCAGGTCAGGGAGTTAACATCTCGCCACGATGACGAAGGCCTGCCCATTCAATGTTGGTCACACGGGATGTTTGACCACACTTACATTTTTCTTGTGAATTTAGATCCTCTGGCTGTCTTTCCAGTTCTCTAAATAAAAACGGCTTATGGACAGCTCCTTTATTTCAGCCGTACAATGCCACATGTATTATCGCTGTAAGCATGAACCCAAACTCATCGACTCTTCAAATGTGATTCGGCGCAAGTATCGCGAGCTTCAGTATCGATATTAACCGATGAATCGATGCATCGTTGCTACGTCCCTGCTTGTTGTCGTGTGCAAGTATTTCGATTTAAAAAAAATTGGCGTGCCCCTTGCACAGGCCAATCACTCTTCATACGCTACAGCAATTTTACTGGAGCAGTTACACCTGATGACGGAGACTTGTGTTGCTTCCGAAACGTCGCGAGTTAATTTATTGAATTTTTTTACCTACGTGACTTTACCGAAAAAAAAGTGTATGAATCCTTGCAGTCACGAAAACTTCAAATCGAGAATCACTCAGACTTCCACTCACAAGGAGGTCCGAGTTTGTCTGAGCCAATCGGCTGGCCGGCCATCCCTCGCTTACCCAGTGGTGCGTCCCACGTGTAGGGGAGGTCTGACGCAACTCGTTTCCGCGCTCACTGTGCATGCACTGTGAGTTTTCGCGTCACCGTGAATTGATTACGCATTCTAACGCCCAAGCGAAGCGACGCAGCAGCTGTTTGATGACACACGCGACCTCGGGTTGGACGCCCGCGAGCGATCAGTGTGGCGGAACGAGCGGCGCTGTTCGGAGGAGGGGCAGAGGATTTTGCCTTTCTGGCCAGTTGCTGCCAACTCCTTAAAAGCGGGAAAAGTCGGCAGACGAAGCCGAGTCGGCAAACGTCGCTAGACATGACCTGCGAAGGTCATCATCGATGTTACAATGTGCTGAGGTGTTACGCAGAGTAAACTGATACGGGATCCTTAACACACACATACCTGGAATCTCTCCGCAAGCTGCAAGTTACCCTCGGCTGTGAAAGTCGCTGGATTTGTTGCAAGCAAAATTTTGTTGCACGGGAAACTCCCAAAAAAGTCGCCGCAATCTCGCGGCAAGATTGCCGAGTTGACAACGACACCAATCTCATCCCCCATGGTTGTGGCAGCGCGAGGCATAAACAAACAAACAAACACTTAGGGGTGTCCCAAGTAGCTCAAGAGGTACTAAATTAATGAACGTCGTCTCGAATTGAGATCATTATTAAAATCTAGATTTGGAGCTTTCGTGACGGCAAGGATTCATACTCTTAGGTTTTTTACATAAAGTCACGTAGGTAAATAATAATAATAAAATAATAATAAATGAAAATAACTAAATTAAATCACGATGTTTCGGAAGCAGCGCAAGCCTCCATGATCAGGTGTTACTGCTCCAGTAAAATTACTGTAGCGTAATTTGTAGCGTAATTTTACTGGAGCAGTTACACCTGATGACGGAGGCTTGTGTTGCTTCGGAAACGTCGTGATTTAATTTAGTTATTTTCATTTATTATTATTTTATTTTATTATTATAATTTTTTTACCTACGTGACTTTACCAAAAAAACCTAAGAGTATGAATCCTTATTTTAAAAATAATAAAGCTCATCATTCCAATACGACTATGACAAATAATTGTGGTTAGTCCATTAACTCAATGACTTCACACAAAACTGTGGTACAATTAATTAGCGTCGCTTGTCTCCGGCACGTAACGTTTGTCGTCACGTGTCGCAGCACAAGAGTGAGTCGCTGCCTGGGGCCCCCTCCCAAAGTGCCTGCATCAACGCTGCCCCCTCCCCGCTCCCCCCGCTGCAACCTCCCGCCCCTTCCCCCCGAGCGTGCGTTGGAAGTGACAGAAAGAGAAGGGGGGGGGGGGGCAGTGTGAACGGGGGACTCCTCACGGTGCAGCGCGAGGATCTTGTGGTAGAGCTGTAGGGTGAGCAGCGGCTCGGGCAGCTCGCGCAGGAACGTCTTGAGGGTGACGGCGGCCACGCGAACGTCCTCCTTGTTGTACTCATCGAAGCGCACGGGCTTGCCTGCGAGGGGGGGGGGGCGCGAGTGGAGCGTCGACGGGACGCCTGAGACGATTAACAACGGACGGCTCCTTATATCGCGTGCGCGCGTAGACCGGGCGCGGATTTGGCCAGCTGTCCGATGTGAGTTTGAAGAGCACTTCCGATTACGTGCGGTGCGAAAGAAGTTTCAACATACGTGCGTACGATAAAAAAAATTCTAGATTTGAAGCTTTCGTGACTGCAAGGATTCATATTCTTAGGTTTTTTCAGTGACTTTACCGAAAAAACCTAAGAATATAAAAATATCGCAGGCCGAAACGCCGCAGTGAGAGGCCATCGTGGTTTCACCGGTGTATTTTGAAAACTACCACGCTTCTGACCGAGCTTTACGTGTTTTATATTTAATCATTCTTGCCCAATTTTTCGCACCCCTGCGCAAGCACAAACCAAGTCCCGTGGCGCCGACACAATTAAGAAGGACAAATGTGGGTAGCTGCGTGTGAACATGGAATCACAGTTTCCAACAACAAAACATTTGGTATTTAAGGGTAAAGGCGCAACCCTGCGGCTGCTCGCTCACACCACTGCTGGCGGAAGGGTCTCCTCCCCACTCGAGTGAGCTCTGGGCAGCTCCTCCTAGAGGGTGTTTTGGCCTACTCTCCCACACTTTTGGGTGATGTATCTACATCGTAAAGAGCTGATTTTGGGTTACATCGTCCTTCGTACAAATGATCGAAATTGAACAAAGACAGAAGAGTTGATCGGGGAGTCAAGTGTTGAGCGTCGCACCGAGGTTGTACTTCTGCTGAACTTCTTTAATGAGCTGAACGTTCACGGAGCGTTGAAACAAACCCTCCGTCTTCAAGCCTGGAGGGACGGAGGAGAGGATTAGGGTGTGGATTAAATGCTTTGCCTTTAAAACTGTTTAATTTATTCGGATGATTGGAGAGAGAAAAAAAATACAAAGAGTCGTCACCATTTTCTTTCAGGTAGCCCACCGTCTCTCTCATGACAAGGGGAATGTCCTCACCGCTGCTCTTCTCTTTGAGCCTGCAAGCGAGACGGTGACATTTACATCATCGGCGTCACCTCACCACGCAGACGATCCGTTTGAAACACTCGTCGAGCAAAGGAACCACTCCGTTTTAAAGATATCGACTGCCCTGTGGCAGGAGGACGACACGGAACTCGTTCCGAGACCCCTTCATCCGCGCACCCCACTTTCCCACACGCCCTGTTCAACGTTCAAGAAGAAGTTCCCTGCATGGCAACAAACCACTGGGAGTAAATGTTGACGGTCATATAAATCTTCACAAAAAATTACGTGGACAGAACATCGAATTTAGTGTTATGGGTGTTTTTTGTGAATAAATGGGTGAACGGGCGAACACCGTCAACTCGCTGCACCTGAGAACCCAGTTTCTCATGGGTGGCTGAAATCCCAACATTAGAACCCAAGTCTCAGCGGTGCCGGCTCTCTGCTCTGAGCCCCGAATCACTTGCCCACCTATTCGTAGGGAAATTCTTATTTAGTTTAACAGCAAATATAAACAGAACTCCACGCTGCGTCTCCACGGATTGTCCATCGGCCTCCCGGCTTTCCGGGCCGACATTATCTAGCAGCATTTGGTTAAGCAAGCAAACTCAGGACCGGATTGTGACCGTCTGGGTCTCATCAGCAGAGCCAGGCTTATGAAACAAATGCCGATGGGTTACCGGATGTTATTGGCAGGAGCACTCAAAATAAATAAACTACGGGGCCCTACCCAAAATAAAAAAAATACGGAATACAGCGTACAAAGCCACGATCATAAGTCACAGTGGAGCATTCGTTCGTACAGTTTGTAACAAAGTAAATCAGCCGCCAGCGTGCGGGACGCGACTAACGCCAACGAGTTTTGCCGCCCCAAGCGAGAATCGTTGGAAGGATGCCACTAATGCGCTCCGCACGAACATAGCGGAGTGGGGGGGCGGGGGGTGGATGATGTTGGCTCCACGCTGCGACGTGGCCCCCTTTTAAGACGGCGACTTGTCAAATGGAGCACAGCTCACTCCCTCACGGCCAGGGGTCATCTCTGCCGGGACCCACTCCCCACGGTCCACTGGGCTCTACCCCGACCGGTGTGTTGGGGCACTGCACACCGCACCACTTAACGGACGCCACGGCCGTCATTAAACTATTATTTTACTTCTAGATTTGAAGCTTTCGTGACTGCAAGGATTCATATTCTTAGGTTTTTTCGGTAAAGTCACGTAGGTAAAAAATTTAAATTAATAAAAGTAAAATAATTTTATTTTTATTTTACTTCTATAAATTTTATTAAAAAATTTTACCTACGTGAGTTTACCTAAAAAACCTAAGAATATTATTTTACTCCTTCGTTTGATATGCAGGAGGTCGTGGATTCCATCCCGTCACTTCGTTGAGCTATCATTTGTGGCCAGGTCGCTTCTGAAAAAGAGCCGTATAGCTCAGTAGGCCTTACCTACTAAAATAAAAAAATTGTTTAGTTAACAGTTGGTGGTGTCTTCTCTCAGTTCTCTCCTTGCTGAAGCGACCAACATTTCTGAGAGGCTCAACTGGGACACGCCGGGTGGCAAGCTGCCAATCTCCTCCGTTCCATCAGCACTGCCAGCGGAGGACCCAAGGTGGGGCTGCACCTTGAACTGTTCTGTCACGTTTTACGACTGGAACAACGCAGCCCACGGGGTGTGTGTGGGCTATTTGTTTTGATCCACGTGAGCTCTTGCCTAAAGAATGTAGTCACGTGCTGCTCGGGCTGCAGTGTGTGGTGTCCAGGTCACATCCCCCCCCCCCCCCACCCAGTGATCCAGTAAACACACAGACACCATCACCAGTGCCGCCAGTTCGGTCATCCGGTGCGGCGGCTTAAACAACGGAGCAAGTTTCTTAAATCCCCATCCATTCAGCAGTAGATACATGAGTTGACCACAGCGAGAAGTTGACCAGCAGGTCACGTGGCGGTGAGGTAAAGTGTGGGTTACTCCCACCTCTTCCAAGAAATCTGCCCAACTTTGGGAAGAGTCGGCCAAATTGCCCTTTCGGAGGGGGATCTCGAAAAGCTCCCTCCAGTGGAGGCGCCTTCTTGCAGCAGTGGCGTGAGCGAAACACTTTCAGGGCTGAGCCTTTACGTTAACCACGTGCATCAGATCCTCTTAGCAGGCACATATTGACATTCAGGGAATTAAGTTCCGTACACAATAACGTTGCAGACGAGCACACACAATGACTCAACGAGTAAACAGAGAACATTCCCATGACTGAGCGTGGTGGAGTGGCTAATCAGGTCAGAGCAGGCGCGACTGGAGATCCTGGCTTCCAATCTTGGTGTTCAGCTGCCGCCTGTGATTAACCTGGATTCTCAAGTAGAGTGGGAATTGATGGTCTAAGCCTCAGTCACCGACGACTGCGGTTTAAACATTCAAACATTCCACCGCGTGAAATTTGTTTTGGCCCGTGAGAATAGAAAAAAAAACTCATCAGCTTTAACCGTCATATGACAAACATTACTCTCATGTGGCAGAGCGGGTAGGTACGTGCTTGCCCCCTACTGTGTGAAACAAAGGTCGATTGAAGATCATTTTAGTGGGAAGCGCTGTGATATTATCTCATGGTGTGGGGCGGTTTTCATCCAGCAGTGGCAGAGATACAACGATTTACTTCACCTCCCATGGCGATTCGAAGAACTGCCTCAATTCGGGGCCGCGATTCATTTAAAGAACGTTTTTTTGTAACACTGTCGTGAACGCAGCAACCACTCGTGTCTGTAGGCATCATGTGAATCCATGAAACGCAACGCGTCAGCGTCAGCCACGATCTCTCCACTTCTGGATGAAGGGCCTCTCCCCCGCAAATGCCGTCACCATGTTTAAAAAAAGACAACACGCACAAAAACATAGATTCCATCGAGCGCAGGGGTCGGCAACCAAAACAACAAGGGGCATTTTTTCTCGAATTCGGTACGTAACTCAATATTTCAAGAGCTGTGAATACATCAATAAATAACGCCACGAAGCAGTCCGCAAAGAGCCGCCGGTTGCCGACCTCGTGCGATTTTACCGGTGGTCTTGTGATCTTAAGAATCGATGTTAACTCGCAAATCGCAGCGCGCACGTGTGCGTGTGCGCATGTGTGTGTGCGCATTCGAGCTCACACGGCCAGCGAGATCCCAAACTGCTGGGTGGGCAGAGGAGGCCGAGGTGGTGGTTTCCGCTTCACCGGCGCCGCCGCCGCGGTGCCCCCCGCCTGCGCCGCTCTCAGCTCCGCGTCGTGCCTGGCGGTACCACTTTGCCATACTTCACCGCGCCGAGATTTCTTTCACGAGAGCAGCGTTTATAATAATCATCACAGCTAGGGGTTCATTTCAGCCGCGCCTTCTCCGGGTAGGTTGTGAGGCACAAGTCACGTGTCACCAGCTTCGGTCGAGCGGCAACAGGGAAAACACTTTCAGTGGCAGATTAATCTCCGATTACAGAACTCCATGAATACGCCCGGTATGCAGGAGGTCGTGAGTTCGATCCCGATCCTGACGCCCGTATATTTAAAGTTTGCTTGTTTTCTCTCCCAGTGGTCACGTGCGTATTTCTCCGGGTCCTGCAGTTTTCCCCTCCACATTTAGAATGAACATGCGTTTAGCTTACTTGGCTGCTGTTCATTTCCACGTGACAATAAGCCACCTCGTTGAGTAATCATTTATGGCCAGGTCGCTATTTCGCTCAGTGGGCCTCTTGCGTAACAAACAAAAAGTTGTTTATCGTTTAAAATGGAGGAAAACACAACAATCACCTAATTCTAGATTTGAAGTTTTCGTGACTGCAAGGATTCATACTCTTTGTTTTTTCGGTAAAGTCCGTAGGTAAAAAATTAAAATGAACCAAATCACGACGTTTCGGGCGCAACACAAGCGTCCTTCTTCAAGGGTAGCCGCAGCTTGTGCTGCGCCCAAAACGTCGTGATTTAATTTATTTTAATTGTTTACCTACGTGACTTTACCGAAAAAACCAAAGAGTACAACAATCACCGCAGATTGTGGTCAGGGATTTATATCTCACCGAATATTTTCCAGGTCGCTGACGGAGGCTGTCACGTGACTAGTAGCCGCAGCGAAAGCGAAAGGTAGACTGATGTGGTGTGCAGCATGTGAAAACAATCTTTTACTGGGTCGCTAACGCAGACAGACTGAGTTTGTTATCATCACACATTGGATGGAGCTGTGTTACACAGTGGTTGGCGCAGTATGGTCTTAACCAAGATTTTCAGGTAGGGGGGGCAACCCCTCCAGCAATGAAAAATGAAAGGAGTTGTAAGCAAGTAAGGACTTGTCCCTTGCTTTTCATTCGACGCGTGTGCAGCGATTGCGCAGCCATCGATCGAGGGTCGAATTCGAACCGCGTTGTGTGATTGGCATCGCGCTCGCTGAAGGTGAATGCCTTCAGGGAAGTCGTGTGCTGTATACGCAACTGCGCACAATTCTGAGTCACTTATAACTGCTTTGCCGTTACTTATTGCCAATTATGGACTCGGACTATTGTCCTATCATCTCATAAAGTCCCTGGCACGTAGTAATACTCTGGCTAAATGATCCGATTTTGATCGGATTATTGGGGGGACACGAACTAGAACGTGCATCGGGGGACATTCGGGGGACCCTCAAAATCATATTGGCCTGCGTTGGTTGCTTCGACCAAAGAACCGGAACTCCCCCACCCCAACCTCCACCCCCAACCCCCACCCCCTCCCCCCACCCCAAACCCCCACCCCCAACCTTCATTTTCTCCCACCCCCCCGACCTGTCCTGTATCAGGATGCTGATCGTGCAGATTGCTCCGGAGAATCAAATCTCAGAACTGTGTTTTTGTTCGTGAGGTGACCGAGGGATTTTTGCGATTCCCCGCGGTGTGACTCGCCGTCTAGGGTCGGTATGACGCCATCACAGCTGTCAGTCCACGCCGTCCTGGGTAATGTGCCCCAATTTTACTATCCGTGCCCTCGGGGACAGATTTGTGGTCGTGTCAGTCACCAGGAGCGATAGTCACCCCCAATTCGGTTTGCCGGAGCGCGCTAACCTCTACACCACCACCGCCATCTCCTCCTCCTTCTCAACACCTCTTTCTCACCTAATCACCTCGTCCGGGATGGCAACTCGGCTGCCCCTGATGTGCTGCTGCAGCTCGGCGAGGCAGCTGATGTACACGACCTTACGCACGAACTTGCGGCTGTGGGCACAGGGAGTTGAGCAGGGGAGACGGAGCGAGCTCGCGCGCACGGCCACGTAACACCGACGCACGGCCACGTAACACCGACGCACGGCCGAGTATCACCGACGCACGGCCGAGTAACGTACGTTGAACTTCTTTCGCACCGTACGTAGCCAACCGCGCTAATCTGAGGTGCGGTGGGGGGACGGGGCAAGAAGCACCAACGCCGCGCAGAGGGGCCCCTTCCCAGAAACGCCGAGTCTGCCGGTAACAAGCGGGCGACGACGACGCGACGTCGTTGCTCAGGGCGACGCGAGAGAGCCACGAACCTTATCAAGGGCCCGAAAAAATTCCACACGGTCTTAATGAAGCTTGACGGGTGAACGATGTACAAGACCTTGAGATTCTTCTTGTACCTGGCGAGAGAACAGAACGGACACAACGGGAGGAACTGAAACAACGATGCCTTGCAGAATGAAGCCGTCAAGGAAAGGCCAAGCCACAATTCTAATAACCCTATTGATTGGTGGGGGGGGGGAACCCTCCCTAAACAACACTGGCAATAACGAAAGAAACGTCTGGAAAAGCTGGCTGGTCAATCGATGATTGTTTTTTTAACAGAATGGGACAGGTCTAAATAAAAAAAAGTCTCAATAGATAACAATTACAGGCACAGCTGTAATGCTTCATTAAACATTTACCATCCCACAGGGGACTTGTTTAGACTGCTTGCTGCTTTAGGAGCCTGGACAAAGCCCCCCCCCCCCCTACTGCCCCTCTCACACACCCCCAGCCCTCCACCAGTGCGGCACCACACGAACGCACACGCAATGTGGACCAATTGCTACCAGGGAACAGAGGAGCAACTTAAGGCCGGCGCAGTGCTCAAGAGGGGATATTGTGGCTGGCTCCACTGCCTGGCTGAGGTTTGCATTCCATACCAGGTAGTTACTTGAGGCTAGGTGGAACTAGGGGGAATCCCAGGAATCACGGGACACGTTCACATACCACTGGGAAAGTGGCGGCGTTAGTCGTCGTAGCACACCGCTCGAAGATGCACACACACTTACAAGTAACGGCCACAACAACTGCCGTTGTGGGCGGTTGTTGTTGACGAGGAGCGGTGGTGTAGACAAAGATCCCCCCCCCCCCCCCATCTGGCAAGTGCTGTTAGCGGCCACTTATGAAGACCTGGCCGCATCGGTCTCCCCGGTGCTGATATTTTGCACATCGCACCGGGCGTACTCATTTACAGGCTGAGTCGATGTAGAAGAAGCCCATGACCGGTTGAGATATTCGCCAATCGATGTTGGCCGTGAGCGGTAATCGAACTCGGGTCGCTGGGTTCTCCGCGCAGCGTGACAACCACTGCACCACCGCTCCCCACATTCAAGCGCACACACACGGCGCCACACACGAGGAGAGCAGCCCCTACTTGCGGTCAAACTGCTTGTAGGCGTCGCGCAGCCACGAGAGCGAGGGTTTGTTCTGGCTCGTGAGGCCGTAGTGGAAGTACACGAGTGTGTAGTCGCTCTCCACGTAGTGTTCGAGAGTGTGCTTCAGGTACCTGGACATGGAATAAATCAGCCGCACACAACAAGAGACCACGATCAAAGATCCCCTTCGATAACCTTCGGCGATAATATTGAAGGCCCGGAATGGCACACGAGGGCACGCGTGGCCAACACCGCTCCTGGCCAACTTTTGTCTCCCCAGTGCTGATGTTTAGACGCCACACAAGGTAGGCCGAGTCGACCTAGGTGAGGTCAAGGACTGATTAAAATAATCGCCTCTGCTATCGGCCATGGGCGGGAATCAAAGTCGCGTCATCGGGTTTGTAGCGCAGTGTGTTAACCGCCGCACCACCACTCCCCTCAAAGATAAATACACACACATAGTGAGAACATACGAGATCTTAACCTCTTAATTTCAGACAGCTTTGTTGTGACGCGTCCTCAGTGAATATTGACTATACTTCACCACACTGGCCAGTGTGGTTTTTGCAATGCCGACTTTCGGCCCACAACGTAGCCCCGCAGCAGCCTGGAGTGGTGCACTGTGCGTGGTGCACTGTGCGTGGTGGTTGCTCTTCCAAGCATTATCCAGGCTCAAACTCAGCTTAACTTCTGAGATCTGATGAGATCGGGTGCATTGTGGGTGATTTTGATATAGGCGTACACACACACACTAAGTGAACACATTAAATCTGAACTTTCCACTCGGGTGGCTGTTTGCAGGCATCCACAGTGAATATGCAAACGCCTGATTGTTATGCTCTGTATACATGTGTAGCTATCCTAGAGCCTGTTTAAAGTTGTTTATAGACTGTATAGCAAACAACTGTCGTCTGCAATGTTTCAACGGAGGAGGAAGAATAGCCATCTCGACATTGGCATTTGTATGTATTTATAACTTCTTCCACACCATACGTAGCCAACCGTGCCAATCGGAGGTGAGAGTTGCCATTAAATGCAAGAATAGTATATATAACAGGATATAATGCGGGACGCACAGTCAAAACGAAGCCACTGGGCTCTGCTGCTAAAAGAGCTGCAGCCCTCCCGCAGGCTGCTTTGCATTTCTGTCCGGCAGCCGCGGTCGAGGGGTAAATTTATTCTACGTCTCTCCATTCTGTGGTGAAGTCGTGCGCAGATGCGAGTGCCTCTTGGGTCGAACGGCACTTTAGGACGCGCGGCGGTTGAATTTGTCACGCGCGCTCCACATTCTGGCGAAGCTTTAACGCGGCGCACTCCGTTCTGTGGAGGGCGCGCGAGCAGGGGGCGACGGGGACCGCGTGATTTGTTGAACAAGAAGAATAATAATCACGTTCGGTTTTACATAGCGTCGTCGTGAATGCACGACTGCCCGGCAGCTTGCCGTGTGACCTCCGCTACGGAGCCGGGGCGATAAATCAGCCGCTCTTTGATCGTGGTCTCTTGTCCAACGTGCGCGAGAAAGGGCCCCACGTTGCGCCCCGCACTGGAACTCACTGCAGCAGCTTGTGGTGGTTGAGCTGGTGACAAGGCGGCATGCGGCAGCAGCTGAACACGACAACGCGCCGGCCGTAGCTGTCGTCACCTGATCACGGCGACACGAGAGGGAAAAGGCCCCCCCCCCCGGCAGTCAGCACCGATTAACAACGCCACACCCTGCTCCTCCACAGCACGCACAGATCACACTCACAGCTCTCACGGCCCGCGCTCACAGCTTGCTTGTCCATCACGAAGGGCCGCAGGTGAATGTAGAGCCATGCTCCTCTTAACTCTGGTGATTTGTGGAGGGGCGGGTGCAACTGGTGGATACGATCATCCACAGATCGTAGCTCCTGAATCCCGTGTGGCGATATAATTTTGATGATTTACAGCCCTTTGCCAATACATTCATGGAAGGCCTCCTCCCTCCATGTTGTGCCACTTGTGGGAGATTTGTTGGACCATAACTTCATCTCACTGGTTAGCATAGGTTTGCAAAGGGGAGGAGGCCCAGTACCTGGATAGCAGGAAAAAACACTCGGTTAGCATATAGCAGAAGTTTCTGTGTATCAACTGGGGGTACGATAATAGGAAGGGCGATCAAATTATTGCAATGTTCAGGAGTTAAATGGCAATGTCGAGGTCTGCTAGCCACGACGAGAGGACCTCGGGAGCGGGTTCGTGTCGTTTAGAGCAGTTCGCTGCTCTAAATGTCCACATGATGATAAGCCACTTCGTTGGGCTACCATTTGTGGCCAGGTATTTTCGAAAAAAGATCAACATAGCTCAGTGGGCCTTATCCGGGGAGAGAAAAGAGAAAAAGAGAATCTTTTTTTTTTTACAGTTGAGAGTTTTGCTCCGTAGAAGCGGCACTTTCGTCACTTTTGTCGCTCGGCCCAAACGACGGTATGCCATAATTCTAGATTTGAAGTTGTCGTGACTGCAAGGATCCATACTCTTTGGTTTTTTCGGTAAAGTCACGTAGGTGAAAACAAAATAAAACAACTAAATTAAATCACGACGTTTCGGAAGCAACACAAGCATCCGTCATCAGGCGATAAGCTGTGACTTCTTGTCACATTGTCTGTTAAAAACTCTAACAGATAGGTGAGTGATAATTGTTTTTTTACCCTTTTATCTGGCAACAAAACTGACACCTTTTTTACGAGGAGTCATGTTTGCATAGACCACAATACCTGCAGTCATAAAGCAAACAAAAAACATAACTTTGATAATGTATGCACTGTCCTTATCAGAGTTATGTTTTTGTTTGCATTATGACTGTAGGTATTGTGGTCTATGCAAACATGACTCCTCATAAAAAAGGTGTCAGTTTTGTTGCCAGATAAAAGGGTAAAAAACCAATTATCATATTTTTTACTGGCAAATGAGGTACCAATGGTGTAGATAGGTGAGTTTCGGGGCAACGTAAAAACACGTCAATCGGTGCGGCCCACACGAGGAGAGGGACACCGTCGCGAGTGCGGAGCGCGATTGTGAATGTGCATGGATACCGGAGAGCGCGCGTACCCGCCACCTCCAGGATGCCGTGACGAGCCACGTCGTAATAGGGGTCGTTGATGTCCACGTGCGACTTTCTGCTGCTGCCGCCGTTCTCCGCCGCCCCGGGGGAGGTCTCGTCTAGGGAAGGTGGCGCTCGGGTTGAGTGTCGTGGATTTGTACCCCACCCCAAATGTCCACGGTGAAAGCGAAAAAAAATTCATCTTCAAAAAGAGACTTTGGCCTAGATGATGAAACAGTAGCTGAAATGTGTGCAAATAAGCACGGAGAAAGAGAGTGAGCTACACGCTTGCTTAGAATGTTACTTTGAGAAATATGATGAGGAATGCACGGAGTAGAGTCAGAGACATCATCTTGGATGCCAGGGAAAGGTAAGGGGGAGCTGTTAGCGAGGATGCCTGGCAGTCGAGACTAAGGGCGGATTGGGAACCAAACACGGGATGACACTTGGCAGAGGACCACCATGGAAATGGAGCAATGAAATCAGCTGTTGTGGTACGAACGAGATGGATTTACAAATCGAGTACGACGTTTCACTGGTGATACAACTAGCTTCATCAGGTGATAGCCAGAATTTTGACTCTCCAACACACCGGTGTGCTTTACTCATAACCAATTGGCACGTTTCGTTTTCTTGACAACCCTTACTAATTGGCTGTGTCGGGTGGTTGCGGTTTTAGCGACACATTTATATTCATGCGATCAAACAAAAACCTTCCATTGTGGAGATGGTTTTGTCGCAAGCGGAGAGCATGAGAGTTGGTGACTCGAGGAAGCCTTCATCAGGCAATGGATAGATCACGGCTATTGATGATGCTCAAAACAATGTTAACGGTTGCAATTTATTGCCATAACAAATCGGCTTTTAGTGGGGGCCATGGCATTAGAACTGCTTTAAAAGCTAAACAAGAGAGGCTGTAGATTGGGACGATATGGACAGATAAGGTTGGCTGTGTAAGATGGCACACTAGGATAAACAAGGCAAGCATTCTCAATCGGACCCGACATTCTTGTCCGCTTGCTGGCCAAACAGTTTACGTCTGACTAACTCTGGAAGTTCCAATATTGTTTTTCTTTCACTCTGATTTCATCACCAGACACTCCGGCTGCCTTTGCCAAGCAGTTGGGAACAAAAAAAACACAAATTTGCCAACTTGTCATGCATGAGCGAGCAGTTATGGAGGTCGTCAAACTCCACCTCCCAATCATTTGCCAACATATTCACCACTCACATTAAACATCAACCACCACCAAACGGGGGAATGAGAGTGTGAGTGTTTCTGCCGATTGTTATTATAGGCAAAGATGCAACTAAGAAATTGCTCACTCATGCCACTGCTGGTGCAAGTTCTATACTAGGGGCAGCACGGTGGCTAGGAGATGTTAACTACCTCGCCTGATATACAGGAGGTCGTGAGTTCGATCCCGACCCTGACGCCTGTATATTTGGAGTTTGCGGTGTCTCTCTCCCTGTGTGAGTTTTTTTTATCCGGGTCCTCCAAATTTCCCCTCCACGTTTAGAAACATGTGTGAGAAGTATTTGGCTGCTACACATTTCCACACGACTCCGGGTCCTCCGGTTTTGCCCTCCAAGTTTCGAATCAACGTCAAGCGTTTAGAGTATTTGGCTGCGATACATTTCCACACGATAAGCCACTTCGCTGAGCTATCACTTGTGGCCAGGTCGCTTCTGAAAAAGAGCTACATAGCTCAGTGGGGCCTTATCTGGTAAAAATATATATACAGTACTAGCGGGGAGCGGCGATGCAGTGGTTAGTGCTGTGCCGCGCTACGAACCCGGTGACACGATTTCCGCTCACGGCTAAGAGGCCGTCCATAAATGACGTCACGCGATTATCGACGATTTTTGACCCCCCTCCCCCTTCGTCACACGGCGTCACTAAAAGTCAGACCCCCCCCCCCTCAAATATGACGTCACAAAGCTCTGCGCCCCCCCCCCCCCCAAAAAAATATAAAACATGCTTCAAATCGCTTTAAACTATTGTTATTGTAGTGCGTATTTAATGTGGCATTCATTAAAAGTCTATTTAATTAAGTAGAACGTGTTGTCTATATTTATTTAAAGTTACGCATTTTGATGTGACGTCACATTTCTCAACCCCCCCCCCCCCCCATCGTCACACATCGTCACAAATGTCTGACCCCCCCCTAGGTGCGTGACGTCATTTATGGACGGCCCCGAACACCAGTGGCAATCATTTGAACTGGTCCTGAGTCTCTCCTCAAAAAGAGTACCTGGTGCGGTGTGTAAACTTAGCCACTCGTATCAAAAGTCTGTAACTCTGTTAAGGCTAAACGCGTATCTTTGTCATAGGAGAGGGAGCTCTAGAGGGTCCCTCGAGAGAGCATTTTGGCCTACTCTTCCATCTTCTTGGTTCTTTCGGTAAAGTCACTTAAAAGGGAAATAATAAAATAATAAAAATAATAAAAATAAAACATAATAAAATTTATTATAATAAAATAAATTATGTTTTATTTTTATTATTCTATTATTTCCCTTCTATGTGACTTCACCGAAAAAAACCAAGAAGATGAATCCTGCAGTTACGAAAGCTTTAAATCGAAATTATTTTTTTACTCTTCCATGTTGGCTGGAAGTCTCGGACGATGTGGGTGAGGTTCTCACACGTTACCCCCCCTCCCTCCGCCCCACGGATCAACTGTGGCCATCCCATTTCAGAAAATCGAACAGCTAATCATTACAACCAAGGCAGCATAGATTGTTGTACTAGTCCCCGTTAATCTTCGCGTGCTCGTAAAGTTAATCATTGCTATTTTTATTTCCTCGTCTAAAAACTGTTTGCCGTGGGGATTCCCAGCTGGCCAGCATTTCCCCCCCCCCCCCTTTCCACTGCAAACTCCATTTTTACAATCGAGATTGTGATATACGTATGTTTTATACACATTTATAGAGAGATATAACGTCACCAATTGTATATTGGTCCTTTCAAGGCTCGGCGTTATTATCGGCGAATGCGTTTCGTTTTTGTTGTTGTGCAAGAGCCGGCACAATACCTGTGGTACACGCGCGGCGTTTACGACGATGCAATGTTGTTTATCGAATGTGCCCGGATCTTAATTAAACACGTATGCCTGAAATATGGACAGGAATGGATTGTTCTTCTTCCCTCGCCCTCAGATGAATTATGATCAGCAGCTGAGAAACGGGGGAGGGGGGGGCAAACTCCCTCCAGACTCCAGCGTAGTGCGGAGCAGAAACATCAATACATTGACGCTCTTAGTCGGTGTAAACACGTGGATTAATTGATCATCATCGTCATCAGCAGCAGCAGCAAAAGCAGCCATGGTCTAACCACCACTGGATGGATGAAGGCCTTCCCCAAGCTGTCCTCCAGTATAAATAAATATTATCTCTCACTGTCCTGTGATGCATCTAGCTCATAAAACAGGGTTTTTGGGTTAGATCGCGTAAGTATAAACTCTCTACCAACCAACACAGCCAGTAAGGTTTGTCAATTTGCGCGCGTTACAAAATTGTACTATTAAACAACGCGCCAATTAGTTACTACTTCAGCCCACCGGTGTGTTGGAGAGTAAATCCACAACATTTATCATTTCAATACGACGTTTCGCTGGTAATTACACACAGCTTCGGGCGAAAAACCAACATGTCTCTAATGCAGTCTGAAATTTATTAATTGTGGATGCATTTTAATAACATTTCTGGCTCAGCTGTTGTACAAAGTTGGTGCCAAAGCCAGAGGGAACCTCCAGGTGTCTGGAATCCCAGAGCTGGATTGAGGCCTGGGGCAGAGTGGCACGTGGGGGGTACCCCCCCCCTATTAATTAAGAACAGCAACAACAAAAACCCATGTCTGTTGTGGGCACCCCCCTTTTTGAGCGAGCGCCCCCTGGATAAAGCGTCCCCCCCTCCTCCCTCCCCTTCCGTCTCTGAACAAATCTGTCCTAAATGCCAAAACGGCACAAAATGTTTATCGAATTTCGATTTAAAGCTTTCGTGACTGCAGGGATTCATCTTCTTGGTTCTTTCGGTAAAGTCACGTAGAATGGAAATAATAAAATAATAAAATAATAAAACATAAAATAATTCTCACGACGTTTCGGCCACAACGCAAGCAGCCTTCCTCAGGTGGAGAACAGACACAACGCAAGCAGCCGTCCTCAGGTGGAGAACAGACCTGTTGGAGAACAGACCTGTTCTCTACCTGAGGACGGCTGCTTGCGTTGTGGCCGAAACGTCGTGAGAATAATTTTATTATGTTTTATTATTTTATTATTTCCATTCTACGTGACTTTTACCGAAAGAACCAAGAAAATGTTTATCGAGTTAACTCCGAGCTCCCTACCGGCTTTGATGGGCCCCTCCTCGGCCAGACGCAGGCGCCCCATCGTGGGCAGCGGCGCTTCCTCTCCCAGGTACTCGAGCGCACCCGCAGTCCTCCACTCCCGGCTCTCCCATCCCGGGTGGCCGCTGCCTCGTTCGCCGTGGCTACGGAGCAATCCGTGCGTGCGTGCGTGCGTCCGCCGGTCCGCTTGCGAGGAGGACGAATCCAGGAGGTGGCTGCTGTTGTTATCTCGTGCCCTGTGCGCTCCACGACTTCCTGGCCGGCTGAAAACGCGCGCTGTTGTCAGGTTCCTTGCCACGTAACTCTAGAAGAATGTGAAACAGAAAGCGGACGGTGGGGGGGGCGGGGATGCTTTGTGTTTTTTGTCCCCGCGCGTCTCTGATGAGCAAGGTTGGCTACGTACGGCGCGAAAGAAGTTCGGCATACGGGAAACGCAAAACGAGGAAGCCAAACCGCAGTGTGTTTACGTCTGCTGCCGCTCCATTGTAAATGGGAGGGGAAAAAAACACAGGTCAGAGTACTCTGAGAAGTGAACGGGGAGTGGTGGGGGGGAACATCCCAGTTTTTATTTTTAGACTTGGCCAACCAATTACTATTGAAAGCTAATGCTGGTTCACGTATATGTTATGTCAACAGATTTTCTTTTTAATTCGGTGCAATAATGATTGATAATTTGCAGACCTTCCTCAATCAACTGCTGAATGAAAGCCCTCCCCCACCCACTTTTGCTGATCATGGAAGGTTATTTGACCATACTTTCACCATACTTTCACCAGGCTGGTGAAGGAGTGGAGGGTGCCCAGGACCGGCTCAGATACCACTCGCCACCGATGCAAGCCGTGTCTGAAATCGATCTGAGGTTCGAATTAAAACCACTGTCACTTGTTTGATTGCATGGATGATCAATAACGAGGAACGTGTGTGTACTTGTACAGCCCTTTGTCAATCCACCGCTTGGATGAAGGCGTCGGGAGTGGGGGACAATTTCACCATACTTCACTACGCTGGCCTGTGCGGGTTGACGGAAGCAGGAAGCCGAGACATGCGAGCACAGACGTACAGTACAACAATAGTATTTGTTGCTTTGTTGTGGGCAGCAGATGACATCATAGCCCTTCAGCAGCCTATAACACCTGTTTTTGTTTGGTGGTTGCACATCCAGGCACTATCCAGACCCAACCCTTGGTGAAGTTCTGAGAAGAATGAGATAGGGTGCATTCCAAGTGATATGGTCAGAGACAGAAAATTTAAATACGACACTGAAATATAGCAAACAGGTTTGTCTGAGTTTTTTTTATATTTGTCTCAAAATAGGTTTTCTACCCGAGATGTTACAACGTCACCATGTATGGTGGTGGTGGTCTCTCCGATAATCATCGCCACCACAACCTCATCACCACCATTATCATCACAACAACCTCATTGCCAACACAACCTCATCACCACCATTATCATCACAACAACCTCATTGCCAACACAACCTCATCACCACCATTATCATCACAACAACCTCATTGCCAACACAACCTCATCACCACCTTCATCACCATAACCACCATTATCGCCATCAGCACCACAGCCTCATCACCACCATTATTATCACCATCACCACCATTATAAACACCACCACGGCTGTCTCCACTACCGTAATCATCACTATTCCTACAACATCTAAACTGAATCAAAATGTTTTTTTTTTATCTAAGTTGAAAACTATTTTTTTTAGAATTACTGTTTGTGTTTAGTTTGTTGTCCTTCCACCGGACCTGGGTTTGCTATGTACGGTGCGAAAGAAGTTCCACACACACAATCTATGCCAGGTGAAAGTGTCCCTGCTCAATCAGCATTCGACAAATGCCATCATCTTGGTTGTCAGAACCGAGCCAGAGAACAGACATTCCACATTACTTTGGCAAGAATCCATTCTACCACTACCCCCACCATCATAATCCCCACCACAATAACCTTCACAATCGTCGTCATCATCACCACCACTGCTGCTTCGACCAGTTCTGCAATCATCATCACCACCGTCACCATAAGATAAAGGTCCCCTGTATAGCCTTAACAGACTGTTAGAGCAAGTGTTGTTAGCGAGTAGCACCTATGAAGGCCGGCACGGCATACGAGGGGGTGGGTGGCCAGCACCACGCCCGGCCGCCTTTGTCTCCCCCAGTGGCGATGTTTACATACCGCACAAGGTACTCATTTCAGACCGAGTTGACCTAGGGGAGGCCCAGGACCGGTTCAAATAATTAAATCGTCAACGGTGGTGGCCGCAAGCAGGAATCGCCCTCGGGTCGCCGGGTTCGGAGCGCAGCGCGCTAACCCACGACACTACCGCTCCCCATCACCACCACGATCACCACCACCATCATCACGACCACCACCGATACCACCATCATAATCACAATGCTTCCCAAAAATACACCAAGCCAAAGTGTCCCTGGCTCGAAAGAGCACTGGGACAAATTCCCATCTCCACTGGCAGTCCAGATAGGAGCCAGAGTGCGGGCATCACCGTGGCAAGAGCTCATTCGACCACGCAGAGGAACTCGAAACCGCAGTTGCCACCCACCCACCCCAGTGACCCCACAAGTCTTGACGAGGCTGAGCGAGTGGAGAGCTACAACACGAGCAAGCCGGTTTAATGGTCCACGGATGAACCCGGGCAATTACGCAGGGCAGTGCGCTTCTCTAAAGCTGGGCGTGAATAATTGGCTCTGAATTTAATGACCAACTTCTAATCTGCATGGCTGTGCTGACAGTCAAGTCACGGGGCGGCCAGTAACACCCACCCCCCACGTCGCTTCGACCTGTCCACATTAGACCCAGAGAGATAGAGTTACGCTTGTGCAAACCCCTTACACGACTACGGTATTCTATTCGTGCGCAACGGCAGGCAAATATGTTCTAGAGCTAATGCCAGAAAAAAGTGGAAAACCTATTCTCATATTTTGGAACCGGCAAAGGAGATCCCATGATGTAGCTGCTCACCCAGAGCTCTCGTTACTCTGATGGTGGCGTTGTCTTTGTGCTGTGTTCGCCTTTTGGCGTCCTCTGGTCTAACACCTTTTGAGACGAGGCTCAAAAGAAAGCTGTCTCTGGTGTGGACCAATCAGTTTCAAAGACAATTGCATGTATTATTAAAGTGTTTTTGTTTGCATTCTGACCACAAGTATTGTGCTTAATGCAGACATGATTCCTTGTAAAAGATTTCAGTTTGGTGTTTTAACATCTTAACACCGGTTTTGTTGCCAGAAAAAAGGGGAAAACCGATTCTTATATTTTGGTACTGGCAAAGGAGGTCCCATGATGATAGAGTTGATGTTGTTTGGCTTTTCCTCCTCCGTTGAAGGGGCGTATACTTAGTGGTTTATTGGGGGGGGGAAAGACTGATTCAAGTTCACGATGGGATCCTACATGTCATCATCAGCCGTGAGCTATCCACTGCTGGATGAGTTACATCACGCATTTGTGCGATCTTTCGAGACTCGGCACGGTCAGCCACCCATTGCTTTAGTGAGGATGCCGTCGTTCCTGAGACACACACACAGACTACAGGTGATTTCCCCACTTTGTTCAAAAAAAAAGGGCGCACAAAGCGAAACCGCACGAGGAAACAGCTGCCACCTGCCGAGTAGCGTGCACAGTACACACGCATGGTGCACACACAGTACACACAGTACATACATAGTATACACACACAGTACATACAGTATATACACACAGTATACACACACTACACACAGTATATACACAGTGCATACAGTATACACACAGTACACACAGTATACACACACACAGCACACACAGTATACACACACAGTATATACACAGTACACACAGTATACACACAGCACACACAGCAAATACACACACAGCACACACAGTATACACACAGCACACACAGTACATACACAGTATATACACACACACAGTACACACAGTATACACACAGTATACACACACACTACACACAGTACATACACACACAGTACATACAGTATACACACAATACACACAGTATACACACACACAGTACACACAGTATACGCACACACAGTACACACAGTATACCCACACACAGTACACGCACACGCACACATAGTACACACAGTATACTCACACACACAGTACACACAGCACACACAGTATATACACAGTACATACAGTATACACACAGCACACACAGTATATACACACACAGCACACAGTATACACACACAGTACACACAGTATATATACACACACAGTACACACACACACAGTACACACAGTATATACACACGGTACACACAATACACACACACACACAGTATACACAGTACACACAGTATATACACACAGTACACACAGTATATACACAGCACACACAGTATATACACAGCACACACAGTATATACACACAGTACACACAGTATATACACAGCACACACAGTATATACACAGCACACACAGTATATACACAGCACACACACAGTACACACAGTATACACACACAGTACACACACACTACATACAAGTATACACACACAGCACACACAGTATATACACACACACAGTACACACAATAGATATACACACACACGGTACACACAGTACACACACACAGTATACACAGTACACACAGTATATATATACACACACACAGTACACACAGTATATACACACACACACCACACAGTATATACACACACACACACAGTATATATACACACACAGTATACACACACAGTACACACAGTACACACCCAGTACACACAGTGTATATACACACACAGTACACACACACAGTACACACACAGTATACACACAGTACACACACAGTATACACACAGTACACACACAGTATACACACACAGTACACACACACAGTACACACACAGTACACACACAGTATACACAGACACAGTACACACACAGTATACACACACACAGTACACACACAGTACACACACACACAGTACACACAGTATATATACACACACACACAGTACACACAGTATACACACACAGTATAAACACACACACAGTACACACAGTATATACACATACAGTACACACACAGTACACACAGTACACACACACACAGTACACACAGTACACACAGTACACACACACACCCAGTACACACAGTATATATACACACACGGTACACACAGTATATACACACATAGCACACACAGTATACACACACAGTATATACACACGGTACACACAGTACACACACACAGTATACACACAGTACACACACACAGTACACACAGTATATACACATACAGGACACACATAGTACACACAGTATATACACACACAGTATACACACACACAGTACACACAGTATATATACACACAGTACACACAGCACATACATATTACACAATATACACACACACACACAATAAACACACAATACACACATACAGGACACACACAATGTTGTCCAACCTCTGACCGCAAAGCCGCGTGTGAGTGAATTCAGACCGCATATCGAGAATGTGGGGCTAGAAACAGGTTAGCTGCAAATACGCGAAATCGCATAAACCGAGTCCGCACGAAGCGAGGAATACCTATACGGCCTTAGTCCATCAGCCTATGGGATTTCCAGACCCAATATTATCCAGCAGTACTCTATAGAGGTGCTTGTACTTGAACGTGCCCGAGACAATGTCCCCCTCGGAGATGGGAGCTCTGAGATAACCGTGTCTGGAGGAGCTACATTGGATGATTGTTACTTCACAGAATCGTGAGATATTGTATGCGGGTTGTGGAGGTCTTCGTCCAGCAGTGGATAGTTCATGGCCGCGTGTGGAGATTTTGTTGAAGACAAACTATCGATCCGATTAGGACGTTGAATGGTTTTAGCAACGGTGCTGGCTAAACAACTGAACGCAGGACCCTCATGAATGTGGCTCGAGAATTTGGGGTAAATAAAAATGGACATCAATGTGTAATCGTTAATTTGACTCGTTAAACAAATAACATGCCGAGTTTGCAGATGCTATCGGCAGGAGCAGTCCCATTTACGAATGTAAAATAAACCTACACATTAGCATTCATTGTAAGTTATTTTGGGGCACTGTAATGAATAAGTGAATAGACCTCTCCGCATTAAAATTGTATATTGTGGTCGGTCCATCAGCCTGTGGGCTTTCAGAGGAAACAGAACCGTAGGTAAAGATCCCCCGTGTAGCCTGTAATAGACTGTAGGGGCAAGTGCTGTTAGCGAGCACCTATGAAGGCCGTAACAGCACACGAGGGAGTGGGTGGTAATGTTTTTACACCGCACCAGGTACTCATTTCAAGTTCAATTTCATTTATTAGGTATAGCCCTGTGAGCCATTCGGCTCTTGAAGCGGGTGCAACCGCAACAAGCAAAAAACAAAAACATGAACAAGAAAAGATCTTAAAGTGAATATGTGACTAAGTGCAAACAGAAAATCCAAGAAAAGACAGCAAAATATTGCAGAAAAAAATCACCGTCTACACCAACGCTGTGTGCAAAAATCCCATTGGGATGCAAGTCAAACAACAACAACCACCACAAGACAACTTAGATTAAGGCCATCATTCTTACTCCGTACTACAACAAACAAACATGGCCAAACCAAAAATAAAGCCATGAAAGCATTGAAACAGTGATCATAAGAACTGTGACGGAATTTTCATAACAAACGACATAAACAACATGTACCACCACCAAACCCTGTAGCCATAGCTGGCTGAGGCTGAGTAGATCTTGGGGAGGGCTCTGGGACCGGTTCAGATAATCATCACCGGTATTGGCCGTGAGCGCGAATCGAACTCGGGTCGCCAACTAACTACTACCAACTAGCGCTCCCCATCATACACACATACGCACGCACGTAAGCACCGACATACCTTGTAGCCCACGCGGTATGCAATGAAGTCTCCCACGGAAGCCAAAACAAAAACCCAACTCCCAACACCGGAGCGTGCACCCAAAGCGCAACACCAATTCCAGGCAGGACAATTCAACTTGCAAGTTCAAACGCCACGCTCGCAATCGCGTCGCCAATCTACCTGCCCTCTCGCTTACGTACACTACACATGGACTTGCACACAACGACTATGAATTAATATTATTATCTCAGCGTCCACAAGTTCGCCAATAATGCCAGTGTGCAATAACGTGAGATGGTTACGGGGTGACGGCCAGCAGTGAGCGAACCCAGCTGCTGCTGTTCGCTGTTCCGCACTGGCCTGCCAAACCCACCTTTACGTGGCTGTCTGTCGTGTTGCTTACCTTACCTGCCCACCCCCACCCACCTGCCCACCCAGGTGAGTGGTCGGTCACATCTGCGCGCTCCGCCCCCCATGCGTTCACCTGTGACCTGCCTACCTGGCCAGTCGCCAATCACACTCGAACACACCACGACGTCAACGAGTGCGTACTTTATTGCGTCGCCACCGAAGGGATTATCCGTAATAGAGGGTTGTTTTTTTAGGTTAGATCGTGTAAATATATGTGTCGTTAAAACCCCGCCACCAACTAGTCAGGGTTGTCGAGATTTGCTCGCTACGAGAGGGGTTCAGGAGAGAGTTCGTGTGTTTTGCTGTCCCTCTGAAAGAAAGCAGACGCCAGTGGTTTACTGCATAGTCCGCAGTTTCGGGCAATGTCCCTTCGTCACAGTGCAGTCACAGAGGCCAGAGAGTGGTGTAGAGATTGAATTCTCATTCAGCGTTACCCACGACGCCCCCTATGTACGCACGTGCTGACATTGTCAAGTTCATTTGATAAACCAGCTGAGTGAGGACTCAAAGAGACCACGATTATTGACGCTGCTTTGGCAGTGGCGCAGAATCGTAAGTGACAAAGACAACCTCACCACGTTCGTCAATTGAAAGACTAATTTATTTGGAATTGCCTGTTGTGTTTAGTTCGATTAGCACGGTTGGCTACGTACGGTGCGAAAGAAGTTCAACGCACATACAAACGCCAATAACTTTAAAGAAAAATATGTTATCGGCGCCTATTCGGGCAATGCCCCTCCTCATAGCACATGCGCTGCATTACCCTAAACCACATGTGCTGTGCAGAAGGGTCATTGTCTGAAACGTTGCTTATTATATGTAATTTCACTTGTAAGGCAGTGTTATTGATGAACGAGTTGAGTTTGTTACGTCAATTGCGAGAGTGACGTGTGGGTAAAACTATTCCTAGAGCTATATAGCTAAGCGGGGCATAACCTGGTAAAATAGAAAATATAGTAAATAATAAATAGATGAGAGTCTTCCAACTCCTGCCGGGTCGTGGAGGTTGTTTGACCATACTTCACCTTGCGGGATAATGCGGGTTTGTAAAGGTGGGGGTATTGTATGTGTGTGTACTGTATAAATGTGTATATTATAAAACATTAATTAGCGTCGTTATGGAAAATACTGCAAGTGACACAGTAAATACGCAATGCACTTCCTTCACAAACCCGTCACGTGAACAGTGTATTTTCGACACATCCTACAATTTCAGAAATATTGTTTAATACAAGTAAACTCGATAATTGGTTCTTTACCCTTCTATCTGGCAACAAAACTGACACCTTTTTGCAAGGAGTCATGTTTGCATAGACCGCAATACCTGCAGTCATAAATACAAACAAAAGACATAACTCTGATAATGTGCACTGTCCCTGAAGTTGATTGGTCCACACCCGAGACAGCTTTCCTTCGAGCCTAGTCTCATATGGGTTGGACCAGATGACGCCTTTTGACGCCTTTTGGCGTCATCTGGTCCAACCCATATGAGACTAGGCTCGAAGGAAAGCTGTCTCGGGTGTGGACCAATCAACTTCAGGGACAGTGCACATTATCAGAGTTATGTCTTTTGTTTGTATTTATGACTGCAGGTATTGCGGTCTATGCAAACATGACTCCTTGCAAAAAGGTGTCAGTTTTGTTGCCAGATAGAAGGGTAAAGAACCAATTATCATATTTTTACTGGCAAATGAGGTCCCCATAGACAAGTAAACTCTTCACAGGTTTCGTTTAATTTACCGTATTCTCTTCCGATATGTTAATGTGTATTGTCTGGTGATCGACTTTGTTAATTATATTCTCCACAACAACGAGATAAATAATTATTTCGTGTTATAAATTATACTGTTTAGTTTTGCGTCAAACCCATATCGAACTGAGCCCGACAGCGGATTGCTTATACGTACACCGTATGTGTATTAACGTATATACAAAACTGTGTTGTGCACTTATTTGAATACATGTGTGATGAATACAGATGCACACGAAGAAGGGCCATTGACCGAAACGTCACCTATTAAATATTTACTTTTCAGGACAGTGTTATTTGAGGCACGTGCAACCACTGCTGCCAAAGCTCGGATCACTTCTTACCACCACCACCACCACCGCCCCCCCCCCCCCCCATCAATTCAGTGGTCAGTAGAGGGCGGTCACAGACAGGACTCATAAGCGAGACAAGTCAAGGGGCGAGATTGGTTTTTAACGATTTGCCTTTGAGGCTGAACAACAAAACGGAGCAAATGGTTGGGGTGGGGGGGAAACTATCGTTGTTAATATCGAGCAGTCAAACGATTGTGGCTTTCGTTGTGTCTTCGCGGTGATCAATGGCAATTGGTCGTAATAACAGAGCTCGGCTATTCTATGCACAGGGCAGTCGTCATACTGATGACGACAACGGGAGGGCATTGTAAAGTCTCTCACGTGCACGTTCTCGTCGAGGCTTAATGTGGTGTCTGCACGGGGCATCTAAATTCAAGGGCCCTTGATTAGTGTTGGGTTTGTGTGCAAATAATAGAGAAACAGGAGGAATAATATCAGCGTGGAACGTTGTTCAAAATGTATTTATGCTAGGTGACCGGGTGGGTGGCCCAGGATCAGAGCACACTGAACTGCCACTGATGAGACAGCCTGGATTGGACTCCAGGTTGAAATCAGCTGCTCGTGTTTGAACTGGGTTCTCAAGTGCAGCTCGTCACCAATAACTGCAACCCCCCCCCCCCCCCCCCACAATTAAAACCCCCATTTAATGATCACATTAATTTTCGTATTTCAATTAACTCGGACAATTCGAATGCTGGTAAAATTAGCATTTGATTGACATGTAATGAACACCCTTTGTAGGGCATATAAGGTTGTGCCTCTAGTTTGAATAAAGAGGCCAATTGGAGTGAGACATAAGCAGTTCTACGATGTTAACTTATGGGTGTCATCCTCTGACCCAGTGACGGACTGCTAACTGAATTTTGCATGGGAATGTCATTGTCTCTTTTAATTATAATACATTTTCATATAATTGTGCAAAATAAAATGTGGTGTCGTGGAATATTCTCGGCCAAATACGCTTTAAAAATATACAAATTCAAGATACATTTTAGATTAAACCGCTGGTAGAATGTAACATTCTGATCGGCCCATACTGGACATTTGTGGAAAAAAAAGCTTCATAGCTCATCGGAGCCCTACAGCCTAAATAAAGATTCTGATTCTGAGAATTTCTGTACCAATGTTTCCATCAGTATTTTATTTAAGCAGACAAACACTTTCTGCGTCTCATCAGTAGGGTGTGTGGCCCGTGGAACAAAATGCTACTTCATCGCCTGGTTGTTACAGGCAAGACTTGAGCCGAACATACTCAAGAGAGTCGATGTGAAAAAGGTCGGAGGAGCGTGAACTTTGCCACTCCGTTCAGGCGTCGCCAAACGCGAATTCTAGAAGATGTGATGACAAATTTACGCCACGCGCAAAATGCACAAGACTCACATGGGAATGGAGGAATTCCAAAGCCAATCACGCCTACAAGGCCGATCGCTGACACTATGCATGATTGGTTTTGGATTCTTACCATCTCCCCGTGGGCCTTATTCTACTCGGCGTGTGGCGTGAATTCAAATTGGCATCCCAGTTGTGCACACGGCAATGCGACGTGTGCACGCAACAGTGCATACATTTTCAATGCAAACAACTTACTCTACGGCTTATATAAACCTGATGTTCCATGTTGCTGCTGGGCGCTAACATGTGTTCGAACTCTGTCCAAACGATGCGGGAAAAGAAGCTGCATTGACCGGAACTAATTTAAAGCAAGCGCGTGTGTGCGCGCAAGGGTGCGTTTGATCCTTGGGCTGCACCGACACCTGTTTTAAATTCTACACGCCGCTGTGCACAACAGGCTGCTGCTGCTTGCTTGCTGCTCATGCGATGGGGATTACGCTGGGAGGGCTGGCTACTACTGTCTGAACGGCACTGCTCCGTTAAAGGCAGGGCCACCACGCTCTTGGTGAGCCAAGCGACCCCGCGTCAACTTTACACTGGCACATTGCCACCACGCTAACAGCAGCCGCGCGCCGCATTCGTTGCACAAACAACCACCGAAAGAGGAATTGGACAAACGTGCCAATGCAGGGTCTTCTTGGATTTTTTTTGTATGGCTCAAATTAGATTGTCCTTTTGTAACAAATGTTTTTTTAAATATTTGTACTGTTAAAAGCATGCGGATCAGGGAATAAAAAACATTCTAATCAGATACGCCATAACTGATTTTCCGGGAAGATTTAAATAGGCTTGGGCAGGGCACATCGTGGCTCCGATTAGCACGGTTGGCTACGTACGGCTCGAAATAAGTTCAACATACATATCACGGGACCTTTTTTTCCAGTATTAAAGTATAAAAATAAAAAAATGGTTTTACCCTTTCTTGCAATAAAACAGGTGTTAAGATGTTGAAACAACAAGTCTGCATTAACGACACGTACTTGTGGTGAACATTCAAATAAACATGCTCTGATAATATATAATGCATTGCCTTGTAAACCTGATTGACCTTCATCAGAGACAGCCTTCTTTATGGCCTAGTCTCACCACTGTTCGCCTTTGGCGTTCTCTGGTCTGACACTGGTCTGTCTCTGGTGTAGGCCAATCAGTTTCAAAGACAATGCCATGTTTTGTTTGTATGTTCACCACAATTACTGTGTATGTGGTTAATGCAGTACTTGATTCCTTGCAAAAGGTTTCTATTTGGTGTTCTTAACACCTCCTGTTTTATTGGCCGAAAGGGTAAAACCCTCATCTTATTTCTTTTTCATAATTTAAAGCCTCAAGCACGGGTTCTTTTGTTCTCAACGCTGGCTACGAAATTTTTTTTTTGGGAAAAGTTCTAAAATAAAATGTGTAACCAAGAATATGAATCACTGCAGTCACGAAAGCTTTAAATCGAAAAAAAAATCTTAACACCTGTTTATTGCCAGAAAGGGTAAAAACCTATTCAATTTTTTTCATACATACATACATGGCTCAAAGGGATGGTCGCGGTTGGACTGAGATTTATGATGGAATGCTTGCCGAAGGAGAAAACAAGTCTGAGAGCGATGACCATGATGGACATAGAACAAAGAGATCAGGTTATGTTGCAGTAGCAAGATGGAATTTGTCATCAGAGGCCACGTGGGTTGGCGACAACTTGGGGAGGCCTTCATTGGATAGAAAATGACTCGTGATGCTGATTAATTCCATGAATATTGTTGACATTCAATCAATTGAGTGATGGAGGTCATCATATACACATGCGGCGAGAGCTGTAGCAGAATGCATGATAGACACAAGTAGATCCTACCACTGCTCGTTCTGTTTAAAGTGTAACGTTTGTTTAAAGTTTGCTTTAATATTGACTGTGTCGTGCACCCCTCTGGGGGTTTACGCACTCCCCACTCTCCCCTTAAATCAAGGTTCCGCTGCAACGGTTGCCTGGATGCCGCTAGTGTGATTAAGTAAGCCGAACACTTGAGTGTTTTCACGAAAAAACAGCCATATTTTTTTTCTCCCTTTCAATTTTAAATCTGAACTCAATTACGGCCACGCCAGGCTCAGGCAACAATAAATAAAACACGAGGGTAGGCCACAAGTTATATTGTATTCCCCCACGTCGCCTTCCGCCTACAGCAGTCGGCTGTGCACCTTTATTGGTATTGGGCTGTTTGGGGGCATATGTGGTCAAACATTAACATAAATGTGACAATTCGCATTTTATTCATATGAAATAAAATGTTTCACCTACCGAGTTAAAATTTTGGGATGGATTTTTGTTACGTAAATAATGCAATACTATTTTAATTGAGGTTGACATTTTTTTTTTATCTAACCGCGAGAAGTCTTTTCACGTTTATCAATCTCGTACGTTCGTGCAGATTCAGCCGTGGCCTATTGCATGGACGTAAAGACTGGTCATGGTTATCATCAATACCAGCCGTGGTCAATCCACTGCTGGAAGATTGCCTCCCCACACCGCTAACATCCCTTTATAACCCGTGCAATGCAACGATGCACCCAGCACCTGCACAAGAGTCGATCCTCATCAGCGATTCTCATCGCTCCATCTCTGGACGCCAAGTGTGGAAACCTCAAATAGTTACAGGGTGGCCATTCTGCAACCTTGAGATTAAGAGCCCGTGTGGAGATCTAATCACTGAAAAAATTGTACATAATTGGGAAAAATCTGCCTATCACGAATTTGCACATCGAAGAGGTGGACATATCAGCGGGTGACAAGACTGTGAGACTTCATCAACTTCCTCTTCGTACGGCTCACGAGAAGGGTTCTTCATTGCAAGGCCCGTGGGCCACTGGCGGCCTCCTGGTGGCCTTTGGTGCGGCCCCCCACAATACACAAATGTGAAAACACCCCCCCCCCCCATCATCGTTCTACTGTCAAACCCCCAATGGTTACAAATGTGTGGCGGCCCTCACACTGATGATGTCTTAACGACGAAAGTGCCTCCCAAACCACGTCTGAAGGAGTAAAGAACACTGCTGACGAGCAATTACTATAGTTTTACATTGAGGCGCTTGAACCAGAACTTTGCATCAGGAGTCGCGAGCAGAGTGGTACATCGCTGTGATGCCTCCTCCATTGTATCTGCGAATTGGGCATTGAGTTGTTATGTGTGTTCCATGGATCTGTCCGGCTGACCACTGTAATAACTTCTGTACCTGCACCGCGGGGCACTGGCACCAGTGAAAAATGTCTCTTATTTGGCACGGAGTTAAATTCGTTAAAGGAATGTACTTCATGGTAAAGTCGTTTTTTCGTGGGAGAAGGGGGGGGGGTTAGATCGCATAAAGGTAATATATATTCGTATTCTTTGGTTATTTCGGTAAATACTCTTTGGTTCTTTCGGTAAAGTCACGTAGGTGAAAATAATAAAATTGTGAAAACTAAATTAATATTAATAATCTAGAATTATTTCGGTAAAGCCACGTAGATAGAAAAAAATAATAAAAACCCAAAGAATATCAATTCCTGCAGCTTTAAGTCAATGTTTAAAGGTAAATGTGTCGTACACCCACCTCCACCCGACGAGGCCAATTCGTATAAGCTTTGTCAACGCGTACAGAAAGTGCCAACTTATGACTAGAACACTTTAAGCACGCCGGCGTGTGAGAGTGCAAGCCCACACAATTTACGATTTACTCCGTCGATGTTTCGCTGATGCTTGCAACCAGCAGCATCATTGATCATCGTCGTGGATGCGTTTGCTTTGCCAGCGATAAACACGCGTCCTGTTTCGATTTAAAGCTTTCGTGACTGCAGGGATTCATCTTCTTGGTTCTTTCGGTAAAGTCACGTAGAAGGGAAGTAATAAAATAATAAAAATAAAACATAATAAAACAATTCTCACGACGTTTCTGCCACAACGCAAGCAGCCTCGACAGACCTGGTTTTCACCTGAGGACGGCTGCTTGCGTTGTGGCCGAAACGTCGTGAGAATTGTTTTATTATGTTTTATTTTTATTATTTTATTACTTCCCTTCTACGTGACTTTACCGAAAGAACCAAGAAGACACGTGCCCTGTGTTTGTGAAATGCGTGATCCCATCCGCGCGCGGTACGCCTGGCGGACACGCGTGGAGCAGTGTTGAACTAATCGATTGGCAATGGAATCGCAACGGAATTGAGACAATTGATTGATTGGAATGGCAGCGCAGACGGCGCAGAATCGTAACGCGACTCCGTAATCGTGCGCGCGATAATCCATCCCGACACATGCTGTGCATGAATTGTCACCGTAAATCGAAGACACTGACAATCGAGTGGTACCGCGTTGGTCGTGATGCACAAGGACAATTATATGCAGTATGTACATTAAAACACTTCAACACATTCATCAATAACACTTTTAAATATATAATAGGCGACGTTTCGTACAATGGTCCTTCGAAGCAAATACTAACACTATGACACACCGAACAAATGCTGTGATTTTTTTTGTTATGTCCGAAATTTCGCCTTTAAAAAAAAGTGTTTTATTCCGATGAAGGTCAATCACCGCGTCCGATGTTATTGATGAATGCTGTTAAGTTTAAATATTGACAGATATTCCCAGCAGCTCTCCCGCTAAATTGTTCACCTGATGACGATTACTTGTGTTGCGATCAAAACGTGATATAATTATTTTTCATTATTTATTTCTATTCTATCGACATGGCTTTTACCGAAAGACCCCAAAAAAATCGTGTTAAGTTCACTGACGAAAGAATCGATGGCCACGCGCCTACATTAATCGATTATGCCGTTCACGCACGGGACCAGACTCGACCAATCGATCGTCGCTCTCACTGCAGCCAGGCGGCATCATCGGCGGCAGCAGCACTGAGCGGAGGGAGTTGAGGGGAGAATTTTGACTCTCGATCGACTCTCTCCACTGCTCTGGTCTGGGTCGTCTGGCCGGGCCGACACGGGGGCAGAGCGGCGAGCGGGGCCGCTCCTCGCCTAGCGCCGCGTCCGCCCATCGCGAGCGACGAAACAGCGACACTCGGGGCGAGAGACGCGGGGCTCGGAGACGAACAAGACAAAAGAGAAACCCGCGAGACATTTTCTCTCAGGAGCGGCGAGAGACGGAGACGACGACCACGGCTCGTTGCGTCGGCCGCGTTAGACGACGGCGGCGGCGGTGATCCAAGCGAGCGCCACTGCGCCGCGGGCCCAGGGAGTTGGGCCCTTGGAGACGCTGGATACAGGTACGAGAGAGTTTTATTTTCTTATTCTACCGCGAGTTTCTTTCGTTTTTGATGTATTTGTTGTTCTGTGTGTGTGTGTGGAGACCGAGTAGGGGAGCGGTAGAAGCTTGCTTGGGTTTTGAGGTTTGTTACGGGGGTGGTGGTGGTGGTGGTGGGAGGGAGAAGCCTGCGGCCTTAGGCCGCAGACGCGGCGTCTATGGCGTTAGGGTCCGTCTCTTGCTGTTTTAATCATTACGCGTCAATATAATTATTACAATAGTCACCAGCGTCGTCATATGACGTTGCTTAAAGTACCGTTAACACACAGAGCGCCTGTGAATATACTTGTGCCATCAGCGCGATGGTTGCTGGGCGATAATGGTCATGATGGGTTGGGTTCCTTCGCAGATCACTACCGAGCAATCGCGGATAGTTTCTGAGTCGACCAGTTGTTGTCCTTGTATTCGCCATAATTCGTCATTATTGCTTTTGATAAAGGTACGGTAACGTGTATGTCATCAAATATATCTGGCCCGTCTGTTGTAGAGTGGACGGTAAATGCTCCGTGGTGCCCATAACCCAACGGGGAAATAAAGTACGGCACTGTACATGGAATCAACTTCGACAATGTTAGCCACCGCTGTTTTAACTGAGCCTTACAAAAGAGATCATACTGGAAGGGACGATTGCCTGTGGTTATTAGTAACTACGGGGAGTGGCAGCCAAGGAATGGAACTCGTCCACCAGAGAGACGGAGCGATGTAATTGCCTTGTATAGAGGGCCTGAGTGTGTGATTACATCACAGGGATGTCGGCTTGGGGAGATCATCCAGCAGTGGACTGACCATGGTTGATGATTATGAAATACTACAATGCATCTCACGTGGACCCCCTGCAACACATGTTGTGAGGCTTAGCAGCATCTCGTGACAAACTTTATTCGAGAGCTTTAACTGCACTCGCAACGTTGTTATCGTTTCTTGTTATTCTACGTTTATGTATACTACTTCAACCCGCTCTTTATTTAGAGCGGCGTGGTGGTGGGGGGGGGAATAAGCAGCCGTCTTACATTACTTTACACATCTAGTCCAGATGCATTCAGTAATGGATTGTGAATATTTTGCATTAATTAGTTTTTATTTATGTTCATGTACTGTAATGTAAGTTTGTTTGCATATGTGTGAGTTTGATTATGTTTTGTTAACACGTTATTGGTATTAATGTGTGGTAATGTATTGCCCTTGGTGCTGTAACAACATTAAACGCACAGTAGACGCGTATAAGTCGTACGTATATTTGTTATGGTGTCATATGTTCAACGATGCTGTATTAGCCTGTTGAACATAGCCATTTATAAAAGGCCACGACTGCTTGTTTCTGCAGATGTGCGGTGAGAAAAGTAGTCTTCAGGCACGACTGTCCCGGCAGATAGATTCTAAAATAAAATGTTTAACCAAGAATATGAATCCCTAATTCTAGATTTGAAGCTTTCGTGACTGCAAGGATTCACATTCTTAGGTTGTTTCGGTAAAGTCACGTAGGTAAAAAAATAAAATTAATAAAAGTAAAATAAAATAGAAATCACGACGTTTCGGAGGCAACACAAGCTTCCGTCTTCAGGTGGAACCGTCACAGCCACGACAGCTGTATCAAGTAAATGAGAGATTAAAAGAGCTACCACTCCGTATATATGAATCCCTGCAGTTACGAAAGCTTTAAATCAAAAGTATTTATTTAGTTTGGTAAAGAAAAGACTTGTTTCATTTGAAACACGGTGTGTTCTCGAATTGTGATTGTACACATTTTGATAATGAAAGAAGGTATTTGATTACACTATGTAACACAATTTTTGTTCCTGGGTACTAAGTGTTATTTTTTAAATTGGTAATGCTTAATCCCCACAAACTTAGCTTTTGTGATCAGGACTTTATGGGAACGAAATACACATGCACACGTTTTCTCATTGAAAATAGGTAAATTTTAAAATATCACTGTCCTGGTCACAAAAGCAAAGTTTGTGGGGAATAATAGACATTTTCTGTACTTTTGAGGCATAAGCAATTATGAAATACATTAGTATTTTATTATTTTTATTTTCATTCACTTTTTTTATTATTCTATCTACGTGACTTTACCCAAAGAACCAAAGAATAGGAAATAACACTTACTACCCAGGAGCAAAAACATTTTTTGTTACACAGTGTGATTAATGGAGTGGAGATTATTAACTTTGCTTTTGTGTCCTGATCACAAAAGCAAAGTTTGTGGGGAATAATATACATTTCTGTACCTTTGAGGCATAAGCAATTAGGAAATAACACTTACTACCCAGGAACAGAAATTTTTGTTAGTGTTATTTATCATCTAGGGATTCTAGGCTAATAATTTATTTTTTATTTTTTTGGTAAATGTCCGCTATAGTATTATTTCAGTTTACATTGTGTTTACTTGGCCTATAAAGACATTATTTTTTTTACAGAACAGAGAAGTAAATATAGGTTTAAACCTTCAAAAGTTACAACTTATGTTTTCATAATTTTTTTATTTTAAATTATGTATGTAAGAGTGGGCCATGTTAAAATATTTAAGCACTGTTTTCAGTTGTTTGTGTTATAAGAGATCTTAGCTTGTGTGCAGAAGCTATATCGATTGTTTCATTGCTAGACTATATGGAGGCCTTTTTCCAGAATAAGTTATTGCTCGTGGGTTTTTTAAGGCCAGTTTGATTTACTGTATAAACTTGTTAGCCAACTTGATTATCTGTATTTAAATAAGATAAGAAATGTACTCAAAATTTCAAGTACCAAGAAAACAGCTTTCTGGTTTGTGAATAATCGTCATTCATTCAGTGATATTTTGTGTTGTTTGGTAGAATGTCTGATATTCCACCCCATGTGCTTGGAACTTATATACTGTACAGCACAGCCACGAAAACCTACACAGCAATAAATCATAGCTTTAAGTGTGAAAGAGTGGGATTGTTAAAAAGGAAATCACACATGGAACACAAAGTTAGTGGCATTTACAACATTAATATGTAACACGTGTTTATGATTGCATAGCAATTTGTGTTTCAAGTGAATTGGGAACTAGGAATGGGAAAAAATCTGGCTCCGATTTGGTGGATCACACAAATGTCATAAAACATCCTTCCCATGGGCATGGATGTGCCATACCCTGCTTTGCCAGGAGAAGGTGATACAGAAAATGTGGATTCCATCCGTTTCATGGCATGGGAAAGCATTGCCCCCTTCATATGCGTCGGTTTTGTCTGCAAAGCTTGGGTTATTGTTGGTGCCGACTCACGGACTGGCTGCCTTCCCGCTTGTCTGTGCTTCCTCACACCTCTTCAGTCATCTCTTTTCGAGAGTGAGCAAATGCTGTGTGCATTATAATTGAACATTTGTATTATTATTATTATAAATGGGTACATTTATGGTTCCTGCATAATAATTTTCGGGGGGACGTTAAAATGTTTTCCTTCCCCACATCGATGGGGGCGGTAATCACTTTTAAAATATATATTTAAGTATGTAATAGTTCAAGAGTTTAATCCCCCAAAAAATTTGTTAGTTGGGTGAGATGTTGGAAAATAGTTGTTACACTGGAATTTACTCGTTATCCTATCTGATGTTGAATAGATGTCATAAAATCAATTCAGTGTTAAGCTTTCAGGAAAAGTTCAAAAGTTGCAACGATAATATTGCCATGAGCCGCAGTTGCATCTAAAACCCAATTGTTTTCTTCATGCCCTGAAATTACCTAATGAAAGCCACGGAGTGCCTTGGTGTGTTGTTCGACACTACTTTTTAAGAATAGATATGACAACCTCCTTCAGAGGGGTGTAGCCTTTGACATTGCGGCGAGGCATGTGCCCCGTGTATACACAATACAGTATCTGAAACCCATCCTGCATTGTAGGCACCTTGCCTGAGGTAATTGGAACTGTCTTTGGGGGGCTTCTCAGGTCATATCGTTGTGTGCTACTCAACCTGCAGCTGCTTGTTAAACCTCATGACCAACACGCCACAAATTGATTTAAGGCCACATCACATTCCTGTATTCCTAGTCACTTGCGTAAATGACACGAGATCCACTTATTTAACTTTTAACATTGTTACCGGTGAAGTCAAGATGCAAAATCGCTGGTAAGGGAGGCAGACGTGTTTGTCTTCGCTGTTGAACACTTGATATATAGCTTTGGCTCCGGGTTTTTGTATTGATTTCTCAGTCAATATTGGTATCATCAAATGGTGTGTTTCAGGATAGTGATTTGTTTGTACTTGCCATGTACTTTATATGATGGTAACTTATAAATGTGATTTGACTCTGTTCCCTCTGATCCTTAAAAATACAATGTCATAATATCATTAAACTTAATGCGTGTATTTAATTCATATTTCTTTACATGTTTTTGCGTTCCTAATTTTTTACATTTACAACTTACGTCAAGCGCAGAAGATTGTTGTGTACATGTGACTGCATATGCAGAGCACCATTCGTCCACGCTAAATTAGAGTGCCCTAGTTTCTTCCAAGTCAATGGGGAGTAGTACATGGATGTATTAAATTACAACATGCAAACACTATTTTCACATGCACCCTGCCATTTATCTTCTGTTCCATTGTAATTCTTAAAGGTGATTTATTTTATTTTACCAAAGGTTACATCTCGTTCGAGATTGTAGTCTTATTTTTTTGTTTATACACGGTGCCTGCGTTTTCCTGAGGACAACGTGCTCTTCAGGTAACGTTCGATGCACGGTGGAATTATTGTTTGTTTCTCGCTACAGTTTAACACCCAACACACCTTGTGCAAAAATCCACATTTTCATGGAGTCGCTCCACGTATTTTGTGGCACCGGTTAGAGAAACAGTGAATTGGCACAGTAAAGGATAATTCTTTATACAACGCATTTGATTGGGTCTCGCTTTCCCTTTTTCTGTTTTCATTGCACACACGGTTTACATGGCAAACAACTTTGCAGCACTGCATATAATAACATAGTGGATTTAAAAAAAATATCAAACGTAAGCACATTGAAAATATGCTACATATATCATTCCATATATGTCCCTCCAAGGGACGCATGCTTTTTGGAACCAAAGCTCATAATTTGGTGTGGATAAGGCTTTGAAACAGCAAACCTTAGTGCTAGTTGATGTTCTCTCTTCCATCATAATAATTCTTTACCTCTCTATCTCGTCAGAACACAAGAAGTCTGCTTTACTGAAGTGCTTTGTTATGATATTTTGCTGAGTCTTGTGAGAATCGTATCACCATTTTTGTGTGCTGTAAAGGCTTCTTATTTTGACGCAATAATAAAGTACCAATGCATCTTAGTAACCATTATTCCTTGGTTTAGGTTTTTAATAATTGTAAAGCTAGAGTCTATGCTTAAATTCAATATAAAACGTTCGAATACAATTATTATTTATTATTTTTTCTATCTACGTGACTTTGCCGAAAGAACCAGAGTATTGATTCCTGCAGTCACGAAAGCTTCAAATCAAGACTTTCGAATAAAAGTTAGAGGAACCCATAGCTGCAACTTTTTCACTGTCTGCTGCAGTTGTGGCACGAGTGCACATTCATATTATATGCATTTTGTGCTTGTTTTAATTTTCGTCCCCTTGCTCAGGTGCTGTTCTCTGCGCGGAGCATGCGAGAGGGACATCGGCCCAACGGTCCAAGTGTGGCTGCCCCGACCATTCTCACCGACTTCGTGGCGGCGCTCGCTAATTCCTGCTGCGCCTTCGCTTCCGGAGACAATGCCGGCATGCTCGAGCACCATTTTAATTTGACTCACGGCTGTCCCACACACCCGCTTGCCTTCTCCATGAACACGGGGCCGTAAGGGAGAGGTGTTGGGTTTTTATTTTTTATTTTCCAACTTCATTTTCATCGGGAGAGGTGGCCACAGCGGCAGCCAACCAAGCAGACGGGCAAGGATGGGGCCCAGCCGGAAGAGAAATGCGGTCCAAATCCTAAGTGGGCGTGAGCTGGGTGCCAGTTGGATGGGGGCACGCAGCGGCCTGGAGGAACTGGCGGAGGACAAGGCCTGCCAGATGCAGTGGGAGAGCCAGGTACTAATTCCTAGCACACTATGCCCCCCCCCTGCCCCAACACCTGTGTTCCACCCAACATCTGTATCCCTCCCCCTATGGTCTGTGAGCATTGTTTGTAAGTGAGATTTTTTTTGGCTTTCCCATTATTCCCAACATATACATTTTTATTATGCCTCTTGCATAGGCTACTTCTCACTGGATAATGACAGTTTTATTATAAAATGAAACTTCTGCTGTGAGATTTTCCTGGCTGGGAAGTCTTATTTATTACAGTTTTGTTCAACTAAATAGCACTAAATGTAAAAAACACACGATGTTAATGATAACGGTTTTGTGTTATTGTTGTCCTGAATGGAATTATGAATTGGTAAATTCGTCTCTTACAGCGACTTGGAAGATATGTAAATTGTAAAATTTTCCAGCTATTTTGTCTCAGCTCAAACACATTGATGATTTTATGTTTTGTTTTTGGGCAAGCCAGGTCAGACTACAGCAGGTTAAGTGCGGACACAGACTTGCGTGACCAGACGGGCATATCACTGTTTGCAGCTCACTGATATAGAAAGCATGACTTGCTTTGACCCTTTTCATAAACATGGAGTTTCCACATTAATTCAGTGTGCAATGTGTTTAGGAATGGGGTAACCTTAACTGCATGGGAGCACATGCAGGGTGTGCTAATCCTGTATTATATTTTAAATATGATTCGGTATTGAATTTAATAAAAACCTAGACGAATTGCTTCATGCCCTTTATTATCGTTAATATTTACACGAACAAATGTTAGCCGCCTGACTCACATGGGAGAAAAGGTGCCAGAGTGTGTTTGTGAGTGGAAATGAATTGACACATACAGTCCAGGGTAAAGACCTGACCTCAGCTGAACTGTTGGCACTGTAGTAGGTTATTTGTCATAGGATGGGGTTTTAAGTCCCATCTGGTGCCAGCTGCATAGCTTTAGGCAAAGAGTGATTTAAGGCTTTTTTTGTTGGTTTAAAGAAAAAAAACTGAACAGTGTTGAAAGTCCTAACCATATACCAGCTGAAAAAATAATAATACAGTATTTTATTACAGCATTGTACAGAGTGCATCTCATGTGTTGTCTTTGTAAATGCAATAATCGTGCTTAAGTTGGAAGCTGGAATACTGCAATCTCCAACTTAACAGGACAGAACGCCCGCTCACTCAAACGGTAGAATGTTTGTTTCTCAGTAACAAATTCTGGGCACACCACGTTTGACTGTTTTGATAAGAAAAAGGGTGGTTGAGTGGATTGTGATTGGCCACACTTTTATCGCTTGGAAATCTGAGCCGTCGGGCGGGGGGGGGAGGCTTTGCGTCTTGGCTGCGGAGTGCAGAGAGGGCGCGCGAGGACAGCGTGGGGCTGGCGGCGGGTCCCGCTGCGCTGGGCTGATTGTTAACGACGCCGCTCATGCGGCCAGGGCAGCGCAGGGGCGTGCGCCGCATGCCGAGTAGCTCTGCGGGGGAGCTCGTTGCATGTGACGCACATCCATCACGGCCGGCCGGTCCGTGATGGATCGCGAGCGGGGGCTTTTGATTATTCGCCGATCGCCGCGGATTTTTTCGATGCCGTTTGAACGGCACAAGCTGTGCTCGCTGTTCGGATAATTGCCCGATATGACTCCGTGTTCTTAATTGGTCAGCGTTTTGCCATTTTGTGGGCTTACCCTTTTTCATGCTGGTGCTTTTATATGCGTAGTCACTGCAGGAATGCGCAGGGTGGATTTATGGTGCTAAAATGCCCTTGTTAAGTCCCTATAGGGAAGACTTTCCACTTAGATGAGCAGTGCTTCCAAATAGATTTGCCGCGTAAGAGCAATAAACCAACTACCAAAATACCAGATGTGTAACCTTGGCTGACCACCACCTGTGTTTGATTTGTGTTGGCTTTTGGCAGTGGTGTGTGCACATTGAAGAATATATAATTTGTGGCCATTGACTAGAGTTTGAAGAACAGGTGTTTTTTAAATTTCTAACTATTTTGTAACGAAAAATAACCTTTCATCTTGTGCTGCTTCGTTGTAAGTTATATATTTACAATTTATAAGCACAAGCTTTGTTATGGTCTTGTAGAGACTGATGGAACATTTTGAAAGAAAAAATTATTTGGTACATCTCAGTATTGCTCATTGGCTGGCTGTGGAGGTTCCTGCCGATGTAGTCACAAGTTTATTTGTACTACCCCAGTAAATCTGCAACATTTTGGAATTCTCACCGCAATGTACTTTCGGCTTGTTTTCTCTATGCTTATTTAAGTAATTTTAAATTTCACACCACCATTAATACTGTCATGCCCAATATTGCATTTTTTTTACTTCGTGTAAATGAAATAAATCCTTATAAAATGTTGATGTATGGAATTCAAATGCAAGCTTTGTATTTAAAATGCTTCTTTGGGATTCTGTTTAGCATGCAAAATAAAAATAGGCACATGTGCAGTTACTCTATGGATTGTTACATCACGGGATCATGGCGATGGCTTTGAGAGTGAGGCCTTCGTACAGCAGTGGATTGATCATGACTGACGATGATGATGATGCAAATATTGTGTTGTTCCTTAACAGATTTAATTTAAAAAAGTTATTTATTTGCAGAAAGTGGAACTGCCTGACAGTCCGCGATCGACATTTCTGCTCGCCTTCAGCCCGGACAGGTGAGCTGACACTTCTAATTTCGTTACCCTCCGTCGTTCCAGTTAATTGTAACGCCAGCGGTTTGTAGACAGGGAGCATATTGGTCACGATCTAATTCTGAGTAATAGTTTAATGCCAGCCAATTTCAAACTTTCAACGTCTTAATTTGTTTTGGAGCACAATGAAGGTAAATAAAAAAAACCTAACCGATACAAAAAAAGAGTTGACAAGAATGATGGTACAGTGCATATTTTGAATCTGGAAGTGATCCTGTAATAAATTATTGTTGTCCGATAGCATGCAGAAGCCACGTGTTACCAGATACCATAAATGTCACTCAGGAGTTGGCTTGCACGACAAACTAGCCATGCAATTCGCATCCAATTACCATGGTTGCAGTGTTTCCAATTACGAACATCCTTCACCGTATGTATGCTACAAACTCACATTTATCAATATTTGTCCAGTGTTGCACGTCAGGATCTGAAATGTTCAGAATCACATTACGGCGGTTGTTAAACTGCCTTGCCCTTCAAGTGACACAGAGCCATGTGATGGCATGGTAATCCAGAATCAACAATGCTTTTAGGCACATTTTTTTCTCAGAAAAGTGTGTAATATTTTATCAATATTAAAACTAAATTCTGACTTTGGTAGGGATGTAATTTTTCAATAGATATGATCCCCGTATCTTTTTGTTCTTCCTTAGGTTGGGAATTAGATGCCGAGTCCCTTTAGAAACTGGCTGGATCAGGCTGAGATTGTGCGACCAAATGATGTCCTCAGGTTCCCCTTCCTCTCCCTCCCCATACCCCCACCCCTCCATTTTTTTCCACTGGTCGGAGCTATTTACATAAGATACAGAAGGTGGAGAATGTAATGCAGGTCATAAGCATAATTCGGACTTAAGAGACTCAAGTGCGCCTGGACAGGACATTGTCACTGGATGGGGATGATGGCCGATGGTAAAAAATAGTGACGGTGGCAGCCAAGGCATGGAACGCGCCTTGGAGGAGGATGTCTACCAAGGAAATAGAGCGATGGCATCGGCTTGTGTGCCAGCGCTGGGTGGATTGTTGCATCGCAGAACGATGAAGGACGCTGAGGCATTCGTCCAGCAATGAACGATATGATGGTTGAAACTATGTTGTTGTATCACGCTAGGTTGGAATTCTGGATTTCGTTGTGTTTTAGGAAAAAAATGTCAGTGTTTCTGTTGTCCAATGTACAATTTCTTGCCAACTTTTCAACTATATCTATTCACTTGTGTCGTTCTAGGAGTCTTATGGCATCGACACACGTGAATCACAACATCTACATCACAGAGGTGTACACGGGCCAGTGCACGCACTCGCTGGTGGGCCACCGCCGCACGCCGTGGTGTGTCACCTTCCACCCGTCTATCAAGGGGCTGCTCGCGTCCGGATGCCTGGACGGAGAGGTCCGCATCTGGGACCTGCACGTGAGTTGCCGTCTCCTAGAAATTTACCACTCCTGGGTTGGCGTGCGGTTGGTGCCTCTGGGTTTTTCTCCGGCCAATCTCTTTAAGTTATCATCTGCTTGACGTTTTTTTCTTTTGTTAGCTTTTTGTTGTTAGTTTTGGGATGTTATGGTGCCCTCCTACAATGTGTTTTTTTTTAGGTGTTATTTGTTGATCCAAGTCACTCTTTGGAAAGAGAGTTTCATTCTCAATGGGTTTCACACCTGGTAAAATAAAAGTCCACTGCTGCCACTATTAGTTCAGTTAATGATGTAAAACATGTTTGTGTTGTCCTTGAACAAGGGTGGATTCCCTATTATACTCCTGAGTGGCTGCAGCGGCTGAACCGCTAATCCTATTCACGTATAAATTGACTCAATGTAACCTTGTGCTGACCTCTCAGCTCCGGATGCCCACAGAATATGTACTTTTAAGTGTTTTCTTTCGCCAAAGCGGTTGCCGTATACGTCAATCTGCTTGAGTCAGGGAAATCGGAACAATTGTGAAGGACCGCACATGACTGCCTGGCCTTCCTGGTTGCCAGAGTATGCTGAGTCCCATGGGGATAACTGCAAAATATATTGTTAGCTGCAAGAGCTGAGGGTGGCCGGTTAACACTGCAGCCTCACGCTGATATGGCGATTTTTTTTTCTCTGTCCTTTGTTTACTTTTAAAGTAGGCCTCTCCTCACCAGTCGGATTACGACTGGCTGCGAAAACCCACCAAATAAAATGTTTCCTTTCGATTTAAAGCTTTGGTGACTGCAGAGATTCATCTTCTTGGTTTTTTTGGTAATGTCACGTAGAAGGGAAATAATAAAATAATGAAAATTATAAATAATAAAATAAAATTCTCAATTCTCAGAAGAAAAATGTTTCCTTTTGCGTGAAATCAAAACAGGGCGGGAGTGAAAGCTGGTACACGGAGAACAACATGGCGATCGCGTCGCTGGCCTTCCACCCGACGGTGCAGCTGCTTGTGGTGGCCACGGCCAATGAGATTCACTTCTGGGACTGGAGCCGCCCCGAGCCCTTCGCCGTCGTGAAGACGGCCAATGAGATGGAGCGAGTCCGGTGTGCCTTCGCCACGATAAACACATTTAAATATCTAGGATTGTCGATAACCTACAACCACACCCAAAAAATCTTGAGTAGAGTGCATGAGTGAGATACATATTTGGCATGTAATTTTTATCTGATGGACTGCTTACTATCATATCACACAGAATGTGCCCGATTTCGTCAAAATTTGGAAGCTAAGCAGGATCGAGCAAGGGTAGTTGCTAATTAGTCGAGTATCATGCATAACAGGTGTTGTAGGCTGTGGGGCTGCGTGATGGCCAGCAGAAGGCAGTGCAGAAAAATGCATTATGCCCCCGTGTCTGTGCTTCCTGCCTTTACCAGTCCTCACTGTCCAATGTGGTGAAGGATGGTCATATAACACTGACCATTCACAACATCCAACAGTGGATTGATAAAGGAGGGCTGTGCATTGATGGATTGCCCGTAAAACTTATATTATAGAGGTAAATGAGAACTGCTGTATAAGAATATCTGTTGTGTGTTCTTGCACCCATATCAGTGGTGTGAAGGACATTGTTTTCTCTAAGGCTGCAGGTGAACTTTCATGATTTAAAGAAGGAAAAAATATTGTTCAACGTGGTCTATTGAAATGACAGGCTGTATATTGACTTAAAAAATATACATTGGAATATATGTATTGGAATCTGATGCCTGCTTATATCTTATCTATTTTGAGTTCTCTTGGGCTTTCCAACCGAGAAATACATTTCTGAACCTAAATGGTTTTGTATGTTATGAAGCCTAATTTTAAGCATAAATTCAATTTGATTGGGAGGGCATGTGCAACCCGAGAAGGTCTTCTTGCCTCTGGTCAAAATGTGAATGTCATGGAGTCCTTCCCGAGTACATTACAGTACAGTGTGTACGCGGCTAATGCAAATGAATTGTGTATCGAACCGCGACGTGGAAAGGGAGATGAATGTTAGAAAGTGTTATAAGGTTTCAGGCAGGACACTAAACAGTCCTGAAACGATAATGTATTTTTTTTGTTATACCCGTAAACTGATATTCAAGGGCCTAAAACAGTGGGTTTCTTGTTTGCACAAGTTAATAGAGTGCAGCTGATATCTCGCTGTAGGCAGGACATTTCACATTTTTGTCTTGACCTTGATCAGCACTGGACGAGCGCGATAATATACAACGCCTTTAAGAGGGTGTGCAGTGGTACTTTTTGCTGTCGGCAAAGATGCAGTGCTCTTTGATGGTATCGGAAGCTAAAAATACCAGCGGTGTGAATTGAATATTCGTCTTGACTGAGGTTGCTGCGACGATGGCTGACCTTTTTTTTTTTTGCTCGTCTTTGCAGATTGGTGCGTTTCGACCCTCTCGGCCAGAACCTGCTGACGGCCATCGTTAACCCTTCCAATCAGCAGGTGAGGTGCAGAAGTTCCTGGCCTTGGCATTCTCGCTCTTTTTATGCCTCACTTTGAAGCTGTTGCTCACCTTCCAATTTCTCTTGCAACACCAGAGAAGGATGTTGTTTGGGAAGACTCTGTCAAGCTTTTCTTCAGCCAAGCCTGCCATATGACAGATTCACTTCTTTGCTTCAACTTTGAAGTTGGAACATCCGTTTATTGGCATTGGGGGAATGTGATGTGTTTCTTGTAACGTTGACAGAATGGGGCCGCAGAATCAAACTTGGTAGAGTTGTGTTTTTTTCCCGTAAAGGAAAGGGCCGTGTCATAATTAGGTGGCGAGTGTGTGTGTGTGTGTGTTTCGAACACTCCGGGGATAGGATTTCACTGAGCGTTATTCTGAATGCGGGGAAAGGGTCGCCTCTTCTATATGCTTTATTCAAACTTTCTATTGGTAAAGTAGGAATGGTGTTTGAAACATTTCGCCTATAATTGCTGGACGATCCACAAACCTGCGAGTTGGATACAAGTACAGCACTTGCCTATTTTAATCTGGTATTTTGTCAGAGGAGACAAATGTGTACCTTCGAACAAGCAATGAATAAACGAGTCCTTTGCAGCTCAATTTCACTTTAAGTGATAGTGATTGTAATGGCAAAACATAGATAATTTAGTCCCCTTCTGGCACCGTTTAGAAACCCACATAGCAGCTGCCAAACAAATTTACGACCACTCTTCATTCAAGGCCCTTCTCTCATTGGCAAAGCCCAAGCATGTGGTTAGCATGTGGTGCCGTGCTCCTTTGTTTATTTTAGATAATGCCGTTTTTTTCCCTCCCTGTGTGTATTTGCATATACAGCACTTGGCATATGCATTCGTGGCACATGCCAAGCATTTGGCGTTTTTGTTTATAGGTACAGCAAAGCGACTGGTAAGCCGTGCGACAGCAGACAACTCTAATGTATTTCTTGCCTCGACGGGTGTTTACACACGCAGTTACTACGAGCCCTCAAGAACCGTAATGGATAATGGCGAAGTGCTGGGATGGACTTATGCCACTTTATAGAATTTCTAACGGGCTGTTGTGCTTAACAAGAGCTTCGTATTGTAACCATAGAGGGCAGTATTGTCTGTCGTTAAAGTGCACGAGTTGCTGTTGCCGAGGTCGTGTTTTAGCGTTGCGAAAGGTTGGCAAATTTTCCTTTGAAAATGTTTGTTAAAATAATCGCGTAGTGCTGTTGCTTGCCACTTTGCAACAGATGAGCTCCCGATATTTAAATTTTAAATGCCACAGATTATAATTTGGTAATTAAAATAATTATTTATGGGGTGTGTATTGGGGTAGGCTATGTGCCCATGCGTATTCACGTGTTGACTTAGCTGCACAAATGTTCTTATGTAACCCACCATAAGCTGCCCTGCAGCATTGACACAGTTGCACTGCCATGTCCTCACAATTGTTTAGAGCGGCTTTTTGAACCGTGGCGTGATGGGAAGTTGCCAGATCAGATTGACGAGGCTCTTTACTAAAAAAAAGTCAACTTTAGTGATTTCCTGTTCAAATTAACATTGAAGCAGTGGGCATCTCCTGTATACAGTTTTGAGCCCGTGGTGGAATTTCCTCATTCCTTTGGCGGGGGCCATGGGGAAGCGGTAGTGTAGCTGCCAACACCAATGACGATTTCTGAACTGCTCCTGGGCGTCTCCTAGGTCGACACAGCCTCAAATGGCTACCTGGTGCGGTGTATAAACATCACCACTCGGGAGACGAAGGTTGCCAGAAGTGGTGCTGGCCATCCACTGCTCGTGCGCCGTGCTGACCTTCATAGGTGCTCTCTAACAGCACTTGCCCCAAATGTCTGTTGAGGCTATATGGGAGATCTTTGTTGTTTGTCTCCTTTGGACAGCATAGCGTTAACATCTCCACAAAGTGGTGCCTTAGTCTTAATCAGGCCCCTGAGGGATGATGGGGCCGAGTTGAGCCTCCACCTTGATTTGAACTCGCAACTGTCAGATTGCGAGCCACTTGTTCCAGCATAGCCACTGTTGAATAAAGTGAAGGTTTGTGCAGCTTAAGCATGCTTCGTAAATTTAAATATATTATTCTTGCCAAATTGTAACTTAATGACATTCGCTCAAGTAGGATAAATTACACAAAAATCTAATAAAGGCAGTGTGTCTACTTTATTTGATTAGCTTTGCAAAAATATGAGCAAGGATGTAGATGGTGTCAGGCATGCGTATTCAAATGGGTGGAGAGTGCCCTTTGTAAAATAGATTTTGATGTGTAGAAGGTAATAACTGCCTTGTCTTTTTTGCAATGGTGTTTAATTATTCATGTTCATTTTTCAATAAAATGAGCCTTGCCCCTGCACGGCCTCTGATCTCGCTCTTAAGAAATTAGATTGTTACAGCCAATACTTGAATTTACTTGTAAAAGAATCAAAAGACGCGAGCGGAAATGGAAGCAGACGCACACGCGCACGCATCTACACATGCTTATCTTGAGCCGTGGGCTGAAAATAGACTTGCGTGGCAAGGGAATTGTCCTCCCATCTCAGTGACCCATGTTTGATCCAGTCTCTCAAGGCCAAAAGTTGCAAAAATTTCATTTGGCCCTTGTATCTGGCAGGGGCATTCTGCAGGTTGACTTGCTTCGAAAATGATTTCATAGTGCATAAATGCTGTGTAAAAATACCCTCCCGCCTCTCGCACCACCTCAAGAGAGACGTGTATCTACTGGCAGTTTTTACCCTTACTTGCCGGGCTGTCTGGTGTCCTCTCTGCATCCTTGTAACTGCATCTCTTGCATGATGCGTAATACTACTCTATGCAATGTTGCATAGTCGTTTGAATTGCGAGTCTGTACAGCGTTGCATTCAGTTTGTTGGCTTTTTTGTTCGTGTTATTCCAGTTGAATTTTAAAAGTTTTAATTATCTTGTGATGAAAACTGAAGGAAATAAGGCATTGATTTATGTACGTAGATAAGGACTGTGCGCGGCAGTTTTGCACAACGCATTATTTTTTTATCTTGCTTTTGCAATTTGTCGGTGATAGATGATGCAAAATACTTGGCAGGTTTTTTCTTTCGTGTCGCACGTCTTTTGTGTATCGAGAGAGTACACTTATCTGCTGTAAAATAAATTCATTTTAGGAAATTAACATGCTAAATTGAGTAGAAAACTAAAAAGGTAAATATGTGTTCCGGAGAGTGCACACATTGGAGTTTTTCATTGATGGATAGTCATTGGAGTAAAGCATCTACAGAAGGGTTTTATCTGTTATAGTCAATTCACAGATTTCACTGCTGCAATTTTCGAAAACGTGTGCTGTCTGCACGCCCATGAATTGATGCATCTTTTGATGAATATTAAAATGTTAATGTTTTTTTGAGTGCGGTACACATTTTTTTAATTCATCTAAATTGTGCTGTCAGGAAAGTGGAGGGATGTGAACAGTAGGTTTATATGGAGACATTTGCAAAAGTTGGAAAAATCAACTTTACCTGTGCGCTCTTGTGTCTTTCTCGTTTGCGTTGGATTACAACCAGGTCTGTCTTTAGATCCATTCGTCTGATCATAATTCTGATTTATAAGGTGCCCTAAAACATCTTAGAGTGCCATGCGTGTAAAAGAGGAAAATTATCGAGAGGTAACCAGAGAGAGAAAGACTAAAGAAGCAAGATGAAAAACTAAACAGAGAATGCCCTTTTAAATAGGTTTTGATCCTCTATCTTGGTTGTTATTTTTCTATGTTGGTTTTGTTGAAAGTATTACGTGTACGTAATCATCGATAGAAGTAAAAACATTTTTACTTGTTTGCCTGAAGCAACACGGTCAAGAATAATCTCTGAAGAATGTCCTTTAGTATACGGATTAGTAACTGGTTATTATAATGCCGGCGATATTAATGTTTGCATTATGACTTGATTATGCATTGCCTTGATTTTGCATTATTATGGGTAGTGATGTGGCCGAGAAGTAGTGCGTTGACTGCTTGGAGCAGAGGTTCACGGCTCGAATCCAACGGCTACCCTGGTGATTACTGCGTGTGTATCGACCGTACAAATGTGCACCATAGTATGCTTCCACAGTCGACGTCAAAATTCCCCTCCCGACGTCATTCGCTAAAAGTAGGCCAAATGTGTGCCTGCGCCATTTTCCAAATTTTAAAATGACGCGCAAATTATTCAATCTGTGCCATACATAGTAATCATTCCCCCTCCCCCCCACTGGCAAAATAATGCCCCGTGTTACTCTTGCAAATGAGGCTCACCCTGGTCTCTTGAAATCTTACCTGGTGAAACGAGCACAAAAGCCGGTGTAGTAATAAGCAGACAACAAAGTTTAACTTTTTTATTGATCAACCTTTTGTTGGCGTTTTATTATCTAATCGTAGAATATCCCGATTGTGGATTAACCGTACCTGCGAATAATTAAGTAAATTACTTTATGCTCACTTTGTTAATTATGATCCGCTCCTCGCTGGAGGTCAGCGGCTTGCTGCGGAGGTGACTGCAAACACGTCAGCAGCAAAGTAAACCGATTACTTGAAGAAGCAATACACACAGACGACACATTATATATCTTCTTCACCCCCATTCTACACAGGAAACTAAAAATGTTTCAATAGCCTAATTTGCATATATTTTGCATGGTGGGTTTTTATATTATCCAGGCCATTTCTTCCCCCCCCCCACCCCCTGATTATCCCGTATAATCGAAAATGTGACTGCATGTAAAATAGCAGATGTGGAAATGCAACTTTAACACTGTCAGCCTGTGTGTGTGCGCGTGTGTGGTGTGTTTTAACAGCCCGAGGAGGACACCGAGATCTCACCCGACGTCTCAATCCGGCAGCGGCTGATGCTGCACGCTCAGCTGATCCGCCGAGCGCCCATGCTGCACAACTACTTGCACATGCCTCCGTTCCGGCCACCTGGTGGGGCGGGTTCTGGTGTGGGGGCAGACGGCGCATCCAGCCATGCGGGCGCTCCTGACCGAGGCTCCTCATTGCACGGGGATGCGGGGGGCAGAACCCCTCCTTACTCCTCCAGCATGTTCGCTCCGACGGGCGATGTCGGTGGTGGCGGTGGCGGCAGCAGCGGCAGCAGTAGCAGCCTGCCCTTCGGCTACAACTCGTTAAGTCAGTCTGCTTCGTTTTCGCCAATGGAAGGGGCGAGCAGGACGTCCCCTTACTTTGTAGGTTCGTTCCAGTCACCTCGGGAGACGAGTCGTACATCGGTCTACACGGTGCTTCGCGATCGCTTTGGCTATCTCACCACATCTTCCTCGTCCACCATGCCGACAAGCCAGGGTCACTTCACCACCGCTCCCTCCATTCCGCTGCTCCGCTCGAGGAGCCTGTCTGCTTCGCAGCAGCGCTCGCTTCCTTCTGAGTTCAGTGCGCAGCCTCAAAGTTCATCGCAGCAAAGCGGTGGCGCCAGCGGCGGCGGCAGCGGCGCACCGAACTTCGCGGCATACCCAGCAACGTCGGCCGCTTCTGTGGGGCTGCCGTACTCCACTGTGCCCCAGCCCCGCATCTCAATGCCCCGCGCGAGTCGCGACTCTGCGCCAGCCACCTACGAGGCCGATCAGGCGATTCCCAGCACCAGTCGCTCCGGGCTGGATTCTCCACCCACGCCGCCTCGTCCCCACAGGTCCGAGGGCTCGGGTCTGCCAAGGAACCTCGCGGTGGCAGGCAGCGCTCGTCAATCAAGCGCCAGCCAGGCGAACCGCGTCATATCTAGCACCGGCTGGACGCGCACTGTGCTCGGGGCCACTGGCAGCGTCGCGGCCGAAGCGGAAGGCGCAGACGACGAGGAGGCTGCCTACGGCGCTCAGTCTTCCCGGCCCGACTTCACGGTCACCGCCCCCCGCCTGCTGTCGGCACTGACCGCCGATCCTGCTGTCACGCTCCCTCCAGTTTCGGAGACCGCAGTGCAGCAGCCTGGCTTTCTGTTGCGAGACGCGGCACCAGACGGCGTCGGCGCGGCTTCGGGCACGAGCTGGACCACTGGCGCCAGCCGCGACAGTGACCGTGCAGGGGTAAGGGAAGACCATGCCGACGTGCAGAGCACCATCGATATGTACCTAGGAACGACGCATTTAGAAAACCCAGCTCCCGCATACCCCAGTCTCTCCGGAGACTCCACCGTGGACGACAATCTTAACAACAACAACGGAGCGGAATTAGATTTTTCGGGCAGACTCCAACCGTCGCAGTCATTTTTGGACGTTCCCGTTCAGTCTCCTGACTTTTATGACCTACCTCAGCAGCAGCAGCAGCATCGTGACGAGGATGAGTCGGCAGCCATGGGCTCTTCTTCAGGCTCCGTTCACTTTCACCGCTGTCGCGCCTGCCACAACCTCTTGACGTTCAACTCGGACGCTCGTCGTTGGGAACGCTTCTCTCACGGGCAGCAGCAGCAGCCGCCGGCGCCAACGCCGCCGCCGCCACCTCCGCCACCGCCGCACTTGTCTCCTTTTTACCCTGGACCGGACAACAGTGACGAAGGCGTTGGTGCGGGCGTAGGGGGCATGGCGCACGTGAGCTCCTCCTCGTATGATGCCCCTGGCCTGGGAGGAACCGCACCTTTCCTGCCTCCACGTGGGGCCGTGGGACGCTACGCTACACCTGCTGGTGAGACACGCAAGTGGGATCATTTTTCAGATTGCTCGTAGCACCAACAATCAAAAATAGCACTAAAGTCATTCCTATTCCCTTTGTGCACACTTTGGTAACTTGGTACGTAACTATTCAGTTACCCCCTCTTAAGCTATTTTAACTGTTAAGATTCGTGGTCACAATTCGACTGAATCAACTTTTTGTCTAATTTTTACCGTTTCATTTGCAGTGCTCTTTTATTCTTGTTTTTTGCAGTTCTGCTGACTGAATTAACCCAAATATAACATTGCCATACAATGTGCATATGTGTTACATTTTTTTTTCCTACACACACACATGCTATTCGATGCATGTATTATGAGCACAAGAATGCCTTCTGAGAAACTAATCATGGCATTATTACTGCATGTCTACTAGAAACACATCTGTATAACAGCACACATTCTACTTAGCAGTGGAGCAGCCATTCATTTCTGTGTGGATTCCCGTCGAATGCACAGGCCTCGGTTCCGGAATGGAGGTCCCATCGCGCTATGGAAACCGCCTGGGCCTGCTCTACGGTTCTCGGCAATTCAGCGATCGCCTCTCTGGCTCTGGCGGCCCGGGTGCCGGATCCGGTGCCGTAACCGCCCTGGGAGCGGGCGGCGGCGGGCCGGTGAGCGTCCGCGACGGAAGGACCAGGGAACGGGCGTACACGCGGACCATGGAGCGAACGCAGGCGGGTGGTGGCGGCGGCGGCGGCAGGGGAGCGAGGGAGGAGACGGACGACCACGACGCGGAGCGCGACGATCCTCTGCACAGGTGTGAATTCCGTAGCCGCCATCGGAAACGATGGAAGGCGCGCTTCCCTTTCCACTCCTCCTCGCGAGGTTTTTTGAGGTTATCCTACCTTGGTTTAATTGCGTCTCCCCCGGCTGCACTACCTTAACTTAATTTTGTCAGTAAGTGCTGCCCCTTAGGGCAATTTGGGGCTTGGCTCACGTCGACTTGGGGGCAGATAACAAACCCTGGCAATAGCTTGTTATGCTTGGTAATACCAAACATCCCTCTGTCATAAAATGTAATTGTCGCTTGGAGCTATGTACTTCAAATATCTGGAATGGGGCTGTTTTTAATATAGTTCACGTGGTTGTCCTTGTTCCATTGCATGCTTTACCCGTGTGTATTTCAAATCTAAAAGCCGCATCTACTTTTAGACCTTGATGAAATATATTTTTGACACTGCGAAATCACGATGTCGATCGAACACCGTATGTCGCAGTGGGATTCAAACGCAGATGTTTGGAAATTCTAAATGCAGACAATTTGGGGGGGGTGGGGGGGTGAAGTGTTTATTGCAGCTGACAAATGGATAAGGAGCGTGGGTTGAAAATTATTGCCAAGACATCTCTGTCCTTCGTAATGGCTTCAATTATCTACAGGGATTCTAGTCCATCGTAATCATATTGTCAGTTTGGTTGGAGTTGTACTTTTTTTTTATTTCCTGCATGTTGACATTCATTTGGCTTCACCCTGCCATTAGTAAGGTGGCTTCGATTATGAATTAGCACTTGCCAGTGTCTTTCACACCCATAAACGGGCACCTGCTCATGCCATCAAATCACCCTTGGCACCGTTTAAGCAAATTTTTTTAAAATAATACATCTGATTTTTAAATAAACTTAGAAAAACCTTTTTGTAATTATGACCATATTGTCATAAAACTAAACTTTCGGAGATCAATGCCTTTGCTTTCATTATATTTAGGTTTTGCTTTGAATCAAAGTTAAGCCTTTGTCTTCAATATCTCTTTGATCTTTGCATTAAAATGAGGGGCTTTCAGGCAATAAGCTGCCGTATAGTTTAGTTTGGCAGCTTGGCATAATCACCAATGCGAGATTGACCCCGACATCAACATCATGACGCAACCGCTCTTCAACTAAGCAGCGCCGTTTGAAAGAAAGGAGAACTAATAAGCACGGACTGTTTAACGTGTCGTCAGCATTTGACGGCTAATCGGTTATTCAGCTTGCCTCATGGAATATAAACAATCGTGCAACTTAAGTATGTTTTTGCTGCACTTGTAACGTAGCCAGCCAGCAGAGGGCAGCAATGTGCAGCAGATGCACACAGCACATTTCCCACAGAGGTGTTTTGAATTACATGGGATGGATGAGAATGCAGCATGTACTCTGTAGGTGTAATACATCTTGGAAGATTCTGCACGTCCCTGGACTTAACCTGTTCGAAATTGGATTTCGATTTCAGTTAATATTGCTTTTGTTATAAGTTGTGGTAAGTCTAACCCGTTTTTGATTTATTGGCCAAATGCCTGGGCCTGTCCTGTGTGATACGAGTAGGAGGATTATAAACCATGTCCAAGATATTATTCCCGGTCTTCCTGTGTGCTGTGTGTGATGAATGAGCTGCGGAAAGGCATGTGACAGCTGCTTATTGTAGCGGGTGCTTATCGTGTTGTTATGTCCTTCAGATGTTCCAGTCCATTATAATATACGTTAATGTTGCCCTGTCTTTATTGAATTTTTCCCGAGCTTGAGCAAAATAGTTTTGTTACACTTGGTCAATTTTATATGTCAACCATATCATGTCCTGTTGCATTGAACCAATTTGTCACTGAAGAATGTTGGGAAACCCCTGATTAGATTCCATACATCTGCAATTCTCACCCCCTGCCCCGGTGGGCATTAAGATTATTCGCAAATGTTGATTGCAAACATACAGTGCGCGTGGTCAGTGGACATAAATAGCAGGTCTTTTGACGAGCTGCCACGACCATGGCTTGTCCTCCCAGAATGAGTGTTGCAGAGATGGGCTTACCGACATTGCCTGTATGTCGCACAATGCTGACCTTTTTTGCAAATTGCTTGCACTCACTTGGCCCAGCGCAGCTGGCCTGCTTTTGGAAGTGTGCTATTTTAAGGTTTAAATGACTAGTTGGGTGTGATGATAATGTGTTTTTGTCAACTATTACAATAAAAAAATAACACCGATTGTATTGTTACATTCCCAGTGGCGATGATTTATAACTTGTTGGCAACAGTGGCAAGGCCTAGATTAAGCACCCACGAATGTTGACCACAAACAATTAAATCCAGTATGAAAAATAAGAATATGTTTTACCCATTTCTGGCAATAAAACAGGTGTTTTGATTTAAAGCTTTCGTGACTGCAGGGATTCATATTCTTGGTTCTTTCAGTAAAGTCACGTAGAAGGGAAACAATACAATAATAAAAATATAAAACAATTAAATTGTAACAATACAATAATAAAAATATAAAACAATTAAATTGTATATATTTTTATTATTGTATTGTTTCCCTTCTACGTGACTTTACTGAAAGAACCAAGAATATAGGTGTTAAGATGTTCAAACACCAAATAGATACCCTTTTGCAAGGAATCAAGTCTGCATTGACCACACGTTTTAATGCTAGAAAGGGTAAAACCTATTCTTATTTTTTCATATTTTGGTACTGGCATAAAGGTCCCATTATAATTAAATCCAGTGTGTCTCACAGTGCTGGGAGAATTGCCTTCTTTGGCCGCAGCTGTTCTTTTGTTCGTGGTGGCAGTGGTGGCCTGCATTAATTTGATAATGATTGATTGGTGAGGCCGCTGTAGGGAGGTTCGGCAAACAGACGTTTCCAAGGAGCCTGTTTTGTTGGCCTCCCCGATATTAAATGTATTGGCAAACCCTGCACTGGTGCAGGTAATTAAACATAGACCCGTAGTGACTAATAAGGGACACGCTTGTTATGTTACCAAAAGCTATTCTGCGCGGTCTCTAAATCATAACCTTCGTGAAATGTAATAATTTCTAAACTATGTTGCATATTTTTTTGAATGTTTGCATCCGTATTTATCTCCGTGTGTTAATTGTCCACTTATTAAATGTTGCGCAACTAATGAACGTGTTGCCACCGCCTTTGTTTGAGGACCACAGTGGTTCTGAACCCCGCGTGTTGAAGCTCATTTATTGAACCCGCTTGGTGAATTGTTTCCTGAACATGAATTGTGCCAAAATGAATTGTAAAAGCATTTTAAATGAGGTCAATTTAAGGTGAATAATTGAGAAGGTAAATTACGCTGTCACCTAATTGCTTTTGCATTTGTGAAGTGAAAACTGCTACACAATTGTCTGGTTTAAATTGACCTCTGAGGAAGTCTTTTATTAAGTGGCTAATGAGCTTTTCTCCCAAGCCCTACATTTTTCGTCTCGTTATATCCAATCTCTTTTTGGGCCTACATCAGGGTCTCTAAATGTTTGGGCTTATTTTAGCATGCAAGTGTCATAATAAAAAAAATCTAAATAGAAGACATAGCCCACAGCTAAAAAAACCCAACTCCCATATATAATATGCAGCTCGTTAAATAAACCTGGCTTCATGTTTTTTTCCTGCGTCATATATGGTGGCATGTCATCAGTTGCTGACGGTTAACTGAAGTGTTAAAAATAAGCACGGTGCCGAGGAGTCGCCCTTGATTATCGTCACGTTCAAGATCGTACAGAGAATTTGCGGTCAGCGTGGACTGTAATAAGTCTTCTCTAGCCTTCCGCAAATTGAAACTAAATCGCTTCATGGTGCAAGTACGCACAGTGTTTCCAGCATGCATCAATAAGTGTGATGGTTAATTTGCCAAAGAGATGCCTATTTGCCTGCTGGTTACAAAACTTGCAATTATATTCTGTGGAATTTCATTTCCTGTGCTGATTTACCAGTGCGATGCGGTCACTTCTCTTTGGCCGTGTGGCGTTACGCCCCGTGATGTTGCTGCCATTACAGGAGGCTCTTGCAGGCTACGGAACGTGAAACTGTCAGCCCGTCCACGGCCGCGCTCGCCCGTGCCATCACCAGCTTCGATGGCGTTGGGGCCAGGGAACACCCTCTGTACCCCGACCCAGCCAGGTGGGCGCCAGCTGTTCTGCCCTGTGCCTGATAGTATTGTCTGCCTCCACATGCACCACCCTTTTACCTGTCCATTGCTGGATGAGGGTTTTCCCATGGCTTGCCGGTCAGGGCGCTGCATACTGGTCTTTATGCGTTGCCGTAAGTGGGATGCGTGGTGCTGACATTGTAGTTCCGCATTAGCCTATGGCACATGTATTATGCACAGTGGTTGCCCATGCAAGCATTATCCAGGATCAAACCTGCTTAGCTTGCAAAATTTGACAAGATTGGGCTCATTCTGTGAAGTTTTCATAGACTGATAATAGTATGGCAGAACTTAAACTTGATTTATTGTCACCATTTAGGGACCACTGTTCAGTTTGTCTGTGTCACTGATGTTAGCCATGATAGGGAATCGATCTCAGGTCGCCAGGTTCGTAGTGTCATGTGCTATGCACTCTACCACCACTCAATCCCACGTGTCTCTTTGCACTCCATGAATCCCCACTGCCGCTTGCTTGGAAACTGTCACTTGGGGTCCTCCGTTGTTCACATCACAACCGAAACCTGCCTAAAAAATGCGAGCAGTGACGCATCTTCTCCTCGTTGAGCCTCGTTTTGTTTTGTGCCCAGCGCTGTCTCCGGTATTGGAAGTGATGATCATGTCTGTCGTTTGTATTTCGTGGCTATGACTGTTGTTCAGAACTGTCTTTTACAAAAGCGTTATTGTCTCCTTTAAAGGACAAAATAATTACTGGGCTGGCCTTCCAAGCTGGCAGCATTGCTTATACATTTAGAGTTGCATCCACTGAATTTTGTGAGTAGAAAAGAATGGCTTTTATTAAACCTTCACAATGACATTTTCAAACCGTCAGAGCACTCCGTGTTTCAGTTCAGGTCGTTGTTATACTTGCAACTTGAAATCTAGAGGACATTTTAGTCGCAAATTGCACGTCCTTAGTTTAAGCCCCAAATTGTATAGCACATCAGTATTTGATTTACATTGCTGTTTGTAATAAGGTCCTTATTTTATGTATATTGAGATGAACTTGCACCTTACGTTGACGAGGGTAACCTTGCCACTCAATTGCTGACCTAAGATGCCGAAATAGTAGTCACGATTACGAAATCGTTTTGTTGCCAACATTGCTCTGAGCAAAGAGGTGCGACAAGTTTTTTTTTTCTTAGTGGCCAGGTTCTGTGCCAGGTCTGTCCTACCCTCGTGAGAATATGCCACATGAGCTTCTCTGCAGATGGGCGGCTTTATCAGCCAAATTTGCGTTTGAAACGCAAGTGAGACATTGACGTCTACAAGCAGAATTGTCTAGAAAGGAACTGTTGCTTTTTGCCAAAATATTTCAAAGGTTGGGTGTTAGTTAAAATATAAGTGCAGTTGCTGCAGCTATAAAAGTCTGTGGTTTAATGGCCCTCACTTGTTTTGCACGAATACTTTTTAAAGGGGGTTTCTCGTAGGAAATTGTTAAATCTAAATTTATGATTTTTAATATAAAATTGCAAACTTTGCCACTGGCACGAAACGTAATCTTTGTTTTGCTTGCAAGTGAAGTAGGTTCTCATAATGTACCACTTTACGATTCGATTTGTTACCGTTTGGGGTCTGAACAGCTTCGTAATTACAGAAGTTTAAAAAAAGCATTCGAACAAACGAGCCTGTAATTTTTTGGTCATTCTTTATTTTAGACCACTGTTGATGTCAGAGAAGGAAATATATAATGGTCGTGCCCTTGGTACTAAAGTACACGGACATCACTCACTCGTCTACTTCAGTCCAAAACACAATTCGCATTAAAAGGACGTGGTACAGGGAAATCTCCCTGAACACGCGGCTTTGTCGAACGCGTTTTCCGACTATCTATGGGTTGCTTAACGGGGTCTCTTTTTTGGAACACACACGGGGGTGATATTTCGGCTCTGCGCAGTTTGACGCTGCTCAAGTTCTTATCTCCACATCGAATAATTGTGCACAGTCCGCTGGTATTGTGCCGTATATGCTGTGCGGTCCGCTTGTACTCTACATTACTGTATATGTTCGTTGGGCAGACATGACGAATGATCAGCACGAGACCAAAAGAACACCAAAGGAACATTAAATACTTACAAATACAACTGTCGGCAGTGGCAGAACACGCGCGCCAAAAAGGACATTCAATTTATTTTCATAATGTTGAAGCTCTGTGCAAAACTAATTACTACTGGCCAAGACTAATTAGAGAATCTATCGAAATTGAGAGATTTTAAAATAATTTTAACCTTTCAGATAGCTACAGGCTTAGTGCTGCTTGGAAGCGAATCATCATATAATACATTGTTTAAATACATATCTGTACATGAATGGGGATTACCTGTACGGAGACACCAACAGTTACTGGTTTTTTATTGCACGCAAATGACAGGAGGTACAAGAACAATTTGCATGCATAATGTGCGTTGATGACCATATGAATAGCCCAACTGGCAATGTATACACATTGAATTTTTTTTGCCTTAATTAATATCCCTCTTTCACACGTAAAGGGCTCACAAGTGACGTCATCACATCTATCACTCTAAAGAACGAAACGAGGATGTCTCCACAAATCTGTCTGTCGCCTGATGATGCTAGTTGTAATTATTGGCGAAACGTCGTACTCGGATTGTAAAGGTTGTGGCTTTTCTCTCCAACACAGCGGTGTGCCATACTTGTAACACATTGGCATGTTCTGTTTACGTGACAAACCCTACTAATTGGCTGTCGGGTGGTGGCGGGTTTAACGACACATTTATATTTACACAATCTAACCCCAAAAAAACCCCCCTATATTATGGGTACTGTATATTTTGCGGACAAAGGTCAATGGTCAAGTGTTTTTCTAAGGTAGTGTCCCACCACCAGCACGCTACCCCAGCCCCACCGCCATCAGCACACGGCAGGTCTCCAGCCACCTCACCCTTTCATCTGCCGTCTCGGCACTCTCCTGAATGGTCTCAGGGTTCTCCCAACTGACCCCTAAGACCTGAACCCCCTACACCCCCCCCCCCCCCACCAATATCATCATCTTTGTAATGAAGGATGTTGAGTCTCTTCCCATTCATTGTTTGTGCACGCTCTTTTTTTTCTTCCATTTTACCTCGACACACAATCTCCGTCTCCATAACTTTTCCTACCAAACGCACTGGTGCCCAACGCTCACCCCTCACACCGACTTGCCAGCCCGACGCTTGCCCCTTAACACCGAATCTTTCAACAAGGGGATGGCTAGATGCACGTGGCAGTGTGTGTGAACATTTGTGTTGCGCGTGAGCGTGTCAAGTTATATCTTCACCGTCATCATTCATCGTAAATAAATAAAAACCTATTTCACTTATTTTTCTTACATTTTATGTCTGATTGTATTTAATGTTATTTTATTTACCTTTATTCTGTTTCTTGTTTTTATTTTTTACTTGAGACTGTGGGAACATCATGTAGAATTAGTTCAGCAAAGAGGGAGGGGGTGATAATTCCAGACTCAAGAATGTAACCTTATTTGTTATTTGTCGAAGACTGTTTTGCCCAACCTCGGCGTTTTCTAGGAACGCAACCCCCCCGCATTCGGCGAGGTTTTCCAGGATGTCCACAGTAAAGATACGGCCTGTTGAAATGTAAATAACGCTTTGAATTATAGTATTGTTTTAACATATTATTAAAACAATAATGGGCAGACGGGGATGTCCTTATGTAATTAGAGGTATGATGCAGGGTCGTGCGGTTGTCTTATTGTGTAAAACAGTTCTCAGCAGTAAAGCCTTCCAATATTTTTTCAAGGAGGGAGTTGTTTCATCCTTGTTGAGGCCGAAATAACGCGCAATTTTGCTTCGGTGACACACTTTTGAAGCTGTGGCTTGTAACCTTTCATAGGAACATCTGCGACCTCTTTAGGCAGGCTTTGATGTCGGGATTAATGGTTTGCGATAAAAAAGATCTGCATTCTCTGCCACGTTCCCTGCCGCCTGTGGCTGGAAAATTGGATTATATTCATTGCACCGTGGAACACTTGGGGGGGGGGGGGGAGGGAAAGAAAAAATGAGTGCGAGATAATACTCTCAAATGCCACATGTTTAATAATAATAAATGTGCTCAAGTCTAGAGAGGCCATCTTAGCATTTATGTGTGTGCGGAAATAAGCATGCTTGCAGTCATGCATATGAAAGTGTCAAATTGCCTTTGTGGCTACGTCTTTTCGAGTGAGATTATCTGTTCTTCAATTAAAAATTGGCTTTATGCGTTCAAGTTTTTTCCTCCCTGTTATAATGCCACTGTAACTATAAAATGTACCTTAATGTGACTTTAGTGAGCTTGTGACTTTATCTCTTTTGTCATGCCCCTTAGATCATCTTTAGGGTCTACCTAATCGGTAGTTTTAGTGGAAATTTATAGTTTTTGCCGCAGTCACCTCCAACATGACGGGACGCATTGATTTACAACAAGTTTTGTTTCTCAATGAAATACTTTTATCACAAGCGTGCATTTGTTTGAGAATTAACACTGGAAAACAATGCACATTTGACATTGTACATATAACACGCCTCAAAATATTATTATCTTGCAAATTTAGGACAAGCCATGTATATGGTGCGTTGCAGTCCATGAATGTATTTTAAATTGAAAACGAATTTCTTTAGAACTGCTTTTTGTGTTTAGTTTGTTGTCCTTCCCCCGCACCTCCACTTAGCACTGTTGGCTAAGTACGGTGTGAAAGAAGTTCAACATACATGTTCTGTGAAGATTCAACAAGCAGAGCGCCGGGTGGCTAAAACACAGCAAGTTGGCACAGTAGGGGAAACAGGTGGTGCATCGCCCAGTCATCCCAGTCAGTCAACCCATGGCACCTGGGTCTATCCCGTGACCTCCTGCCAGCGGGCGTTTGACACTTCACGTGGCCTTAACGTGCACATAGCCTGGCACAAGCGCCGTGGTGACGTCACCACCACTTAGTGGCGTATGGCGGTTGTTGTTGGTAATTGTGCTTGTGCACCACTGCCAATGCAGCATCAGCAAATAATATAATTTGTATAATCTGCTTTGGGACAGAGGGCACATGTAAAGTCCATCGAAGAAAACAGGAGGGCATCTACAAAACGACTAATCAACTCAAAATAGCATTTTGCATCGAACTCAAATCTTGGTTGCCATTTACATTTTTTTACCTTATAAATAAATAGATACATATCAAAAACACATACTTCCAATTAGCACGGTTGGCTATGTACGGTGAAAAATAAGTTCAACATACATGCATACATTCTGAAAATAATAAATGTTGGTGAATAAACAAAAAAAATACGAAGTTTAACTTTTGAAGTGCATGTTTCTGTTCAACGTTCGATCTCCGTAACTGCAAGCCTGGTGAGCTCGTGCCCAAACCACCCACTGCACACAGGAAATTGTTGGGTAATTGTTCATTGGATTTTGTTATGCGGGCAATGTGCCACTTCTCAAGGGGGATTTTATTCAAGCCATCCCAGTAATCTACATTTAACTGAATTATTATTTCGAATAAAGTTTGGCATGAATATGAAAATGACCCCGGGTAAATATTGGTAACTGCAGTAGCATGCAATTTAGACCATTTTGCTGTCACCGAAGGAGCAATTTTGAATCGAGCATTGTTTCTAAATATTCTTCATAGGAGACCGGAAATTTTTGTACCCAAGGACAATATCTCAATTTTGGAGCTTTCGTGACTGCAGTAATTATTCTTTGGTTCTTTCGGTTAAGTCACGTATAAAGATAAAATAGTAAATTAAATATTAAATTTATTATTATTATTTTATCTTTATACGTGACTTAACCGAAAGAACCAAAGAACAGGGACAATATGTTGCATTCCGTATTGCAGCGGAGAAAATTTGAATTTCATTTAAAGCGATTTTGACGTCATTTTGTTATTTCAAGAGAGCTGTGTGTGACATTAATTGAGAAAAAAGCATTCAACTTAAGACAACAATCCACTCTTCACAACAACCAGAAGTGAAGATGAAAGTAATGCCTTTGCCTGCGTCACTTATGGCCTTGATCCAGGTGCCTCGTGATAATGGGTATGAATGACGATTGTGGCAGATGCCCTGTGACGCATGGAAATAATTCTTAATTTTCATTTATGAATCTCTTGCTTTTAGCCCTCCACATTATGTCATAGTTCACTGCATATATTCGTCTGTCTGTCCAAATGTTTACAGGTGTTACATAACCGCAACAGCCTTAGAGCTAAATAAGTCGCCTTGAAAATTCTGAACACGATACAGCTTCTTTCATTATCCGCCCAAGTTCTGTCCATTGGTGCACGAAGGCCTCTCCGCCTTCGTCATCCCACGCGTTCCCGTTATGACACGGTCTGTGTCGCTCTTGCAAACGAGCAGATCTCGTCGCTCCATCTCCACGGCAGTCATACTCTTAGCCGTGTTTGCTGCTTTGTCACCAGTACTACCTTTTGGTGTCATTCATCGTCCATCAGTCCTCTAGCAATATTGCCTTTTCCCCCCAAAGCCCTTGTTGTTTTCTTAACGGTCAATTTGAAATGCATAACTTGTGTTTGTTTCCCTAATACATGTGTTTCTCTTTTTGTCTATTCATTGTTTAAATTTGGTCCAAATCCTTTGTCCTTGTCTCTTTCTGATCCATGTCATACTGGGTAATGTGCGCCAATTGAAGAATTTATTCTTGAGGCACAGTGGTATTTTGCTTTTCATTCTCAAATTGGTTGTCGGTAAAAGGACACATTTTCAAATACCATTGTGCATCATCCGTTTCTAGTCTATAAAAAGACCTCTTATTCAGTGGAAACTGGTTAGTCAACCAAACTCTCACAGGTCCAAGGCCATTACAAAAAGAGTATTGGGAAGTTTTGAAGACCATTTCTAAAGATAGAATTAGCTACACTGCCGTTGCGTGATGAGACTAGCGAAGAAAAAAATGACGAGGAGTGAAGCAAGGAGATACGCACGCTCTCACTGTGGCAATTCACAAGCAACTTTTAAATATATTTTCAGAAAAAACAGATTCCAGAAATAAAGGGATGAAAATGCCTGGACAAGTATTAATTGCCTTGGATTTACAGAATCAGAATCTTTATTTAGACTGGAGGAATTCGCTCGGCTATGAAGCTCTTTTTCATCGATGTCCAAATGGAACCGCAGGAAGTGATTGAAACGGCCCAGAAAGTGGGCTGCAAAATTGGGTCTCGGTAAATATTACCAAAATAGAAATTGCATGCAACAAGCTCATAAAAGAAAAAAAACTTTGGGGGATTAAACTGGGAAAAACAGTGGCTTATGTATACCCATGATGATTATTAAAGCTGTATTGGTGTCAAATTGAGGAAATAGAGGTGAGTGAGAATAGGATATAGTTTTTTTGGAACACTTAATTTGATATTACAGCTTCTCTGTTGTTCTGAATAATGCATGTGTTGAAGTATGACTATCAGTAGAGTATTGTATAACAAAATTTGTTGACATTTTCTCAACATAATTGTTATATGGGATACAACAGATTTCATTATGCTGTATGATATATGCTCAATTATTTTAAGTTGTGGTTTGGGCTCTGCATTTTAAAAAAATCCAGAATGTAGTTGAAATTTATATTTAATATTGGCGTTATAAAATTCATCAGTGGCTCAGTGGTTAGTGCATTGAGCTGTACAACTGGTGACCTGAGTTTGTATCCTGGCCACTGCTAATATCCGGGGCGAGTGATTTTAACTGGTTCCAGTCCCCCCCTCCCTTCACTTCACGAGCGTGCACTGATCAGCTTGGCGAAGTATGGTCAAACAGCCTCCGTGACGGTGTGGGAAAACCTTAATCCAAGGCTTTACTGTTGTTGTTTTGATGACCCAGACCACCCTTGAAAATTAGACCATCCTGGCCTCTTTATTTCTCACCTGGTTTCAACAAAATGAACGTAACTAAAAAAGAACCAATCCAAGCAGTTGATTGACAAAGGAGGACGATGTAAGTCAGCCATCAATTTATGCCTCCGCCAGACAATTCGACATTCTGATAGAATCCAGTGAAGTTGCATCTCTCCCAAGACAACTCGGCGTGTTTGAAACTGTTGTTGGTGTTATTAATCGATCGTCATCGACGGTGGTGGTGGTACTGCCATGGGTAGGCTGTCTCCCGCTGCCTACTACGCCCAGCGGCTCATCCAGCACCTGACGCGCAGGGACAGCATCCGGCAGCGCGTTCTGCGCTACCAGCACGTGCGGCACGGGGAGGGGGGCGCCGCGCCCCCAGCCGTGTCCCATACGGGGCTCAACGACGACGATGAACCCGAGTGAGTGCCGCCACATTTTGCCGCCCCCACCTCTCTTCACCCTTCCTCTCTGACAGCAACCACCATCATCATACTGTGCCTCGGAGCGCATCTCACGACGCCAGAACAAAAGGGGGGATTTGAGATAATCAGGAGTCACTCGGTAAGGGAGTGATTTGCAGGCCGAATGCAACGTGCAAAAGACGATGCTGGATAGACAGTTGCTGTTGTTGTTGGCAGCATTTCACTCCCCACTGCTTGGCAAAGGCCTTTCCCATTTTCTTGTCTATTTATTTATTGACCTCCAAACTCTCCAATTTCATCTTGCATCTCTTCCGCATGTGCGGTGCAGTCATTTTTGTCAATCCACTGCTAGATGAGGGCCTCCCCAACACTGCGTGTCGCTGGGGGGTGTTTTTGGGGTACACGCTGGCCAGTGTGGGGGTGAGTGAAGGCGAGGAATATTGGTGTGCAGTACCACAATGTCTTTTTTAGCTGTCTGCCACCCAGCACGTAGTGCCACGGCCTATAACGATCTGTTTTGCCTGGTGGCTGCCTATCTAAGCACTATCCAGGTTCAGTCCTGCTTAGCTTCCTAGAATGGGATGGGATTGGTCAAAGGCATAATGATCAATACCTACATTTAAATGTTAATACAATATGTGTACGCCTTTGTATAATCCTCCTTGATTTATCTTTGCAAATGAGTGTTATTTTTAATCTCCGCATGCCCTTAGGTAGATAAATAAGACAAATTGAAAATTGTTATTTAATTGTATCTTAACAGGAGTGGAGCTGTTTTGTCACCCAATTAAGTTAACAAAAGCAAACCGAAATTGCCAGAATGTGTATCCCATGCAGCTGTGAAAAAGGTTAATTTGTTTTCTGATACTCATCCCTTTTTTCGTCGTTTTTTTTCTCAAGACGGATGAACCTATGCAGATAGGTTCAAATTGCCGTTTAGTTTTGTATCAAGTGATGCACATTTTGATTTCTTGAAAAATGCAGCACATTCCCACCTGAGTGCAATAACTCCAAAACGAACGCAGAAGAGTTATGTGTTTGATGTATTGAAGTCTCTCTTTGAAGATTTTCATTTCAAACATTTATTTTCCTTTTTGTATATTTTTGGATGTAGTTATTTGTTGTTTTGTTTGTTGCGTTTCCGTTTCCTTTTATGTAATATCCATTTTAAAATATTTCAACGGGTTCCCTTTTGTGAAATTGTATTGTTTTGACGTGCACTTTTAAATTTCGTGACAACTTTTGTACATTTTTACTTTTTTTTACATTGTCCCAGTTCTTGCTGGGTTCCATTCTCGCACATTTACATCTTAAATCTGTAAGCCCGCCTTTAGTCTAGATATGCAAACAGGCTTCTTGATGCCATCCACAAAGAAAACTCAACCCTAATTTTTAAACAGCGTGCGTAGCTTTTTACGGTCGTGCTGTATACTTCTCTGACGTGGTTTTTTGGGTTGTGCCGCATGCGTTGTACGGCAAGCCCGGGAGCTGCTTCAGTTCCCAAACCAGCTTCCGGAGGCTTAGAGCGAAACGTCGGACGCACCGAGCGAACAACTCGAGACACAAACCTGAGTGTGCAACGGAGAGCTTCTCTCTCGTTTTGTTTACCTTTAGAAGCACGTGCAGGATTTCTCTCTCCAAACAGTGTTGGGTGCCTTTTTCCGGCGCGCACAATCTCGAGTCATAACAAGGTGTTGGTGGCGCTGTATTGGTGCACGGAGCCTCGCTTGCTCGCCTGTCACTTTGAATACAGCTCAGCGTGACCCCCATTATCCCAGCCAAAAAGAGAATATGGCTCTGCAAGGCCTTCATCTGCTGTGGCCGCGTTGAGCCCCTCTATTTTGCTTGTAAATCTACTTTAGGGACCAGCTTGCAATTTTCATATCACCGGTCAGCCTATTTTATCTTGAGTAAGAGTCACAAAAGGCCCGTGGCGGTTAAGGAGCATGCCAATCAAGGGATAATGTGTGAATAAATGACACTGTCTCCCGTATGTCACTCTTTCCCCTCCACCCCACCATGTTCTTCCTCTTTTGTTGTAGTTGTCCTCGTTAGAATTTGTAGCGTTACAAAAGCACATTGATTGTTCAAAGTAACGTGTTTGGCCCACAGGGACATGCGTTTGGCCGGCATATGCTTCATTACAAACTGCTGTCTTTCAAAGTAAATCACCTCTCACTCCTTCGGGCGGCTTGGGTAGAGAACGGTTATGCAGACGGAGCTCCTGAAGGGCCACAAGGGAGTCGTGAGGATGCACAAAATATGAATTGGCCTGCCTAAGGCACAGCTCACATCTAGGCATTGCGCCGGCAATTAGCAACAGCGCGTTGCCTTCCGCGATGCTTTTTGAAAGCAGCATGCCAATAATGGTATTGCACCACATTGTTCTAATTTATAATCCGTTGTGCAGATGTCGTGACATTAATCCTGCCTGTTCGTGGCGAGCATTAAACATTCAACGTGACATTTAAATTAATGCGTTTCAATCGGCAAGGCGACTTGCTTTGTATTGAAAATTGACGAGAAGAAGTCCTGAGCACGAAAAGCATTTAAGTGCTGAGGATATAGTGTGTGTTCCATCAGTATGAGCATATCGTGTCCTCATACTGTTGGAGCTTTAGTATGTAATCGTCTCGAAATGGTCTCCATTGAAAAACATTTATTTGACCGTTCACTATATTATTTCGACTTGGACTTGTGCCATAGCAAAAACAAAGTGTATATCATCTTGAAACACGGACTTTTTAAAAGTAGTTTATCATTCCTAGCTCCTAAATAGTCAATCAACTGTAATGCCTGGCAATCAGTGCCCTAGAGACATGAGGTCGTTTACATTGACTCAAGTGATTCACGCGAGACCTAGCGTACCAGGTGCTCCTTATTTCCTGCCACATTGCTCACTGTCCCCAAAGCTTAACTTGCAAAGCCCCATTATATATTATGTATGTGGCTGTTTATGTATTTGTTGATTATGAAATTAGATAACAAGTTAACAAAAATATGATTTGGGACAAGTTTCAATGTCATATCTATCTCCGTGTCATCAAGCTCGATAAAAATTTAATTCACTTAGGTCCCCGTGTCATCTTTCTGCGTTGTTATCCCACCCTGGTGCCCGCCCTTACCCCGTGCCCATCTGTCTTGGCTTCTTGTCGACACTGTTTCTCACGCCCAAGCTGTTTATAGTCGACTCGGTTATCCATTTCTTTCCCCCTACAGTTTGCGCGAGGAATACTGCAACAAACATTCCCCCGTTTAGGAAAATTAATTGCTTACTCCATTAGCAAGTTGCCATTTGCCGTACGCAAGTGGACTCTGTATCTTGCGAAGCCATTATTAGAAGCCGTTATTATTATATTAGTTTTTTTTTAGCATCGTAAAATAAGTGCGCCATTTATACCGTGTGCACACCTGTTGCGTGGAAACTCATTAGCTATAATAGGGACCCCCCACGGTGCTTGCAGCTGTGCGCCGTGTACTGCATTTCTATTTACAAGGCCCCCAGATCCCACAGAATGTGTGGCGGCGTCTAAATGTCACCCAATCCAACCGGGTGCACTTGCCACCATATGCTACCGGTGTGATTGCGTCAAATGGAAAAATAAACGCGTTGATATTCCGCGGACCAAGTGGTAACGTTCGAAGAAATGTTGCGCTCCTTGTCAGCTTTGAAATTGGTGGCGGAGTGGCAGCGACTGGATGTGATCGCTCATGGAGTCGCCGTTGTGACTTCTGTGCGACAAAGGGGCTATGCCTGTGCAAATCTTATGTGAAGGGCTGTTGCTTATTTAAATTATCCAAAGGCGGGTGATCCAATATGCATGTAAAATGCATGTCAATAAATGCAATGTTTGCTTGTTGCCGCATTTTGTTTTTAGGTCAACCTGCAAAGCTTTACATGCTAAGCAGGCCCAAGTGACGTCATTCGCTGTGACGGTTTGTGGGCAGTTTTGCAATTACATCGAGGGTAGCACTGCTTTAATAAAACATAAGCGTCTTATGTTTGTATGAATAAATATTGCAGGAATCACCAGTTTGTTTTGTGCATAATGCTCTACTGTATTCGTTATTGAGGCCAACGGAGGTGTTATAATTGGTGATAGGTTTTGCATGTTTTATGTGTAATTCTATGTAAATGTTTTACATGTATTTTTAAGCTGCTATGCATAATTATATCTAATTTACTTGGCTGTGTACACAAGAACAGTGGCATGATCCGTATGTTGACAAATCCGCACAGGCCATCATGTATGCAGGTGAATTTTAAGGCCCTTTATTAAAATATATGCTGATCTTTTAATCTTGTCATTAATTTTGTATTGGGGAAGTGCTAATAATACTGTTCATGGATAAAACAAAATAGATGAAAGTAATTACCTGGCAGATGGTGGCTGAACTTGATTGTTTCATCAGTCGCTTTACGTGGCTTTCTCTCTGAAAGTAACCACTACTTTTTAATGCTACATGTTATATAAATTTGTATCCAACGGTGCTATCTTTGTATGCACTTGTACAGCTACTATGTATTGTATTTGCACTTTGCCAGGCTTGACGGTGTTTTGAATGTTGTTTTAGGCTCCTTTAAAAACTTGACGAATGCTGGGATGCATTTCTTAGCATTCGAGGGGAAGGACATTTGATAGAAATAGCGTGGACAAGAATAGCGAGACGAGGAGAGGTAGTGTTTAATGTAGCAGAATTTTGAATGCATTTTTCTATAATATTGGTAGTCTTATTACGCTATGAGAATGCAAGAGACAGCATGTACAAGTAAACTCGGTAGTTGATGCAGCTTAACGTAGCCTATAATGACAGAAGCCGAAGGCTTATGGTGTTTATTCAGCTGTATTTTGTTGAGTTGTGGCTTCTGCTTTTGTAATGTAGTTTTCATTCAGAACTTCTTTTGAAATGTACTCAATCATATTGTATGCCCTTTGTGATAGCTTCCAGCAGAATTGATGGTTATGCACAACATTCCACATTAGCGATGTGCTTGCCGTCATCTTTAAGTAGTGCTCGTGGATTGTGAGAAATTTGAGTCTTCTCGAGTTTTAGTTTTTCAATGGAGGGAAAACATACGAGAAGTGGATGGTTTTGGTGTTGGGGTTTGGAGGCAGTTCATTGGGCCAACCACATTGACAGGTTTGGGGGGTACAGTGACCGACCATTAAGAGATATGCCAGTGTCATTTTGGGGGTTCTCTTTAAGTTTCAGGAGCCAAGCCAGAGGCTCGATAGAGAGTGGTTGAGCACTCCTGCCTTGTGCGCTGAGGCCCCCCGTGATTGATGTGGCAGAGCAGCATTCGGAGAATGAAGCTGTCGTAGTAAGTAATGGGTGCAGCAGGCAGGCTGGGGCCGGTGGCTAGGAAATAGAAGGTTTAAAAAAAAAAACAAGGTGCTTGAGAGAACAGCGCCTCCCCGGAGGATGATGGTGAACAGCCCTGATTTATCCCAGCGTAGCGGGTACGCGTGGTGGGTTTCGGCAGTGCCGGGGGGTTGCCCCGTAGTCCCTTGTCCTCCCCGCGGGAGCCGGCACAACTCTGGCGCAGTTTGGTGGTGCCTGTGCGCTCGCTAATCAGTTCAGAAAACGGTGCGGTGGGTTTGTGTGAACAGTCCTGCCACTTGTTTTCTTTGTCATCCTGTTTCATAAAACACAGTAATATTGTAAACGGCACTCGTTGGTTTTGTTTCGTGCGCTGCTGGTTTTTCTTTTTGGAAAAGCGCACGCGTTAGAGGAAAAACCCCACGGGCGTTATTTAACGCCATTAAAGTTTAGGTAAAGCAAAAATATTCGTGACCACAAGCACATGTCAGGGTATGATTTGTTATTTTGCTGTTATTTAATTATGTTCAATTTAGTCTTGTCCTACATACGGTGTGCCGGCTGGCCTTTATCTCATGGCCTTACAGCTTGACTGCAGACATAATTTTTGTCTCTGCTGACCCCTGTGGGTCGAGATAGCTGTACGCTCACACACACACACACACGTGTTGGATCGTTTTTCTCCAGTCACCTGGTTCCCCTCTCCCCCCCTACCTCGTTCTCCCACCATCTTCACCCCAATTCCATCATCCATTCGATCCATCTCCCAATCGTCCAACCCCTTCTCCCTTGTGTGCCCCCACCCATCTCCCTTGTTCTCCTCCGTCTCTCTCTCTCTCTCCATTCCTCTCCCCCGTGTGTGTGGCCCACTTCTAGCGATGGCGGGAACGAGCGATCACGGCCGCGTGTTGCTCCCCGATCGCGCCTGCCTGTGCCATCCCTCGGCCGTTTCACCCCCAGGTGAGATGAGAAAACTCCTCCGCGCCAGGTCACGCTCCGTCCATTGCCCTGCGATGGCCCCCCTCCATCGTTTACTGCGAAAAGGATGCTCTGAATCTTGTTTGTTTCACAGGTTTGATGTTTGATTTTCGGAATTTTAAGTCGGGTCACTTCACGGGCATTGATGGTCCCGCATTCATGTCATTACTGAGCAAGGTATTTTGTGATTGAATAAAGATAATAAAGTAAAGGGGTGCAACCCCTCCTCCCCCACCACCCTGCCTCCTCCTGCTAAGTACACATTATCATTGGTGACATTTCATGTGCAGTAGAAGCTGGATATAGGCACTTTATGATATTCCATTTTACTAATGGGGTTTGGGGCGGGGAAGGTGAAAGGCAACTTCTGTTACAAGCACACTTTGGATATAAGCACAGCTGGATTTACTGCTTAGGGGGTGTGCTTTTAATCACCGTCACCTGTATGTGGGCCCCTAACGAGAGTGCCCGTCAAAACTGCATCAGCATCAGCACATGGGAGTCGAACGTTCCTGAGCCTGGCTCCATTGAAACTATTGCCTAAATATGAACAAACTAGATTTGAAGCTTTCGTGACTGCAGGAATCCATACTCTTTGGTTCTTTCGATAAGTCACATAGGTAGAAATAAAACAAATCACGACGTTTCGATAGCAACACAAGCCACTGTCTTCAGGTGAAAATCGCGACAGCCGAGATGTCTGCTACGAAGTGCACGATGTCTGCTGCCTTGTGAAGAGAAGCTGTTATCAGCAAGAGTTTACTTAAGTTTTTGAAAACAAAGGTAGCCGAAGTAGTGTTAATAGGGTATTATAGTGTAGTGATTTATTTTGTTTTATTTCTACCCATGTGGCTTACCGGAAGAACCAAAGAGTATAGTATGAACATGTGTCCATGTAACGCCCCCGTGTCATCCACTGCTGTATGAGGTCCTCCTCTCAGCCATGCAGATTGTGGGGGTTATTTGACCAAAACTCGCCACGCTGGTCCATGCTGCTTGGTGAATGCGGGGATACGTAGATGAGGGGGAATAGAAGTACAGTACAACAATGGATTTCTCTGCACTGTCGGACCACCACGTAGCCCAACAGCATATAATTCCTGCTATGCACGGTGGCCGCCCATCCTTGCAATATCCAGACTCAAACCTTGCTTACCTTCCGAGATCTGACAGGTTCAGGTGCATTCCAGGTGAATCGTTAATCGATAATTTAGTCTGGCCAAAAAAGAGGGATCAGTTTCAATGTGTTTTTGTCAACATATTGTTGAGAACCATGTTTGGCCTGGTTTTTTTGGTACACAAAGACTGCTGTCCAAGTTATCTACAACATGTACATTTAAAAACTGTAGTAGCCAGCTCTTGTACAGTTGTGTTAAACACCGAATTAATAAATAACTGCGTGTTGTGAAGACCCAAAATCTCAGACCTATGTAGAGGAAACATTCCTCATCGTGTTGGCTATCACAGTAACAGATCTGCGTAGCCTTTTTCCTCCGTCCTGTTTTTGGTAGAAGATCCAAAAACAACAGGTGCTAGAGATTTTGGAGCCATACTTTGCAATAACCAAGTAAAAATGTTCTTGCTTTAATTTAATTACGGTGCCGAAATGGCTTTAGCCTCTGGGAGAGATGGGGTAAGAAAGATTAAGACTACCGTTCCCCAGCGGGGTGATCGGAGAGGTGTGATGTGTCAAATTTCTGATTAGGAGTTCTCCATGGGTGTATCTTACGAGACGCATTTTACACATTTCTCCAGAATAAACACACATCCACTGTCCTGCCAAAGGGTAACATGCTCAATGATGCTGCTGCTGATTAGTTCTCCGTGAAAGACGGCCATTGGATTTTGTGAGACGATAAATAAACGCTTCCCGAGGAAGACTATTGTTCCCAAAAACGTGCGTGGTAAAACTAATTACATTTCAATATGCAGCCAGATAATTAGAATATTAATAAATAAACAACGGTGCGGCGAATTTTAATCGCCGCCGCGATGCGATAAAGGCACTACTGAATATGGTAAATCGAGGAAAGCCGTTTTTGTGTGTGATGTCGGCAACTGTATAATTTCTCAATGTTCCTAGCGGTAATGATCGGTGGTTGTGCCTTTGCTATAATCACGAGAGCATCGTGTCCTGTGAAATCTGCCGTTATTATGAGATGCTAAATTGTTGCAGTGTGATGTGAGTGCAAGGTTTCTCCATTGTGTGGGTTGAATTGGCCCTGTAATCATATTTTGCCATTGCAATCTTTGCGTACAAAAAGAAAACACGAGCGTGTGCTTCAGTTCAAGAACAGGAATTGGCATTTGGGCAGCACTTTGATTGGTCAATTGATGTTGAGCTGTAAAGCCCCAGGTGGGTTCCTAGTAGGGTTGTAAGTAACATTGCATCAATTCATCAATTAATATCGATTCGTAAGCCAACAAATAACATTAAACCACACGTCGAAGAATCAATGTTTTTTTAGATTCATAAATGTATGCAATCGGATCATGTGCCCCCTCCAGCCACTAGAGGCCACTACAGTCGCCACAATGTAAAAACAAAATCTAATTGTGTCATGGAAATTCATAAAAGTGCCAGGGAGGTGATTCGTTTCACCTCCCGTTCCTTGTGTAGTTCCATTGAGGCAGACACAATTTAGTTTAGTGAGCGAGTGGTGGCACGGTGGTTAGTGCACTACGCTATGAAGCCTGTGACTTGAGTTTGATTCCAGACAATGGCTAATATCAGTGGCAAGTGATATTTGAAGCGGTGGTGGGTTGTTACCCTGCTCCCCACTCGACCAACCCACACTGATGAGCGTGGTGAAGTATCGTAATTGCCAAAACCCGGCATGGGGGAGACCTTCATCCAGCAGTGGATTGAGGAAGGTGCTCTGAATAATTGTTTTTTAAATCCTTTATATTAAGTTCGCGTGCTTGCTTGCTTGCTTGCGTGCTTGCTTGCTTGCGTGCTTGCTTAGGACCGTGCAAATATTTCGGTCGTTTTTTAACCCACTTCCCGTGATCCAATCGAGCCGACATTTTCCACACAGACTCGTTGTGCGTGACAATTAATTTTCGTGAAAAAAAAATCAAAAATTTTACACTGTTTAGGGAAAACAAATTAAATATTTAATTACCAATTGCTTAATGGTGGCAGACAATCATCTGACCCATAGGTGGCAGCCATCTCAAGCCAGAGGACGAGAGGACTCTAGCCGCCACGCATATAAAGGATTTATAGTTAAAAACTTTGTTTTTACGGGTTATACTTGTTTTTTATTGCGCTCACCTATACGTGCCACAGCAGTGTGGAGGTTGTATGGGTTTGTTGAGGAAGGTGAGGGGACCAGCTGGCGGAAGTGCATTTGTCAGATTACCTTAGAGATTAAGCCCTGCCATTTATACAGGCGAGCCTCCGCGCATGACGTTACCTCCGACAGGTCATTTGTTAGAACGGCCCGAGGTGGAGCCCGCCGCAATCGCCAGCGTATCATCACCAGGCCCCCACCACCGTCACGATGCTTTATGGAAAGCCGTAAAATTCAGTCACGCTCTTTGACTGGGGACAGCGCCCCACAATGATGTCGAGACCTGCTGATTAACTTCTTTGGCAAGCTTACATAACAAAATAACTGCTGCATCACGTATCTTTACGCAACTATTTTAAGGAGCCAAACGTTGCTTTATATGTCCGCAATGTTTCAGTCGCCAAAGTTGATGGTAGACCTTTCCGATGCCGCTTCCATAGCCGAAATGTGTGTATTTGTGTGTTTTTTAAAGCAACTGCAAATACTGCACCAATGCCAGGGAAGCTTGTTTTGTTATTAAGGCTATGTGGCGATGAGTGCTTTCATAAAGAGTGTTTAGTTGAACGTCTTTTAAACTATAATCACCGCATTGCCCTCTTGTGGGATATTTAGACACTGAAGACAAAGACTTCTTTGCATTAACACAGCAGTGGCTTACAGTTTTTAAGAGCGGGGTGCTTAGCATTTACACCAGCGAGCGTGTGTAATTTCCATTTTGTGGGGGGATTTGGCTGTAGACTAAGCATTTATTGCACTTTTCGATTTAAAGCTTTCGTGACTGCAGGGATTCATCTTCTTGGTTCTTTCGGTAAAGTCACGTAGAATGGAAATAATAAAATAATAAAAATAAAACATAATAAACGTCGTGAGAATTATTTAATTATGTTTTATTATTTTATTATTTCCATTTTACGTGACTTTACCGAAAGAACCAAGAAGAACATTTATTGCACATCGGGAGATGCTATGGAAGCGTCGGGCGTGGGACTCCAACCGGTGCATTTGTGTTGCCGGATGCGAGCTTCCAGCCATTGCGCCAGCAGCACGTGAACCCCGATGGAGTAGGCACCGGGAGGTCTCCGCAGCGAGTGGGGAAAATTAACTGAGATGGAGGCACTGAGTCACAGTCCCTGTGTCCCCTGAGCTTGGTGTCGTGACTGTAAATACACCTCGACATCCGATAAGGCGCAGGGGCTGACGCGTCCCTGCGTTGGCTCTGAAAGTGCATAACCACTTGGCCTCCAACGACTGCGGATTGGCCGGGTTTGCCGCGAGCTTTGATTGGGTTTATCGACTTCTTGCAGCGCCTCAGTGTATTGTCTTATTGACAGTTAAGTCTCTTTACCAAACATACCGGCCTCTTTAAAAATGTTTCCACTGTTTCATAGGTGGTTAAGTGGTTAACTTTGTCGTTCAATTGGAAGCGTTGTCTGTTTTATTTGTCACCTTGTAAAGTTCATTGTCCGTATATATATGTTCATTTTATTAGCCGTCGTATTTAAAGCCCTGTTTTATAGTGGGATTATTAGTGGGCTGTTTGTCGGTCCAAAGTGTGGGTAATTCATGAGAGTCAGAGGGATACTCGTTTGTTCCTCACCACGGGCTTAAGGCATGACACATTCGTTTTAATAGTCGAGACAAACACTCCATCAACACCTACGTGTATCCCACCGAGGCTGTTAGCGCTTCTGCAACTGCATTGCGTGATGCTGGCTTGGGACATGAGTCAGTTCCATCTGTTAGAGCAAATTATTTCGGTCAATGACTAAATCCAGGGAACTGCTTGGTTTGAGCCTGTGGCTGTGTTACTGCCGGCCTCACCAAATTCTGAATGTGAACACCTGTTTCAGGCGCACGAACAGCCGAATCTTGCACGTAATTAAAAATGTTTTGCTCTGGGCATTTATAAAGCCTTGCACACTATCCCAGAATAAACATGCATCCGTCAGGCATCTGCTTCATGTGTGTGTATGGATATATGCTATAGGTGGTGTAGCGCATGCATATTGTGATAAATATCAAAAAGCTAGAACATATTTACCAATAACCCTGTCCTAAAAGGAACAAAAATACAAAAGGTGACATTTTCAAGAAATGGCCCTCCAAAGCAGAGAGGTCACTCTCTTAGGGTAGTATTATTGACTAATGTTTTTGTTATTTTTGCTTGTGTTCCACGACCAATGCAGTATCACAGAAACATCGTGTGTGTATGTATATATAGAGTGTGGTATGGGGAGCGGTGGCGCAGTGGCTAGCGTGCTGCGCTGCAAACCTGGCGACCCGAGTTAAATTCCCGCTCACAGCCAACACCACTAACAAATATCTAAACTGGTCCTGGGCCTCCCCTAGGTCGACTCAGCCTAAACGGAGCACCTGGTGCGATGTGTTAATATCGCCACTTGGGAGACAAATGTGGCTGAGCGTGGTGCTGGCCACCCACCCCCTTTTGTGTGCCGGCATTCATAGGTGCTCGCTACCTATCACTCGACGCAAAAGTCTGTTAAAGGCTATACATCTTTTGGTGAGACGCTGTGAGTTCATGTGATCCACTGTGACAGGATGATCTTTACCCACCATTCTCTTCTCCCTGGAGTTGGATTGAGTTTTTAAATGCAGGTGCTATAAAAACTTTGTTTCGTCTCTGCTGTGTTGTGCTGTGCAGGCGGTTCCTGTTGCCGGACTACTTACCTTACGCGGGCATCTTTCACGAGCGGGGGCAGCCGGGCCTCGCAACCCACGCTTCCGTCAACCGCGTGCTCGCAGGTAAAGACGCCGCTACGCAGGAGCGAGATTCAGCAGAATCCCGATGTTGCTTGCGTTCATCCGTCTCCCATGCCCGGTTTAAACGACGAGGTCATTGGGGGGGGCACTGCGCGTGTTGGGCAGCTCTGGTCGCGATCTCCCCTTTCAACTGCACCCCCCCCCCCCCCGCACGGTCCTCGGCCTTGCCGATCAGCAGCCGACTGCAGTGCCAAGGATCTGAATCCAAGTCGAGTTTCAAGTTACTGGGGGGGTCAGGGGGGGGGTGGTTATTTAATCAGGTGAGAACTCAGAGACCAAGGATTGTATTGATATGCTTTAGTGATCTTGGTCGCCAACATAACAAATACAAAGCAAATAAAGTACACCAGTGAAGGAATGAGAAATCGGAACAAACGCAACTGTCACGTGAGAAATTGGAAATGTCGCACGAACATAAATCACTATTAAATAATACATTTGGGGCCATCCATTTAGTACGTATGCAAAAATATGTCAAAATTTTACCCCTCTCCCCTCTCCTTGTACGCACACATACTTTTTACCCCCCCCCCCCCCCCACCGGCTTACGTACGCCTGACGCACCCCCCCTCAAAATCCTATAGAACAACTGGTATTTAATCCACGCAGAAACGATCAAGGATTAATAATATTAACGTGTTTAAGCAAACAGTCCACCGCCGGACTATCTAACTCATCATTTGAAGGCCAATTTAGATAAATTATTATCGAGGCTTCCCCCCCCCCCCCCCCCCGTTTCCTCTGCTTACGTACATTGTGAGTAGACCCCCCCATACGCAAGCGGACACATTTGGGTTAACTCCCCCCTTCATGCGTACATATTAAATGGATGGCCCCTTTCCTCTTGCATAAGTCGGCCGTGGGCAGATTATTTTTAGACTGATCATAATACAGTTAGAAAATTAAGTTACAGAAGCATTAGATAGATAGAAGGTAACTATTGTGCTGTAATGTAAACAGACTAGAATGTATTTTGTACTCAGTTTTCCTTTGGCGCTCCCTCTGTTTCTAGTACCTTCGATATTGCCTTGTTGTGGATGGGTTTGGTTTGTTGGATCTATTGATGTGCCCAAATAACTGTGGGTTTGTTCATCTTCCTGGCAGCTATAAGTTCTTTCTGTCCTAATTTGGTGGTAATTGAGCCCCATACATATACACTTCACTCCATACTTCTATGTATGTGCCCAGATGGAAATCTTTGCTCCCGTTCACACGAGCATCAATACTTACAATTCATGCACTTTCCTGCCTTTGAGTTGATGCCTTAAAGATCCTCTTCTAAACGTCTCTGTCATGACCGACCAAGAATTTTCCTTCGTCCAATTTGGCATTCTTCTGCTAAGGATAGTCATGTCTCTGGAGCGTGGGTAGTGAGCTGAGCCGCAGGAGCATAGAAGTACAGTATAGCAATGGATTTGAATGCACTGCTGACTGCCACATAGCACAGCTCCGTGCCACCAATTGCAGCCTGGCTTGCTGCTGGGTGATCGCCCATCTCAAGCACTATTCAGGCTCAGGCCTGCTTAGGTTGCGAGATCAGGTGCATTCTGTGTGACATTATTGGTATTTTAAGTATCTAAATGAAAGATTGTAATCTTTCAGCATTTGCTGGGTGCTTTTGTTTGTTTTTGCCCTCTGTGGGAGTTCAGGCTTGCAGCACTTGCAATAAACCGTGTTTATATTGCTCTGGCTGCAGCGATATTGAGGCAAGCAGGATCTCGTGTGATGGCCTCAAAAAAATGATTTTCACAGGTCCCCATGGGTGCTTGACCACAAATCAATTACGGCTGCCATCTCGGGTGGTTTCCACACGAGTGTTTGTAATTTTAATGTACATCCTCGACTGCATACAACGTGTATGCACGCACCATTATTATGTATGTGTGTAGTTTAGCGTTATATAATTATGCACTTCTTTGCAAGATTTTACATTTATAGAGCAACAACTTTTCACTGCTTTGGATGGTTGGCATTGGTTTATATTTTTTGCTTTTGAAGGAAAATGTATTTCATCAACTTTTCTTTAAATGCATTTGTCACTATGCAATTACAGTTTTTTTGTTCATATGTCTCTGGCTGGCTGGCTACCTACCAATGTAGTCCAACATGGAGATCATAGGGTGCACGACACACAACTGCGCACCCCTTGAATTTTCAGCTTAAAAGATGGCGAATGTTGACATTGTGCTCTCTGGAAAAGTCATTGAAGTATTGGGAAGAGTGTGTTAAACTTTGGAGATGATATATTATGATGACGTGTTATGACACTGGCGTGAAATTTGTTTGAAGTTGTGCCTAACCCCCCCCCCCCCCCCCCCACCTAAGTTGGATTTCATGTAGTTCTTGAGACACATTCTCAGTTATTGCGACGAAACCTCAAAGGTTCTTCATTAATAATAGATTGTGTTTTTTGTTTTGGAAACCTTGGATTATTAGTTTACATTTGCCAAGCATCAGTCGGTGTTCTAAGTACCATCAATTCGTTTTTATTTCCGAAAAGTCATCGTGATGAGATTTCCCACGGTCATTCTGGCAATCTTTTATCCCTTGAGATAGGCTCTCAAAATGTACAAGATATCACAGATGCCAATGAGTGAGTGAAAGAAGATAAAAAGTGGTGATAAAATCGTAGCAATTGTCAATAGGGACTTTTTTCTCTTGGGAGCATATTTTCTCAATTTAGCTTTGGTCAGTGTGTTCAAGTCTTAACATTACCAAGATTTTTGGAGCGAAATATTCTGCTCCTCGTAAATGTATTTAGAAATTGGGCTGTCTGTTAATACCAACACAAGAGGGCAGCACGTAATAGTGAAGATGCTAAAATAGGCTAACAAGAAAATAATTTACTAATTTGCATTTTATTCATGGATTATCATTGGCAGTAACTTATGAAATATATATACACATCCACTGTACATGAAGATAATAAGAGCTGTAAATTCTGGCAGGTGTTATTTTTTTTGTCTGCAATAACATTCACCATGAAGAGCAATGATCGTTTGCAAGCAACATTATTTTAAAAACCATGGTTACCGTGCCAATAATAGAAGTCTTCTCCAGCAACGTCTTGAAGATCTTAATGCTATTCTCAAGCAAGCGTGAAAGTTTCGCGTGCAAGCATTGATGGTTCTGTGTGGAATTTAGCTACGCTATGAAGCGTCCAATTCATAATGTTTTCAATCAGATGTAGCATTCACGAGAATAGTCAGCTTCACAAATACTACATTGCGTGCCCGAGTATGTGAAAGTGGGGGAGTGGTGGTGTCGTAGTTAGTGCACTGTGGTACGAACCCAGCGACCTGGGTTCAACTCCTGCTTACGACCATTAAACAGTGGCGATTATCTGAAATATTCCTGGGCCTCCCCTAGGTCGACGCAGCCTTAAAATATCTGCAGCGATGTGTAAACACTGGGAGACAAAGGTGGCAGGGTGTTGTGGTGGCCCCACTACCCACTCCATGGACTGTGCTTTCCTCAAAGTACTTGCCCTCAGTCTTGCTTGCGAAAGAGGTTGGGGGGGGGGGGGGAGAATCTTTGTCTTTTTATGTGAAAATACGTGTGTTTCTGTATATCTCTGGGTTAAGTGGCTCCCTTTTCCAGCCACTGTACACTCTAGAATCCTCTTTGGGCAGGATGAAAGTGCTGGCGATGCGAGAGGCGACGGGACTAATGTGGTGCAGCGAAATCCTGGACCCCATTGCTGTGGCAACCTAAAAGTGCTGGCATGGGTCTGCACAGACCTCTTAAGAGGAGGCTTGCGCTTGATGGCATTGGGCAATGGTGGGCGGTCACACCGTGACAATCGCAGCACGGAGGGCCGGTGCATTCGGTGACCCCAGCACATTCAATGCTGAACAGCATTGAAAATGGTGTGGGCATACTCCCTCCACATGTTCTTGCGTTGTATCAGTCCTGGCTCACGGACACCACGCTGACACCGTTAACTCATCCAGATTATTTTTGGATGGATTTGTGTTGCCTATATGGCAATAGGATCGGGTTATAAATTGTGCAAGCAGTTTTCCTTGCGTTCTTCAAGAGAGATTTTTAAAATAAATATTCTGTTAGCTTTATTATTATTTCTAATCTTGTTTACCAAGAAAAGTCTCATTGAGTCTCTTGACTATTTTTTAAGGAGGTTTCTGCAAATATTTTCTAGACGGGGGCGATGATTTTTGTGTTTACTCCAATTGTGTATATTTGGAGTTTGGATGTTCTCTCCCCTACTCACATGGATTCTTCCCTCCACATTTAGAAACATGCTTTTTAGAGTATTGGGCTGCTTTAAAGTTCATGTAACAAACCATTCATTGAGCTGTCATTGCAGCCAGGTCACTTCTGAAAAGAGCTATATAGCTCAGTGGGCCTTACCTGGTAAAATTAAAATATCATTAAAATATTTTATTCAACTTATCAACCTGTGTGATTGCTCGAGCCTTCTTAACAATGCATGTGGATTGTTTTTTTAACAGTCTTCACTCTTGAGCTCTTGTTAGGCCGAGGTCTTTTGTTGGGTTGCCTTCTACTCAAGAGATAATTATCAGCATACTGGGGAGCCGGAGCCACTTGTGTTGGATTCACATTCATTTCCCAAGGTGAGAGAGGGGGGTTAGCCAGGTGTGTGGGTTATAAAACAAACGTTCCAAAGTGCTTTCAAATAAATTCTCGTGTGTCAAGGGTCTCCCCAACTTTTTACAGCAGTTGAGTCATGGCAATCCACATATTTTTTGTTTATGGAGATTTTATATTACTCTTCCAACTGCGCACACACAAAACACACACACACAGACTCAAAACCCTGACTTTTCTGCGGAGTTACCGAGAGCCGTGCCAGGGTGGTGTTTTCTATCAACGCCCGGCACAGTTTTCTATGGGTGCACACTAGATTTGGCATGGCAATTAAGAATTATGAACCAATGTGTGCACGTGGGGTACGGTTGGTTGAGTTTACTGCCGCCGTGTGGGAGAGCTGCGTGTGGCGT